TAAACAGGCCCGAAGATTTTTTTATAACAGCAACGGACATTCTGGCCGTTGAGAAAAGTGTTCCCGTGTGATTGGGTACACACACGCCTCCACCCTGCTCCGCAAAATTCAACCCCGCGTATCGGGAGGATACATGCTGTTTGGGGGAGGGGGTACCGAGGTTTGCTGTTACCAGGCCGCCGCTCTATAGACATTCGATTTGATAGTTCGGCCACGAGCACTCCATTCGACTTGTTTTCTTGACTAGGCCACGAGTGATCATTGGAGTTCTTAGCTCGGCCATGAGTAACCATTCGATTTCGTGACACGGCTACGAGTAGTCACTTGATTTTTTTAACTTAGCTCCGAGTATTCACTTGAGTTCAGTAATGCATTGACTGAAACTCAAGTTGTTAACTTCACTTCGCTTGCTCACTTGACCTCACGTAGCATTCGAAGCCTCTTGCGGAGGGAAGTTGACCCTTCGCGCACTCTGTCAGAAATTCAGGCGAAAAGGGATGCAGTCTCGCGCCTAAAGTCAATTTACTGCATTATGACAATCGTCCGCGACTGCTGATACGGAAGTCGATTGACTTCCAATCAATCATCGCAGATGAACACCGTTGCTGCCTGAGGTTGGTGACGCTGGTTGAAGTAGTGGACCCCAGAAAACGCGGCGAGGTCAGTCGGTCACGCTGGGAGCCCACTGTGTTCACCGCCTATGCCTAGAAGGGGGCGGCCCGCTCCAGAACGCAGGCCGACGACTCCACCACCGGGCGTGCTGTGATGCCCGCCGACAGAAAATGAGGGTAATAATCCGCTTAGCTCCCGCGTAAATGCGGCCGAACACTTGCTGAGCGAAGCGGGGGGAGAGGGTGCCTTCAGCACAAGTATTTATGACGACCCATTGTTTTTTTGTAATTAATTTAATAGATGGCTATGTTCTAATAAAAGAAAGGGTAGTTTTTTTATTATTGTAATTAATGTAAATCATCACCATCATCATCATTTTAGTGAGTAAATGTTTATTAATGCAAATGTCCTGTCTATTATTATTGAAATTCCGTTCCCGTTCCAGCCACACGACTCGTTGGGTTACAAAATCAACTTCTTGCAACTCTTTCATCTCAATGTTTTATTATATAGATGTACAGAAATGCATTAGAATCAAGTCGGAAATCCTGAGGTATTAAAATTACATTGTAACTATGCTGCAGCTTGCCATCTCTTCTGCGGTTAATAAGGAAATGAGCAATGGAGAACAACTTAAGCACAATATTCTTTGTAAAAAATATTTAAATGAAGTCAAGTGTCCCCCGGCTAATTTGCCACGATGCCCGTCTATTTTGAGCAGTGACGAAGGCTTCAACAAGTTGTATGTGCACACGTAAGCTTCCGCGGCTCGAATCCATAAATTCTCGGCTATCCTGGAGACGCCGCGTCGTTGGCAGGGGCGCTGACGTTTCGCCTGACAAATCGCTGGCTTCCTCCGGGCAGTGCGCCCCAGCCACCGCCGCGGCGTCTTCCGGGCAGCCGAGAATTGAAGTTGACTATCTTACGATCTGGTTCCACAATTCAAAGATAATTACATGGAACTATTCCTTTAGGCATGGGTCACCCGAGCGTTATGTTGATGAGTGTCACAAATTAACTGACATGCGGAATGGCGAAAACGCTCGTGGGCCGTTTTGCGTTAGATTCAGTGTTATTCTACAACGCACGTCAACGCAACGTTGGGCAGGGGCCCTTCCCAAATGACAAACAACAGGTTGTTATGGACGTGTCACAATATTTTTCTTGCTGGAGTTAGTGTTGAAATACATCAATGGCACCCTGAAAGTATATTGCTATAAGAGTGACTCTTCAGGTGTTCCTCCAATTTTGGTATTGATCTATGCTGGGATGAATTTTCCAGGGTAAAACACAAACAAGAAAGTATTTTGTAGGTGTAAATATACAGAATTGTTGATTTTAGAAAAGTGAGAGTTTTCTTAATGTTTGCAATTTCAGCATCAGACTGAGTGTTTCCTCCTTTTGAGGTTTGCTCAAACCAGCTAGAGGACATTTGCATTTGTGGAGTGCCGAAAGGAACAAAAAATGGCAATATGTCAAGTGAATGGATTGATACTCAATTCTTTTGCCAGCGAAGGTGGTCTGGTCCATAATGGCCCAAAATGTGTAATGGGTGATCTAAGAAGTTATAAGAATATGAGAGTGAACAAGGCACGTAAAGACATTCGATTTGTGTTCTTGGTGATCGCGCACTCAGAGATGTCAGCAGCATACTCTATTTCATTCACGCCGCCCGTAAATCCTAAAGGACGCTTCCCATGTGGATGGGCCTGTCACACTCGACCACCACGCACGGCTGTTTTACAACTTCCCAGAAAGTGAAGGGCTCTAACGGAAGCTGGTGACAGCGCACCGCCAAGAAATATAGCAGACCACAATACTTGTGTCAGAAGAAAGCGGACATTGGTTTTTAGCGCCACCGTTTCAAATGCGCACCATTACTCGTCACAGTGGCCGACGGTTTCTAAAGCAAGCTTACGCCATCACTTCATCCACCCTCCGTCTGGCTTTTACAAGGCAAGAATTTTGCTGTGTTCAAGGGGACGTAACATCCACGTAGCCGTCATTTCTAGGAACGTCTCCGACAGTAAAAGTTGAAGGGTGACGAAAATGTCGGAAGCCTGCGCCGACGAGTAAAAATACGAGAATGATCTTGGATATCCGGGCCGCATCGAAAGCTTTGATGCCGACATTTTGACCATCTTGTCGTCGTCTTCCTCAGAGCTGAAGAGCACATCGTGAAGTCCACTCAGCTCTGAGGCTTTACACCATGGGCAGACCACGATAATGACTGTCGAAATGTCGACAACGCAACCTTCGACGCGGTGTCAACCGCGCAACAGACAAGTACGACTGCGCACGTGCCCACGTGATTCCCCGCGGTGTACTTTTAATTACTTAAACAAGACACGGCGCAATGGCCTCCCAGGTGCAAAGGGTGATGAACACCTTATAATTAAGTTATTGGATAGAGACACATTGAATTTTGACGCCTTGTGTATTTATGTTCTGCAAGTGAGCCACGCTCAGACCGTAATAATTACATTCTTTGTTTATTAAATCATTCATTCGATTTAAAAAAAATCAATTACACATGAAAAATGTGAAACTAGAAATGCACAACCCACTCAATGCAAAAGAAATTTATTCTCGAATGCAGAGGGCACTGATGGCAAGCTCAAATGATGTCACTCCTATAATACTAAAACACTTATCTTCAACCCTGTCATTGGAGTAGTCGACATCTCACAGAAGACAAGGCGCTTAATTGTGGCACAAGAAGCCATTAAGACCAATCCCTTCTGTATAGTACTACAACAAATCAGATTGGGGAAGGGGGACCCCGAAAAAAAGGAGCAATTACAGAAATGGCATCTGCAGCAGTGATGAATCTGATGAATGCTTTTTCTTTATATGAAACATCAGAATCAGAACCCGAGGAAGATGCAGAACCTCTGAAGAGCTTGGGCAGGAATTAGTTGCAACTACTACTGCAACTTTTACACTTACTCACTGTTCTTGCAAGTGTGAAAATGGACAAGATTGAACCATAGAAAAACATTACAAAATAATGCAATGTTCATATAGGCAAGAAGGTCAAATAGGATTCTTAAGCACTTAAAATCAAGACGTTTATTGTGGTAAAGTTTTTGGAAAGAAAAGTCAAGTATTTCATTGATAAATTCCCAATTTTAGGGAGATGATAGCGGCGAGGCGTTATCACTTCTTTTGACAGAACGAAAAGATTTCTCTTCCTAAATGTACCTGACATGTACATAATTGACTCCACAATGAAATCTGGAGGAAATTTACATTTTCTGATGATATCCGCATATACTTTCATATTTTTATGTACCTATCTATACAAGAATTAATTTGTGTAAGGCATTTTCACAGTTAAAAAAACCTCCTTTTTCCCCCCTTTAATTTCCACAGGTAATAATATAGTTGAGAAAATTGCCCAGTTTGTAGGGTAACTTTAACAACACTTTTAAATTTTTTTAAACGTATAAATGGTTACAAACTGAAGTTATTTTTCCAGATTGTGAAACTAAAGACAAACTTTGAAGCACTTTTTGTACATTATAAGTTCACAAAACATTTAAGAAAATGGAATATAATCTTGGTTTTAAATTTAATAACACAGTTTCTGTGCTTGTCTCCTTTATAATTACGTGAATAAGTGCACAAGTGCATAAGTTCAATTATGGCCAATGCACAGCAGTGTCATAGTGTAGTGGGGGCAGCAGAGGCAGCCCTATTAGGGAGTATTTGTTGTTATACCTATGATTCAAACCAATTGAAATGACCTCTTTAGGACATCTTTACTGACTTGTACGGATACACATATTTTATTTTGTGCTTGGATTATTTACGACTAATAATCAGCGAGAATAACTTCTATCATATAAAAAATAGCATTTGATATTGTATGATAACACCTGCAAATTAGCTTATAATATGGGTAGTCCCTTCAGGGAAGTCTGAGCGACGCTTTGACAATTGAAAGAAATTTTCATTGATGGATAATCAGTCTTATTCACATTAACTTTAATCATACAAACGTATGTGCTTTCCAAACTGTGACTTTAGTGCTCATAAGAACATGCAGTGATTGTTAAATTAACTTTGTTGAAAATTGTATTGTTTGCGTACTTTTACATTTGACTATGTATTAAATATTTTATTTACATAATTGTATGTTTGGCAACCTACTATGTTGTTCGAGATTGTATATTTGAGTCTTTAAAATAAAAATTCGAAAATAAGGGGACGTTGGAATTTTCCTCTGCGCTGGGCAGTTGAAACTCACATGTCACTTAGGCACAGATTTGTTATTAACAGTTTACTCCTTTTATAGTAGTAAGTGACCATACAATGAAAACCATCTGGTGGAAAAGGAAAAAGAAGCAAGGATAAAGAAGGGGGAAAAAAATACAACTGTCATAATAAGACTGTAATGCATACAGCATAGAATTTCTATAAATATGATCAAGCTGACATGTCATTTGGTTATGCTACAGAGATGCTATTGGTATTTTACAGAGTACTGAAGTTCTTGATTTCAGATCTAATATTACAGCTTCTTTGTTAGTTTCCTTTATAATTAGAAAAAGTCTCTTACAAAAGATATTAATAAGCTTTGATTCATTTACTTATTATAGTATAATTAATGGTAGTTTCCATATTACAAAGTGACTCAAAGCCAAATAAATGGGAATAAAAATTTGTTCCTATTTGGCTTATATGAAATGTGTGAAAAGACCTTTCTTACAGACAGTTCTTTTGTAATAACAGAATGGCTAACAGCCAACAAATGCCCTAATCATGCATCCTGAATTGACAGACTGTCATTCTTACATGTAGCATTAAATGAATGGCAACTTCCTATGTATGAGTATAATACGATCTGCAACACTTGTTTTCAAGCTAGTATTTATCCTAGTTATGCACAATATTATACAATGTTGATTTAAAAGCCTTCATATCCTAATAATTATCATTACTGTCAACCTGGTCTCTTGACCTCATAATTTGAATATACTTTTCATGAAAAACATACAAACAGTGCACAATTTAAATGATTAAGTACCCGAAATACTTTTGGTATCAATAGTGACTTACTAGTAATACTAATTGGACAGATTTGACAACAAAATACACTTTAACCAAAAAGTACAGTATTTTTTTAATCAATGTAATAGATAAAGAGGCAATGGTGTCTTTAATACTTGTTTCCAACATTCAATAATTTTGATTATAACCATATATTTAAGACTAAAATCTATACAGTAGAAAATGTGGAAATAATCCTTCCAGACCTGCACCACTGATGCACCATATAAATGAGACTAAAATTTTTTTTTAAAAAATACATATCTATAGCCTCTATCTATGGGTGTTTAACAGCCAGTAAACTTACTATTTACAACAGGGGGGAAAAAAACAAAACTTTCTGAGAGATTTATATCACTAAAGAAGTACATTAAAAATTTGCAGAATGTACTTCTTCATCAACACATAGAGAGCAATGAAATATCATTCTTAAATTGTTAGAAAGGAAAAGAACATTCCACATCAAAACATTTTTCCTTCATCAATTGTGCATTTTAAATTTAAACAGAGGTCCTTTTACATACAAAATATAATTATAAAGATCTCTTCAAATTGCCTTACTAGCAAAATATCTTTCTTATTGTCTGCTACATAATAAACAATACTGTACGTTTGATGTTTTTCCTACTGATCAATATCCCAAAAACAGAGAGCATTATACATTCAAAAACAGTTTGTAACAATTACATGATTTCTTAAAGCAAAATTATCCTGTAAATCTGTAATGAGTATCTGACTGATAACTTGTAGCAGTAATTCAACATTCCCCTTTACTTACAAACTAATGTAGCTACCAAATAAATTACATGTGGGAAAACGTACATGTGAGTCACCGAACCCTGATGTTAACAAAGCAATCTTAATTAGTTTGCTGTCATCTTGATAAAGGTACAATTAGTGTATTCATATCAGTATATAGTAAGAGTGAAAATGTTTTCACTTTAAAGTATCACAATCTTACAACATATTACCTCATGTTCATAATTACAGTATTGTATAATTAGTCCTACTTTCATTAATAAATCAACTTAGCATTGTAAATCTGATGTTCATAGTGAAGAGTTGTTTTTGTGAACTTAAAACAGCATTAACCAACTTTTCCTGTAAATGTTATTTGCCTTTCTCCCTTCAAAACTCTGGATTATCTACTTAGTTAATTTAACAGTTTCTGAAATACAACAAAACAAATTAAAATGACAGCAAACATGAAAAGCAGGATATGGATTTCATAAATCACATTCCCAATGACAGATTGCCTTGACAACTTAAAAATGAAATGTAGAATAATCATTACCTCTCTGAATGATAGCCACAAGCATATTTATCGTGATAATGGCATTAAAAAAGTTCTGTTACAAATATATTAAAATGTCAACATTATATAACTATGCACAACCTTTTCTAAAAATGTGAAAATTCTTTAAAAAATAAAAAAAATAAAAAAAGAAAAAGAAAGAAAACAAAAAACAGACTTGAGCTGCATGGAAAGAGCTGTTAAAATCTTTTCTGCAAATTTGCAAGAGTGCCACAAAAATATATACCAGCTATTAAGAGCATTTTTCAAATGTCTGTCCTAATATCTTACTTTAACAACAAAGTTACTATGCAACTAAATGCTGTGCAAGTTACAAAATAAATTTTAAAATATCATTTATTTATTCTGAAGTAATTTGTGAAGTCAGGAAACCTTAATCAGAAATAAGAGAAATTACAGAAAAATGATTTTGCAAAATAAACTGCCTATGCTCACTATATTAAAAAATCTAAAAATGTTAAGCGTAAACCTAGGATTCATTTTGCAACAACACAGATTACCTCTGTTAACAATGTCATGTATAAAAGTGGCACAATATTAAATTTGATTTTTAATGAGTTTGTTCTTTAAATTTTTTTGAATAAGGAGTCAACAAGTCTTTACATAAGCCACACAATGTGCCACATATGGCGTAAGTATTAAAAATATTCATCAGTCAAAAATCCACCATGGAAATAATACAACTACTTGTTAATACTTCAATTTACATGAAAACGGCAAAGTTAAAATAATATTAATAACATATTGTACTGTATATAAAAAAGCTTGTAGAAAAACATAAATAATCTCACTCAAATCACACAATATTTTTACTCACAAGGAGAGAACATCCTATTAGTACTTCTGACTTCAAAAGAAACTTTTCTATGGCAAGGTAAGTAAAATTGTAAGCAAAATTTTTTGGACTCACAAAAAAATTTTCTTAGCCATGTAATTTTTCTTAGAAGTTAATCATTAAATGGTCAACAAAATCAAAATATTTAGCAACGTGTTTGTAAGAGATTCTTTACGAGACTTCAATGACTAAGGAAAGTTTTTTATAAAATTGTCTGTCAAAAAGAAAATGTTTTGTGATTAACTTGTAATTTTCCACAATCATTCCACAAAGTTTCATGAAGTCAGATTTACAAAATGTCGATGACCCCACTACAAAAATACACAAAAAGGATTCGACTGTCAGGAAGTGTAGGACACGACCTTTTAAGGCAGCACTGATAAGGGTCTATGTTCTAATCTCATTGGAGCACTACTAAATGAAAGCATAAATAAGAAATGAGTATTTCTGCAACAGGCATAATAAAACTTATACCAAAATTATTTGAATGCTCTCACAAAAGATGAATAAAAACTGGTAAAGATCTGTTTACACACATAATCACAACTTCCACAATATTTGCCTTAATTCTAAAATAATAAAGAAAAGCTTTAAGTAGAGAAAATGCTAGGCATTAGCAAAATACCTCAAAACAAGTTTAGCCTTAAAGAAGCTCGCCAATAAATTCCGACTGTTGGGGCTAAATCATTGCCAATACTGTCATCAGATATACTTACTAATGGCCAACAACATTATACAATGTGTCCATTGCATTTGTAAACTTGGCAAAAGTCTTCAAGCATTCCTAGTGCTGATTCAGAAGGCACAAGAAACATTCTAGGAAATTCTGTACTAAAACCATGCATATAAAAATACCATCCTGCCTTCACCAGAAAACAAAATCTATAAATATTACTTTACAACTTTTATCCACAGACTCTCCAGCATAAATAACACAATTATTATATACCTGTTCGTAAGGCACATGTGTAACTTTCTACATTCCTAATATACAAATTATTTCACATGATTTCATTCAATCATGAAATTATACAATAGTGAACACACATTCATAAAAATAATGTAAGTATAAAAGAAGAATGAAATAGTTCAAAACTGTCATCATTCAGACACATATTTAATACAGAACAAAACCCTTTTCAGTTTCCTCAAGTCAGCCAAGTGTAAATAAATGGACACATTGCATCTCTACATCATTAATATAGAATAAAAAGCAAGCATTGCGTTACAAACAATACTACATAACTAGGAAATCTGATAGTACAACAGAAAAGAATGGAGAACGACCTCTTGTGAAATAATACTCATCAAAAACATTAAAATAATAATAATAAATATCAAAGATATTAGTCTCCTTGAAAGTGTGTGAAATACAGAACACACAATAACATACTTGTTCCATCTTGTTTTCAGTTTAACTGAAATGAGTAACATGTTATACCAAAAGGCATATATAATTAAAAATAATTTAAGTCAAGATTATTTGCATTAATAACTTAGAGGACAGATTCAAGTTGATATGAAAAATAATATAATGATGTGTATGAGAAAATTATACATACACCTATCCACCAATGTCTAATAATCAGTGTAATTAAATCAATTTTAAACACTACTTCCTTCATACACCAACTGTGAAAATAGTCAATTCCAACTGCACAGCAGATGGTAATTAACAAATTTCAGGGCAGCTGCCTTGATACTGTAAGGTATAATAAAATAAATACAATACTTAATAAAAAAATATCACTGCCACATGCAAATAGTGAAGGTAGTGGTGGATTTGAAGGATCATTTTAATGATCCTTCATTAGAACAGGAGGTGTGCGAGTCTCTCACTTCACCAACTCTCAGTTCTTGAGAAAATAAAACAGTATTAAAATAGAAAACTATTCATAAATTGGTTCAGTTTCATTGCTACAATAAAAAATAAATAAATAAAAATCAAAATACAATTTGAACTCAGCAAGAGTGAAAATGAGCTTCAACTTTATGAAGTACAAATCTGAATTTTAATTCATTTCTATCTAGTCATGTTCAAAACAACTTTTAAACGATATCAGTCACCTGTGGTAATATGCTATAGCATGGAACAAGGAATCTGCAAATAATTACTCTTTTCAAAAGTTTCTCTAATTTCATCCTTGCCAAAACTAGGAGAATACTTCCTTCCTTAAGGATTATGTAACTGAAGAGGCCAGGACCACAAAATAACTTTTCTCTAACTTTGCTCATGTAAAAGGAAAAACAATTTTTTTGTAAATTCATCTCAATTGGTGAACACACATTTTACTGCTTTCTATACAATTGCTGTAGTTCTATGAACATGACTGTATGACGATGTAGATCATGTTGTTGGTTTTTTTTTGAATAATTCCAAAATCCCTTCAACTCATTTGGATCTCTTAACTCCACATTTAATGTTCAATGGTATCCTAAAAATATATATATTAATTTCTTTACTCCTCTTTAATGTTTTCCCAGTAATATATATCCATTCTTCTGCTTATCGTATTCTACTACCAATCGATTAATATTCCACAATAGCGAGGCAAGGATATTTTTCAACTTATTTGCACTCATAGCAAATGTCCTCATCACACAAGGCACATCAGTACAATTGTTAATATTAATTAAGAAAAAGAAACTATCACAATGATATGAGGACTTTGAGGAAGGTAACTCCAAATTTCAGATCAGAAAATGTTTTGTTTTAAGTGGTACTAGTAGTTTATCTCAGCAGAGCAGTTTGGTTCAAGCTTCAGACATATTAATTGAAGACCAGCGATCTAAAACACCTGAGCATTACCAAAAACCACACTGTACAGTGAATTGTATTCTTCAATCAGCCAAATGGGGTGGAGTATTAGCTGACAATGCCTCAGAAGTGTCAGTTCAGTGAGCGATTCAGTTTGTTCCGAAATCTCTAAAAAAATACTATTTATATACTACATTTCTTGCTACAAATTGTGTTGAAACGTTTGTGAGGATATTCTTTTTCTTCTTCAGCCTTTCCAGGATTAAGCATATTTGCCTGTTACGACTTTAGACATGTGAGAAGATTAAAATTAATTCTCTGATAGAGAAATTAAAGCTGAGGCTGTGCACACTGAAGATAAAAGGGCAGTCCACAATTACTAAATGTTGAAGAGCTAATGCTGTTCACTTTTAAAATGCATAATTTAATTCGCAATAGGCCTACTTTTAATCAAGAAATAAATAAAATTATTCCCATTAAATTTTATCTTTCCTGAATACATCCAAATTTTATGCATGTTTTGTCATCCATGCTAACAATGTTGCATCCCAGCAAACTTGAGGCACCAAGATACATTTGACAAGTATCTCCTGAAACGGTAAAGAATCATAATTGCTTGAAGACACAAACAGTAGAACGACTAAAAGTGTTCATGAAAACTGTACAAAAGGAGTACATTTTGACAACTTGATGTCATAATTTCCCACAAATGGCTCCTTTATAGAGGACAACAAGTCCAATTTGCTAAAGAACAAGAATTATTTTTGGTAAAATATTACTTAGCTCCACACACCATGTGTTTTGGCAACGAATATAGCTTTATGAATGTAGATGAACTAAGCAAAAGACATTCTGCCAAACCTGAATGAATAGCAACTATGGGTCTGGTGAACATTTGATGGCATTCAGATATTTTTAGGTAACCTTGAGATCGAAGGCAAATTCATTGCCCTCTCTTTAATGTAAAAATTGCCAAGTCTCACAAATCAAAAGTTGTTTTCTAGAAATCAATTTCATTTTCTAAATTTAATTGAATTTCAACTTTATTGTATAGATGTGGTAGTACAGAGAAAGTTTAATAATGCTAAAGAGAAAAGAGCCCTTTTTCTTTTTAAAAGCTGGCTTATTTATTAATTTGATTGATAAACTAATATTGGGACATAAAATAATAACTTCCAGATGTTGTTAGCGACTCTGCACTCCTACCCAACCAATAGCAAAGACTTCATGGCATTGGAAGATGTGGATCCACTAATCGCATTCATGTATGAAAAATGTCTACTAAAGTAGAATCATTTGAATTGTAACTTATACCAAGATAAGAAAAAGGTTTATTGTAAAACAGGACAAATTTCAATTATATTTTGTGAAAAAAAGAGGCAAAAATAGTTTTAAGGTATTTGTCCAAGTTAAATTATTTTACGTATAATGTACAGGTAAATTGAAAGAAAATACTGACACAACCAAAGCATTATCAGGAACAACATTGCCAAAATATTTGTGACAGACATCAGAGATAAAATTAACTTCAATAATAAGGTAGAAATTATGTCTAACTTATTATTCAACTGAAGTTTGAAGCAAAGGACCTGAATATTAAAAATAGGTCTTTCTGATTTTTACTCCAACTTCATTTGTATCAACATGTCATTTGGTCCACTTTCTCTAATTATCAATATTTTTTCATTAAAGATAAGCCTTCCCTAACATAAAGTTGGAATCTATGTATTATTTAAACCTTAAAATGCTTCAGTATTATTTATACCTGACAGCAGTGTTAAACAAAAAGCATTGTGCTTTGGAAGATTTAAAAAAAGTTTTATATTATAGTGTTCAAAGACTACTACATAATGGATCAAAAAGCACTGGTGAAATAATTCCTGTAATTAAATTCTCTTGTAAATGGATTTTAAAGACACTACAAAAAATGCATGATACAAACGGAAATAGATGTAAGAAATGAAGTCAAAACAGATGAAACAAAGCTAAAAATAAACCACAGAGAAAGTAACAAGTTCGTTTTCACTTGCCAATAAATTATTCCTTCTAAAATGAAACTTTTTTTTAAAGAAACCGAACCAATTATCAGAAGAAATAAAGTTTCATCAACTCACACTGACAGAAATATCAGGTATCATGTTTCTTAGTAGATTATTCTTGCCTAAACGTATTATAAAAAATAAAATAATTTAGTTTTTAAATAAAATGGGATGACAGAAAAAAATTAACAAGCAGGTTTTGCATTCACACTGTAAAAACAGTGAATCTAAAAGATAAGTAAATTATCTCAAAGTTGTAAATAACTTTGCATTAACAACATGTAAACTCGCACACAACTCCAGGCACAATTAAGAAGCAGGCACTTGGCAGCTTATACTCACAGTCACTGGGGTTCTGAGAGAGTGGTAGCAACAAGATTAAGAGGCAAGTCAGCAAGATTCTCCTCTTCATCTTCAGAATCTGCTGGTTCAGATTTCACATGTACCGCTGTGAAATTGGAATCTGCTCCTGTTGGAAGCATATATCCAGGAGGAGGAGTAGGTTCACGAGCTTCAGGTGGTGTTGCCTGAATCGCCAACATCAGATGAGGCTGGATTTGTTTGCGCCAAGCTGCAAGCATGTCTTCTGGTTCTTCTGGAGTAGTGTTACTAACATTTGCAGTTTCTAGAAAAACAAGAAGGGAAAAAACTTGCATTCTAGCATTGGTGCATCACTAAAGTAATGAAGGTATTGAAAATAGTTTTGGCTGAGTTCCAATACTTTTTCCAAGAATTTTCAACACACACTGAGAATTGCTAAGATGTTCCATAGGTAAACCAACAAATGTAAATTTAAAAGTTAAACAATATTGGTATGCATGGCAGTATGACTACCTGAAATCGTATGAATCTATCAGGAACATGAACCTCCTCAAGTGAATCTATTTCTCCTTAGTGAATTATTTTCCTTAACCCTCACAATATAAAGTTTTCCTTTCAAAGTTCCATCCAAATCTTTGCCGATAATTTAAAATAACATAAAAAATGAAGTCATTAAGAGATCGTCAAATTTTATGAGATTCTTTAAATTCATTAGCTTTAAGGAATACTGCAAAAACAAAACAAACAACAAACTATTCCCCAAAGCAGTAACGTAACACAAAATCATAAGATTTACCAGGGAACCAACTCTATCTTAACACATTGGTGATGGGCAATGGAATTCTCTTGTAATACATACTATCTAGTACAAACACAGTCAAATATGTAGAGCTAAGCATTGAGTAGAAGAAAGTTTGAAGTTACACGCATTTTTATGTTAACTGCAACTCTCCTTCACAAAAATTGAATCTTGCTCCTGACATCGAATTTTCAGGAGAAAGGCCTGGTTCCTGGGATACAAAGATATCCCGACCATCGGATTACCAATTACAGCTTGATGCAAAGATGGAAATGCAGATCAGAAGAATTCTTTCATCTGTTGGCCAGTGCTCTGCTCATTCAGGGCAAATGAATTTGAGAAATATTAGAATTGAAATCTTGCCAGCAAACTGCTTAAGCCAGCTACAGCCCATTAATTTAGACATAATCCATGTTTTTAAGACATACTACAAAAAAATGAGTAGAGTTTATTAAGTTTGATGGAGTCAGGGAAGGACACCATGACATTTAAAATATCTATCCTTAATGCACTACACTATATTGCAAAAGTGTGGGAAAATGTGAATCAATCCACTATCTGCAACAGCTTTAAAAAGCTGGCTTCTTCCAAACATTGAGGATGAGAACATTGAGTAAGTGAAGAAGAGAAAAAAAAAGAAGACAGTGATCTTATTTCTGCATGGGAGATGTTGAAATTGGTTTATGAAGTTAAAGACTTTCTTCATTTTAATGTTGAACTTGTTACTGCAGTGTCTGTAGAAAGTATGATCAACACAGTTCAGGGAGAAAATCACAGTGAAAAAAGCAATAGTGAATGTAAGGTAACATATTCCCACACTCATAAAAGATTTGTTTTCGCCTGTTCGTAATGATTTCCAACTAGTATTTTATTTTAAATTAATTCATTTATTTATTTATGAAATAATAGTGTTCAATAAACAGTTAAAAATATACGGAAATTCCATACTTTGATGTTTGAGCTTTTAAAGAATAGGAAAAAATTACGTTTATTTTAAAATGAGAAAGCGTGAAATTAAGAAGGATGATGATGTAAAATAAACAAATGATCATGAGGCTACCTCTCTTAGGCCTGAGCCACATGAGCGTAGCGTTTACGTGCACCACCTAACGCCAATGACTGTGCACATGTCACATAACACGTGTTGAAGATTAACACTTATGCGAAAGGACACACAAGCACATGTGTTGTGCAGACAGCCAAAACAAGCTACAACTTAAGTCAAAATCGTGTGTTTTCTTGCTTTCAACACGCGACGAGCATTGACAACATCGTATGTCGCCAAGAGCACTTGTGTGGCACAGACCTCATACTCTTCTACCAGCAAATATTAGACATTTTTCTAGCTTTTAAATCTTGTAATGTTTGAAACCTGTTTAATCTCTGTAATGTTATAGAATGAAAATTTGTAAAGGCCTAGTTAATTTTCACAATATTTAAATCTTTATATTACATTTTATAACTCTCTATAATATCGCACTATTTTCAATAGTCTTTCTGTCAAGGTTTTGGGAAAGTGCAGCTACAGTGCCCATTTTGCTTAACACAAACATCTTTCCAGATGGTGTTGTGGCAATGATGTAAATTGCGAGAAAATTGAAAATATACTATGGTAAATGTGGGGCGTTTATAACATAATGAATATATGAAAACTGATGGAACGGACAAGAAATGTTGTAAAGGCCGGGAAAATGTAAATTGCGGGAACGTAAAAGTGAGGTTTTACTGTATGATTATTTAGATATTATTTACATAATAGATTCAGGGTACTTCAGTAATTCTTAATCCACATGGATTAAGTTTCAAAAAAGATTTCTTCAACGGTACTCTTTGTTCTCTCAACATTGAATCGCCCAATTTTAATTTTTACACTTTATTTCCAATCTGTTATCAGTAACCATTATTTTGAAATATCATTTCCACTAGATTACTCTCCGTATTAGTTGATGAAATATGATTTAAGTTAGTAACCAGTGCTTTAACTTTCTTGTATTTCTACTTCTGTCACCACTTCACTCTTTTCTTTTAATAATATCATCTTTAAAACTCAGTTTTCTACTTATAGAAAAAGCAAGCAAGAGAGTTTTAAAGGCAAATAGGGAAATGAAAAACAGATGGGACAAGCAGGGAAGTGAAGGGGGACAGGAAGTGCCCATTTTGTTTCTTAAGCAGTATTCCAAAAAACATGATCTTCTTGAACTTCATTTTTGGATATTTAGTTTTTTGGGTGCTCCCACTCCATAACATGGATGGTTCGAAAAATGCATAAACACAAAATTTAAGTAAAATTGAAGGAAAGTGACAGAAACAATCTTTCACTATAAAATTACAGACTGTTGTACATTCTGTGCAATTTAATCTCAATGCTTACTAATACTAGGAGGGTTAATCTTGCACAATTCAAAGTCTGTAATGCTTAATGCATAGATTAGAGTTAGAAGCTATGTTCCACTATGAAGATATTTTCACTTTTAAAACAATAATTTATAGTGCAGGATTTTTGCATGGGTCCCAATAGTCATGATTATTCTTAAATAGCAACAATGGCAGGGCAGAAAATATTAAGTCTAGAGTGACGATACAAATAAAATTACTTCCAATACACGAAATTGATAGAATTCATTGCATTGATGAGAGTAATATATAAATAGTCAACCAACACCTGCCAACTTCAGGTAGTTAAAAATAGGAAATGATTCGAGAAACATTTCAGAAAAAATTTAGAAACTTTTATGAAAAATAAAAAATTTGAAACAGAAATCCAAATTTAACTCACTAGTTCTATGGCGATTACTCCCTTTCTCTTTTTCCCCCTTTGGCCGACGTCGTCTTGTGTGAATGGTGTCACGTCGCATTGTTACAGGTCTATTAACACCATGCAATTTGTAATAAAGACCACAAGCATTGCACACCATCTCTCCTTCAGGATTTCGACGCCAAATTGTAGTTGTCATAGTACCACAATTTGTACAAGCAAGATCCATACGACGAGCTGCAAGCTGTAAAAAAAACAAATTTCCTTAAATGATTTAACTGAAAATGTTTTCACAAACGCAACAAAATCCAACAATAATCAAGAAACTTGCATTTATTAGTAACTTCTAGACATAATGTTAATTTTCTCTGTATTTCTCTCTATATTTTCTTCTAAATAAAACATTTTGAAGTGTGTCCAAAAGTACAAAATGCATGTACAGTTCTTTAATAATTTCACCAAGAACTTCAACAAATATCAGTTTTGTATTTTACTATTCAGCTTTTTACAATTTCTCAAATGTAGATTTTTTTTAGATTCAAAATATTAAATGAAATTAAGAAGATGTAAATGGACTAACCTTCACGATAAAAGACACCTAAAAAAATTGGTGTTACTTCAAATTTTTAACATGAATATTTGAAAACAACTATGAAATTTCTAAGTCATTTATAGTTTGAACATCAATTTTAAAAAGTGACAAATGTGCTTTCCAAGACAGTTATTTCATTACACAACATAACTCTAAAAAGCACAAGAGTATATTTAGGAAATCTACTTTTACTACTTCACACAATACATATCAAAATTACACATAATAAAAATACAAATCAATAGACATAACTAACTGTTTTAAATCTGAATTATATATGATTTTTGTTGCTAAGAACATCTGTATAATAAAGTAAGTACTTTATCAATGTGTTAATAGAAATACTGATGATGCAAATCACTAGGATGTTTGTTCACTATCTTTATGTCATAACAATGTAGCATGTGACACTAGAAGCAAGTTCAAATCTGTGCAAAGCACTTCTGCACTTGACATTATGAAGTCACGCACAGAAAACGAATAGGGAGGCCTGGTAGGAAAATTGTGCTGTGAGAACAGGTGATGAGGGTGAGGATGAAGATACGCGAGGAGGAAGAGCAAGGTTGAGCGAAGAGAATGTGCAGAGACACCTGGCAGGGTAGACGGGCAGAGAGAGCTTGGGGGGCCGGACAGGCAGAGACAACTGGCTTGGAGGCCGGACAGAGACAACTAGGGAGGAGGGACAGGCAGGAGGCAGGACGGACAAGACGGGGGGCGAGGAGACCGGATGGATACGACGGAGAGGAGGGGGCCGACAGAGGAAACGAGCAGGGAGGAAAGGGACAAAAGGCGGGGAGGAGCATGGAAAAGTACGAAGGGCTGAGAGGCAGGAAGGAGAGGTAGAGAGGAGAGGTAGAGAGGATAGGCAGTGGGGATGGACTGTGAGGATAGGCACGGGGACGGGTAGATGGGATAGGCAGAGGGGATAGGCAGGAAGGACAGGCACAGAGAAGAGGCAGAGAGGATGTGCGATGAGGAAAGGCTAGGAAAATGGGTGGAGAGGATATGCTGGAACGATGGGTGGAGAGGATATGCTGGGAGGACGGGCTGAAAGGACAGGCAGGGAGGTTAAGTGGAGGAGATTGGCAGGGGGGTTGGGCGGAACCGATAGACAGAGGATATGCAGGAAGGACGGGCCGAGAGGAGGGGCAGAGAGGACAGGCCGAGAGGTTGGGCAGGGAGGACAGGCAGAGAGGTTGGGCAGGGAGGACGGACAGAGACGTTGGGCAGGGAGGGAGCGGACAGAGAGGTGGGCAGGGAGGACGGACAGAGAGGTTGGGCAGGGAGGAAACGGACAGAGAGGTTGGGCCAGGGAGGCGGACCAGAGAGGTTGGGCAGGGAGGTACGGACAGAGAGGTGGGCAGGGAGGACGGACAGAGAGGTTGGCAGGTAGGACGGACAGAGAGGTTGGGCAGGGAGGACGGAAGAGGAGGTTGGCAGGGAGGGACGCGACAGAGAGGTTGGGCAGGGAGGACGGAAGAGAGGTTGGGTAACAGGGAGGACGGAACAGGAGAGGTTGGGCAGGGAGGACGGACAAGAGGTTGGGCAGGGAGGAACGGACAGAGAGGTTTGGGGGCAGGGGAGGACGGAGCAGAGAGGTTGGGCCAGGGAGGATGGACAGAGAGGTTGGGCAGGGAGGACGGACAGAGAGGTTGGGGCAGGGAGGACGGGACAGAGAGGTTGGGCAGGGGAGTGACCGGACAGAGAGGTTGGGCAGGGGGGACGGACAGAGAGGTTGGGCAGGGAGGACAGGCAGAGAGGTTGGGCACGGATGTCCAGCTGTGTCATAAAAAGTCAATTTATTATCAATTTTTCTAGCTTTTGGAAAGGTGGTTTATAATGCGTTTATCAAAAAATTGTTAATGCATATAAGAAAAAAGACAGAACATGTTTTCTGAATATTTTAAATAAAACATATAAAGAAAGAAAAAAGTGCTATCAGCATCCAACCAGAATAATGATTATTGTTTCTCTACATTCAAAACATGCTCCTTGTAATTTTAATTGATAGGTGTGGGGGTAAAAGGGGATAAGAATATTTTTGGTCTAGAACGAGTATGTTAGATCATTGCTTTACTACAATACTATTATTGTGTATACGGGGATAAGTGACATTTGAATTATCATTAAAAACTTTGACAGAACTGAAATGTCACTTATTCTCACATATATAATGATAGCATCATAGTAAAGCTACGTTCTGGCATACTTGTTCCAGACAAATACTTGACTTACCCCCTGATACACGCTCCCCATGCGCACCTGCCCATTGTTGTATAAGTAGCATTAACAAAAATGTATTAACTAACCCTTCCTGATTTGACAGCTGATATATTACACCAGGGGTTGTTTCCAGTGAAGTCAGGCAAATAGGTATCACCAGGAATATGAGATCCCACAGGACTATTTCGCTCTGAGGTACCATCAGCTTTGGAGGGATAGCTTTGTTTTCTTCTACTACTGTCCTGTTTAGTGGTTGAAGTAGTGGCCATGCCACCAACTCGCATTTTGTCCACTGACTTCACAACCATTGACAAGGGAGTTGCTGTTTCATCTGAAGGTGGTAAATTCGTTCTGTTCCCCAAAACTACAGAGTGAGAATTATCCATTTCAGATACTGTTGCTCCAGCAGGTGATGAACTATCCATGGTCAAGTACAATTTGCTTCGTGACTTGAGTGAATGTTGTAACGAGGTAATACTGTGGTTGGTTGTTGCTTCCATTGGACTTATTCCCATTTTCCTACACGATATTAGAGTTCTTAAAAGGTTGCTAGCTTCTCCAACTCCAGTGGGTGGAAGGTCACAAGCTTCAGTTGCAGGCTGTTTTACACTGAAACATGAATCAGTTTATATCTAAAATTATGAACATTCATGTAACTACTTTACAGGCACTTTGCACCCCACATACTCAATATAGAAAGAAATTAAAACACTGTTCAGTATCAACAAAAATTCAAATCCTTAATTTATTCACATCTGTTTTCCAAGGAATTTCAACTCATGACAAGACCAAACAGGATATACTTTAAGACATGCACAAATAGAAATCGACAGACCAGTCATTATGCAATAACACATAATTTAGAAGATTTTCACGATGTGAAATTATAATGGAAATAAAGAAAATTGTAGTCTACATGTTTAAAGATGTATTTACCCACACACGCACGCACACACACACACAAAATTTTCTTTAAAATTGATTTTTTCCCCACAAAGGTTCTGGCTGATGTCATGGCTCCTGGAATTTGAAACTGTTATTTTAATTTTAGAGGGTACTTTACATGAAGCTCCTCAGACATTTTAAAAATTTTCAAGACAATGGCTCTCAATTTTATTGAATTTTATTGTTAAATAGAGCAAAAGACGTTTAAGAGAATGCACAAGTCTCATATTCATTAAGATCCCAGATTTTTTGAAAATTGCAAAACAAATATTTAAAACTACAAAATTGAAGATAGAGATTTTTGGCTCAGACAAAGTCTGTTGTACAAAACTCTCTTTAAAAAAAGGTCACATACAATTTGTCAAAAACAGAAGTTTTTACTTAAAATTTTCACATTTCCCCCCCCCTCAAAACTCATTCCAAATTATTTCTTTAAACTTTATCCACATATGTAATAAGGGATGATACAAAAATATGGTGCTAGACCCATTTTTGTGTATTAGTTATTCTTTTGGGAAGTGAAAAAAAGAAAAAGGATTTCAATCGAACCAACTACCGAATTGAAGATCGAGGTTTTTACTCAGACACAATCAGTTGTACAAACTTAGCTCTTTACAAAAGAAAAAGTACTTTTTTTTGTAAAAGTTAGTAGCTTTCACGTAATTTCTGTTCGAAATTAATGAATGGGCATGGGCATCCCGTTATTCATAACGATAACATTGTAATATTGGGAAAAAGTATGTGCTGTTGTAGCACCACTAGTTCTCTTTCATTGTGATACTTGCGAGTATCTCTTCATAATAAGTGGTGAGAGAAGGGAAATAAGCCATTTCAGAATTAGCGTTTTATCGAAATCATATTACATTCTCAGAGACACTTCAGAAATGGAAAAGAAAAAAGTTGGGAGACATGGATACCTAAATTATCAACAGTTCAAGAAAGAATATAATGTTCATTCACTTTGTCCCTGAAAAGTATGTTGTTTCAAGAACGAGCTTCCAAGATACAATGAGAGGGATGCACATAGGCAAAACATACAAACTTTGACTAAGATTTGGGCAAAAAAGTCTGTATATTAATAAAATAAAATTGGATTGTTCAATAAAATTTTTATTGGTTAACATAACCACCATATGTGCATTTTCGGCAGATTTTTAGCAGGAAGTGTTGGAATGTAACACTGGATATTCTAATTTTGAGACAAAATCTCTCTATAAAATTCTTGTTTTCATTGATGATAAATCAAATGTTGAACATTTATTTATAGTGCCACCAAATTCACCACTAAACACACCAGGCCTTGACGGATGCGCTCAGCTTGCTTCCTGCTCCCACGGTATCAATGACTGCACCTTTCTCTTAGAGCCGCCTTGAAATGCTACCGCGCTCACCCTCGGCACCGCAGGGTTAAGTATAGGAATTTGGGCATAATTTTACCGATCACCTTAACAATTTTCTTTTTAACTATTCAAGATTAATGTGCAAGAATTTATAAGTGGTTGCAAAGTAATATATTTTGTTCACAGATCAATTGCCGATGCGCCGTTAAGGCCAGTGCTTCTTCAGGAAATGATTTTTGCAAACTGTGATAGCTCACTCGCATAGAAAACATTTTATAATATCCCTGTTGGAGACCTGTGCAAAAACATTCAAATTGACTTGTACATTCCACGAATACTGCTGGTATTGTACCTTCGATAACAAAAGATTCATGTACCTCACCATACACAACAGAAGTTGTTTAGATAGTTTACAGACTGTTGCAGCATTCCAAGGAATCTGTTCGTATAAAAATTAACACCCGAATGCTACATGACGATAAGTTGTGCCCTATACTATAATATCATCACATTTCTCACTTGACAGACAGGGTAGGGGCAGGGCGCAACTAACATTACAGACTGAGCCAGTGCATCATTTACATAGGTCACCACACTTCAATTCGCAACGATTTCATTGTTTCGTGTGTATTAGTGGTGTCTTTAGTGGAAACAATATTATACATTGTTAGCAACTGTAGGCGTGTAATAAATCTGCAAACAACACGTAACAGCAGCATAAACGGCACATGGTTATCTACAAAATACTATTATATATTGTTTTAGTAAAATCTGAACCTAGTGGGCAACTTTTGTTGTATTCGGCTTTAGCATAGCAAACTACATAAAAACCAGCTATAGTTAGCCATTTAAAAAAATTACTGTTGTCCAGTTTAATTAGTTCCATAAGTGTGGCTGTTTTATTTCAGGAGGGAGCAGTGTTCCTCCCTCGCTAGAATATGAGATTAGGAGACGACCTACACAATGAAAAGCATCTGCTGAATTTGATATTACTTCTGAAGATTGTATTCATGTCTAAGAGATCATGTCAAATTATCTCTTGCAACACAGTCTACAGAAGAATTTGAATCAATGAGTTCCTGCATGGTGTCAACATTAATGACGACAACATAAACTAGTGGGACTACAGAATGACACAGACTTTCCCTATTCTTTTCAATTTCTCAGCTAGTTTGTCTCAGCTAGGTACTCGGACTTCCTACATACTCTGGCCAGTTGCCATCTATCGTAGCCGAAAACCCATTTTTTGATATTTTCTTAACTTATCGGTTTCCTAATTGCAGAGCAGGAATATTATTTTAAGATTATTTAAGAACCATGTCCTAAATGGTAATTTTCTTTGAAAATTTTGGAGCCTTTTTAAACAACTGGCATTTTAGCGCTACTGTAATGGCGAAATTTGATGCACTTTCAACAGAAAATCTTTGAGTTTTCGAAAAACTTTATTTGAAGTCAAATACAAATTGCTGGAAAAGTGAATATTACCGGCGCGAGAGACCTTTCAAAAATATTACATAGGTAATTTTTACCAATGTAAACCAAATTTAAACCAAAAAATACTCTGAAATAAACTCTACGTCATATGAAAGAGCGCAATTAACACTACCCATTCAAAAAGTTTGAAGACAAAATTTTGAGCTGTTTTTTAAGTAAATGGCGTTTGAGTAAAAATATGAATCTTTGAACTAGTATTCACAGAGAACTGTTGAGTTTTCGAGAAACTTTATATGACATTTATATGACATTAAAGTACATGTACTCATAAATACAATAATGTGAACAAATTGGCCCTTTTTCGGTATCACGGGCTTACAAAACGTGTATTTTCATTTAAATCTCAAACTCAAATTTCTGCAGCATTACATGACTTTCCCAATACTACGTATATACGTACACGGGAAAGTAATAAATATTGAATTTTCGTAACAAGAAAGAAATAGCGTTGGATTATTTTCTTGTGAATTTTTCACTACAATACACAAATCATGGATAAAAGGGTCTGTAAAATTAGTAAAAGGCACATATAGACTCAGAAATGCAATAGCAATCTGAAACAAGAAGGCAATAGTGGACAATAAACATAATAATGTAAGTAACTTTCAGCATAGTGCTCATGCCACATGAGCAGATGAAAAATGTATTCTGGGGGCTCTGGACTATTTGCTTTCAATTTTATTGCACAAATTGAATATTTTCTTTTCTAGTTTCCCTTTTACAATATTTACAACAATTTCAACTAAATTTTTATATTTTAGGGATATTTCAATGTTTTTGTGTAACTATTTATGTAGCTACAAATAAAATAATGAAAATCATGTAAAACAGATGAGAAAAACTGGAAAAAACATTTTACACTGTATCTGCCTTGTGTGTCCACTTGGGCACAGAAGTTCCTACCTGCATTGACATTTTTATTAGGAGTGTTTATAAACATTTTAGCACTCCGACATTACTTTTCCTTGAAAATAACACCATGGTGTAAAGAAAATGTTTAAAAACTTAATTCAGGCAAGTAAAGATTAAATGATTTAAGAGAACTCATTGCAATAAAGTGTTATTTAAGCTCAGAAGACATTAATAGATGAAACAAGTATGTAATTATTAAAAAAATCTATTTGTATTTAGTGTCTGAACTGATTTTTTGTTTTTAAACTATGAACATTTAATATAAAAAATAGTGGTGCTACATAATGGCAGAGACGTTTTAATTGTTAAGTTTTTCAACTTCCTTGGTGTGACTTGGCTTTACGATCTTGCCTCATCCTCTTGCTAACTACCATCTATCGGCACCGCATTTTTTGTTTCCAAATAGTTCCGAAATATTATTTTAAGGATATTAAAGAACAGTGAAACTTCATCATCAATGGCAATTTTCATTAAAAAATTTGGAGCCATTTTTAAGAAATTGAAGTTTAAGCGTTTCTATAAATTTGTAATTTCAAGCTTATTTTAAACAAAAAATTTTTGAGTTTTCGAAATCTTTATTAGAAATTATTTGAAGCACTTCAACTCACAAAAGTAATAGTGTTTACAAATTGCTGAATAAGTGCATATTTACGGCATGGGAGATATTTCAAAAAAATTAATTTGTGTATATTTTAAAAAACTCCAAACCCCAAAAAGAATTTCATGTCATTTTAAGTCATGTAATTTGCAGTGCCCATTAAAAAAATGGAGAAAAAAAATTCGAGCTGTTTTTGAGAAAATGGCTTTTGAGTGTTTTGAGAAAGCAGAATTCTGAGCTCATTTTAACAGGACTGTTGAGATTTCAAGAATCTTTATGACCATTATAAGAAAATCCACTTACAAAAGACAAAATTCATGTTTCCAATGTCAGTTGCATATAAACTTTTAAACATTTATTAAAACAGTTATTTCCCGTATTTTTGAGATCCTATTATAGGAGATTCCTGTCGTCTGTGAACATGACTATTTCTCACCACACATTTGTTCTCACTAGCAAGAGACTAAGCGATGAATTTTCCTCCAGGTGACTGAGGAAGTTTGTCAGTGTGGTAGGGTTAGGATTCACATTTAGAACAGACTGCAGCAGGGTTTCACAACACCAGTTCCACCTTGAGGAAAGCACATCCTGTAAGCTTCGTGTCTCTTGGCCACAAGGTAATTGCTGCAGTGTCCAATTGTTTTCAGCTGTGTGTATTCAGAATTTCATTTTACTTTGGTGCTTTCAATCAGTTTCTTCACGGTGTGGGCAATCTCGCCAGGACATACATTAATACTAAGCATGAGAATTTGAACGGTCAATTTTTTGTTTTGTTTCAGCCTTCCACAAATCTGTGAGTGATGGCATCAAAACAAAAGATTCTGTCATTGACTGAGAAGTTGATCATAATTAAAGAAGTAGACAAGTGTACAGGACAATTGGGGAGAGCTGTGGTGGAAACACTGAAGATGTTTCAGATAAATTATCCAGAAAAGAGGAAATCCTCAATGCTGTCTGGAAAATGGGTACCATGAAAGAAAATTCATTTGTCATAATTCAAGGAAATGAAAAAGATTATTTTGGAGTGGTTTCAATTGTGCAGAGCTTAGGTGTCCCTATTGATGGAAAAATTTTGCAGGTGAGAGTTATATATAGAAAGAATAACAATGGGTATTATCTCTTCTATCCTATAACAGGATTTTGCTGCACATTGAATCTTATCTGGCTAAATGGGCACTGGTATCAAGTAATTTATGTTTCCTGAAGTTTAAAATAGCGTACAAATCATAATAGTACATTAAAAATATGGCAACACTTTGTTAAAATGTCAAAAAAATATTTCCCACTTATAAGAAACAAAATTCCATTCCCCCAAGTGTTTCTTATAAAGAGCTTTGCTACTTTAAAATGAAGACACCCTAAAGGTGTCAAATATCTTAAAATAATTGTAAGTAGTTTTGCTCTCTTACTTGGCAGTCCACTGAGAGTCACTCTCTTCGTCTACTTGTGCTTCAGTAGTACAACCTTCATCTGCAGCTTCTTGTGGACTAGTAGGCATCTCTTCTCTGCATTCAATTTTCACCTTCACACTCTGGGCATCAACAGACATATCTAATCCCTGTTCATGGTAGCTACTTGAACAAAGGTTCTTGCCTCCTGGATCTTCTTCTTGGTCACAAACTCTTTGAGCAACCTCCTGATTATCAGAGGAATCTGAAATTTAAGAAATACATGTCTAATTAACATACTTAACACAAAGAAGAGAAAAACAAGAATATTGTCAGCAGCACATCTATGGGTGGGAGGGCTGCAGTAAATGGTTTGTTAATTACTTGACAGGTAGGATACAATTTGTGAAATAAGGAAAGCAGAGTCTGAAGAGATTACGGTGTATTCAAGTGTTTCACAAGGATCCCATTTATGCCCCTCACTTTTTTTATTCTCTTTGTGGAAGACATTAAATTTTTGTTCTGAAAGATGTCAATTACTTATTATTTGCAGATTGTAAAATTTTCAAGTTAATTGAAATACCAGACGATTATCATTGTCTTCAAACTTATTGAATGATTTTTCAAAACGGAACTCTGATAATCAATTGGAGCTTCATCCCTTCACAGGCAAATACATAGCCTTATCGCACTCTAGATCACCTATGGAATACGAATACAAAAATGAACACATTACTATCTCCACAGTATCATCAGGGTCAAGGGTTTTATATTTGATTCTGTGCTGACATTTCAGGAGCATATACATTTGATAATTCATAAAGCCAATCAAGTTCTAGGATTTGTGAGAAATTTTTTGGGCTTCCATTCAACGAGTGTTTTGAAATTTGTCGTAATGAGACTAATTTTGATGTTTGCAGCAGTAGTATGGTCTCCACACGTTAACATCTAATGCACAACAATTGAAAGAATTAAGCATAAATTTTTCTGAATAATTGTGATGAGAATGCATTTACTTGATCCATTTATTAATCGTGAATGTAGTTCTATTGCAATACAATTGAATGCAACATCCCTTGTAGACTCAATAGTTCAAGTTCCTAGTGAACTTGATAACAAACCATTCTGATTGTCCTCTACTTTTGAAAAAGGTTAACTTCAGGATCCTACCTGTCAATACTATGGGACTGATTAGACGGAGAGAACTACATTTGAGTATAATTTGTCATATCTAGTAAACAATCCATTGTCAAGAGGAGTTTATGAAATCAGTTAAAGATGGATTTATTTAGCCAAAACAGTCTTAAATAGAAATGGGAATAAAGAATGCTATTGAAATATGAATAATTATACTTTTTGTATTTATTTCAAAATGTTTATGTTTGTTATCTTTGACTCATGAATGTCTATTAAATATCAAATGTTTAGAAGAGTTGTTTAATATTTTCCGCAGAAATCGACTCACAAGTCAACAAGCACATCACTCGTTTTGTATTCTAGTGCTGCACATCCATTTATTCAATAAATAAATATTATAGAATATACACATAGTATTATATTATTTACCTCTATAATATAAAAAACGCTGTTTGTAATTAAAGTTTCAATTTTATTTAAAATATTTTGCACAGGTTATTTCATGTAAATTTACAGTGTCTATTTATGACAGTATTTCACCTTTTTTGACTTTTAAGAGCCTATTTAAGGCACCCAAACAGTGTTTAAGTACCTAAAAATCTGGAGTCCAGTTATTATGAAGCTGTCATGAGAGAAGCAAAGTTTAGCAATGAAAATTGCATTAATGAATAAAATCAATTATAAATTAACAACAAAAATGAAATAAAAGTAAATTTCACTTCAGCATTATGATATATTTAATGTATTGATAGGGGTTCTAAAATGTAAGTCATAATACAGATAATTAGTGCATGTACAATGTTTTCAAGATGTGAGAAATACTTACAAGTGCCGTTTAAGAAAATATAGAAAATACGAGATTGAAATTCCTGAAGACTGATACATATGCTTTGTGAATTTCAATGAAGCACAATAAAAACCTGTTTTCACGAAAACCCACAGCAGTAACAATTAAAATATATATGCAGTACTACTCAGCCAAACACGAAAACTAATTGATAATCAATACATCACAGGATGCTTGTCAAGAGAAAAAAACGTATTTAGAAGGAAAGTTTCAATGAGATATTTTTTCAGTCCATTCCATATAGTACTTTTTAATGAATCTTCTTTCTCTTTATTTAACCTACACATAAATCTTGAGAATAATTGATTTCTCCAAGTTTTTCAAGGTGTATATACTGTCAGTATTCCTTAAAAATTGATGCATGCTTTACAATATTCTTAACAAACCACAAATTTCCAACTAAGTATCCTCTACTTTCATGTATATGAATATACAGAGTATTATACACAGTATAGAGAAAGTTATGTAATGCTGTGGAAAATTGATTTTGAGATTTTACCGGAACTTACATTTTTTAGTCCCATCACACCAAACAAGTGTTTTTTTCTGCACATGAGCATTAGCGCCCAAACTATATACAGGATTTTTTTTTTTCACAATAGACAGTTACACTTTTTAGTGATATTGCTAAATGTACTGTAGCAGATAACATAATCAACATTACTTATGTTAGCGGTGAGTAGTTTACAATACTGCATTTATGAGTATACGTAATTCAAATTATGCTTTATAAAGTTTCCCGAAAAATTCATCATTTTTCTGTGAAAATGAGATCAAATTTCTGCATTTCAGAAATGCTCAAATGCCACTTTCTCAAAAACAGCTCCAAATGTTTCCTTTAAATATTTTGTACAGGTAGTGCTAAATACACTGTTTAAGATGGCATAAAAGTAATTTGGGAATATTCTTTTACTTTTTTTAAAAAATAGGAAAATAGATTTCCTTTGAAAGATCTCTCTCACCATTAACATGCACATTTCCAGCAATTTGTATATATTGTTGCATTTGGGAGCGGCAGTGTTTCAAAATATCCAATGAAGTTATTCAAAATATCAAAATGTTTCTGTGAAAAAGATCTTTAAATTTCATATTCATAGTAACACATGACATTTTCCTTTAAAAAAAAAATTAAAAAAACCCACTCCAAATTTTTCAACGAAAATGTCCATATATTTATAGCAATGAATGCAAATAAAATGCAGCAAGTCTAATTTTCATTGAATTCTCCCACTTTTCAAAAATTCATTTATAAAAACAGGCAATTGCCTATTATAATATAATTATTACTGTGAAGCAAATGAAATATATGAAGATATTTATGAGAAGTAACAAATGTTCACTACAGAGTTCCTGAGTAGCCTATTCGATTTCTTCGATCATACAGTGTAATGTCAGCCATTGTGGGTATTATGTATTCCAAGGTTCCTGTGACGCCATTCAGCGCCATTGTCGGTTTGGCCGATTTCGTGATAAATAAAGGAAGAGATTTTCTTTTAAAGAACAGTCGAAACCAAGAGTTTGCCAGCAGAGTTCAATTGAATAAAAGGAAGAAGCCTTGATTACACCAATAACATATCCAACACTTCGAGTTGTTCATTGGAAGTGGTTTTGATCAATTATTTTTACAACATATTTCGTTGTTTTTTAGAGCATTTTTAACAGATTTTTAGTGCACTTTATTCATTTTTGGCAATCATGTTTTAGGTCATCAACATCCACCCATTGCACACATTTGATTACATCTTCTCAATTTTCTAGACGGAACTTGAGTGTTAATACTCACTAGTAATTTTTCACAATTGATAGCATTGGGTTGTAAAAACTTAAGGACATTAAAATTTCATTAAGATGACAGTGAAATAATATTTAGGTTTGTTGCTATTTGTTCACAGTGCCAACACAATCTCAGTGAAGAAAATATGATTTTCCATGCCACATAATAGAACAATTTATGCAGTACTGTTTGTAATTTTTTAACGTTGATCAGATAGAAAAATAACCAGATGACGCTTGCATATAGAAGAGATGGTCAAACTAATGTTAAATATAATGTTTTCAAAGTGTGTATATTCCAGTCAAATTCTTACAGATTCCTATAAATCCTAACATTTTATTAGTTTTTACAGAAATATATAGAAGAAAGTCAAATTTAAATTTCAATATACTCCTATATAACTGGATTCCTTGACAAATATCTTTTGATTTTAGGTTGTTGTTGTTGTTGGGTTGTTTTTTTTATGTGTAATTTATTTGTCAAATTCACAAATTGTAAAAATTCAAAATTTTGCAGTGTTTTCCTACAACTACAATATTAAAGGTAAAAAATGTTTCTTGAAATTACTGATAAAGCATTTAAAAAACTCAAAAGTTCTATGTAAATGAACTCCAAATTGCACACTCTCAGAAGTGCTGAAATAGTATTTTCTTGAAAAGGCTCCAAATTTTTCAAAGAATATTTTAATTTTTCTATAATACACTTCAATGTATATTTCAATTCTACAATTAGAGGACCAAAAAACTGAGAAAATGTAAAAAAAAATATTATTGTTGGCCGAGAGGTAGCAGCTGGAAAGAGCACGAGGTCTGATAGAAATTTGTTTCCGTGTTTTCCCAGACAAACAGATGACTGACTAGTTATTTGAATTCAATAATAATAATAATAATAATAATAATAATAATAATAATAATAATAATAACAACATTTTTACACAATGTGCAAAGTAAGCTTCCATAGAATTCAATTATCTGAATTTAATGAGATCACCAAAAACAACTGGATGTAGGGGCCACTATTCAATACACCACAGTCTAATCAAGTTATTAATCCCAAATAGCACAATTATATCAGTCCAAAAACAACTAATCTATCAAAGACAAAAAATTAAAGGAATTGATCAAGAATGCAAGAACAATTTGCACATTCAGATAAAGCCAAGTCACATATACACATGTCAAGAATCATGAACACAATACAATTGTTCATAGTAACCTTCCTTAATACAAGCAGAGGTTGAAGTGGAGATCATTGTACATTACTCCATCACATACTCCATTGTACATTGTACTTAAACCAGCAGTTTAAGCCACTCACACAAATCCTTGGAGGAGTGGACAAGGGAAAGTTAGGGAATTCTGATGGAATCTTTTAATAGTCAGGGGTAGAGTTTCATATGCTGTCTTGTATGTGTATATTGGGTGTTTTGAAAATTTAAAATAGAGGCTTATTTAGTGAAATATGGCAAAACAATAATATGAATGTAATTGAATTTAGTGGAAAAGTGAGTGCTTTCCTGGAAAAAATGAGTTATCAATGTTTATCATCCCACAGATTTACGAGGTGAATTTTTCTTTAGGTATTTTCTCATAAAAAGCATTGCTTTAGGTGTTACACAGACAAGAATGTTTTACGTTAATCATGTCCCCAGATGCCCAAGCCTTCATTTTCAACTTTGAAATAAGTAGTGAAGAATAAATTTGTCTGAAGAAATAATTTGGCCTTAAAACACAGTGGAAAAGGAATAGATGAAATGAATAAAATATACACCATTTTCTAGATATGCCCTTCTTCCCTCCTTCACATCCCAAACCTTCCTTACTCAGAGTATAATGGACTCTCTACTTAAACTCAAATGATATTTGGGTTTCAAAAAATTTTGAAAAAGAAGAATAGGTTTTATCTCAATCATTTATTACATCAGATATTGTTGCAAAAACTGCAAAAGAGAACAAACTGTTTTTGTGTAATATTCTCTGTAGTGCTTAACTTACATTGTGAAAGCAGGCATATTTTTCTTTCCATGAAATAAAAACAGGAAACAAGTACCTGTTTCTGCTTCACCATTTACTTTCTTTCGCTTGGATTCATCAATAAGAGGTTCTGATTCTTCACAGGGTTCCTTCTTTATTCGTAATTCAAGAGCTCCTGTTCCTTGCTCTTGCTGAGATGTGTCATTTCGTGGTGATGGTACAGACTCTTGTTCACTGCATGAACCATTTTCACTGTTCTTTCTACTAAGATCTTCGAGCATTGGTGAAGGGACTCTCTTACCATGTTCCTGAAAACCATTACAACACATTTCAATCACTGCTACATTAAAAAATTATAGGATCATCACAATATTAACAGACCTTTGCAATAGCTGACAAATGTTCAGTGTAAGATAAATACTGTTTCAATATTACATCCGACTTCCGAGAAACTTCTCTGAAGTCGTACAACACATCCAACTTGTAAACACACCGATGACATATTGAAGGTGGGAGAAGATCTCGCTCCGAAACCTGTGTAACAAATTCCATGAAAATCAGACATTCTTAGTTAGAACAAAAATTATTCATAATTAAGCTCTTACAACTCAAATAGAAAGTTTGTAAAGGAAATCAATGACATTGTGTGAGATCACTTTTTTGTTTCAATTACATTATCACTCTAAAATCAGATAAAAAGAAAAATACGAATGACAACACATATCACGTCGTTATAAATGAGAGAGGTACGCGTTGCTTAAACTAGAACGCAAAAATATAGACGTGAATGCTCACTCAACAGCTTATCTTATCAATCTCCCAGTCACAGCGAGCCGTCGAGACCTACTTCAACCCTTTCGGGCAAAGAATCAAATTTACAAAGTTCGATTAAAAATCAATGTTCCTGATTACATACCAATATAGAGAGACACGTCATAATTTTTAGTGGAAAGTTGCGTTGAGTTCCTTCGTCATCAAATATAGATGATTTCACACCATCGCACGATAAACAAAGACGACACAGTTCGTAAAATTTCGGCGGTATGTTGCACATATTGAGTATTATTGTCTTGCTTGTATAAAAAATCTTACTACTTTATGTCACAATAACTACATTTAAAACAAAAAAACATTCCTTAACTACCGTTGACAACTCTTACAAACTTTTTTGTCGTCAACAACACTCATTGTCGGAAAACAGGAATACATCATACCACGGCTTCTATGATTGTGTATTGCTCGACCGTACAGTAGGTGAGTAAGTTGGGACAAAAATGCGAGTGCCTTTGTAACATTCCACTATAGCTAAACTACAATCACCTATTATGATAATGTAGGACCAAAGCGAACGAATAGTAAAATAAATATAATAGCCATAAACCCTTCACTAAGAAGTAATAGACTCGTGGAATATTTGGAATTATTTTGCACGAGACTGATCAGGCAGCATTTACCTAGTCAAGTTTCATTACGTACATTGATGTTTCCTGGTACGAAATGCGGATAAACGGAATCGTGATGATTGTTAATGCATTGGGAATATAACTGAAAGTTAGACATAACGGGCAGAAATCGGGTTATCATGAAATATTTTCCAAGTTTACCTTGATTACTTGAAAACTTTGTGTAAATAGTTTCCGGAGACTTGTCTGCTGTATGGCGTGAAGATAAAGGTAGATGCGTTACAAAATATTACAATTTAAGTTTGCAAATGTAGGTAATTCATCGTACCTTTAATTTATTTCGAATGCATGAAAAGTTGTTTAACATATCAAAATTATATCAGACTTGAAAGCCTAAGACAGTGTGATCCAAGACAAAGATCTTAATTCCGCAAAATAAATTTTTGTTTAACAAAGCAGGTTTTGATTTCTACATCAGATTGGAATCTTCTATTAATTTTATAAACTATGGAACTAATTATCATTAAAACATTTCCCATTTCCCTTTTTGCAAATAAAATTCTTCCACTTGTAAAATAAAAGTATTTCATAGTATTTAATCAAATTTCTCATGTTTATCGAGCAACAGTTTTTGTTACAAATTAGAAACCATTGAATCACTTTGTTGTACTCTGTACAAATCTTTTCAAAATACAGTTACAGGAAGTAAATGAAAAAGTAACAATATATCAACAGTAAATTTTATTCATGGACAAACGTTTCAACCTTATATTATGTAACAGCAATTGAAATTTAAGATACACATCTTTTGTCGAGATCTACATTTGGGTTTTAGACTGTTAGATGACACTATCATCCTACATCAATTTTTCTGGAGCCAAAACAACAGAGTGAAATTTTGAATTTGAAATAAAGACAAGCACTTACATATTACCTAGTACATAAAGAAAAGTAAGTTACTTTTCTCAATACACATATGCTTGGTGTACTGTAATCATTTTTAGCCCATAAGTTCAATTTTCTAACTGCAAAATATTCATAACTTCTATGTGGTAACATAATCTATTCACATTTTATATCACAGATGATGTAGTTACACTAGTATTCATTCTTATTCACAGAATAGAAAGGAAATACAAATAGAAACAATATATTACATTGCATTGGTGTCTATAAACACCCACACCACCAAACTGCTAGGAACACATATCCCACACAAAATTCAATTCAATTTACCATAAAGTATACATTTTTATTCTTACTAAATAGGAAATAAAACCAAGGCACCATTCAAAGACCTGATTTCCTCTAAAGCTTATAATTTCTTAATATCATTGGAGATATCTCTTTATAGTGTCTTACAGTTGAAATACAGTCAGTCATAAATTAATCATAAAAATATTAAGTACTTAATTCATTAACATTACTTTTAAAAAAATAACTATCAAAAATAGTGTGAGATAAAGAAAAGAAAACTAACCGATTTTTTTTTCTCTTTACATTCTGAACATGTTTCAGAATTTGGATTACCTTGGTTTGTTTTTTAACTTCCAGTTCCAAAAAGGACATCAAGTATGTTGTATGAGTGCAATACAAAACTAACAGTGTATGGGCACAATATAATTTCAATAAATAGGTGACCACTTACAGCTTAAAATTTGATACTTCCACACTGAAATTTACATGTTACTGTCTCTTTATGTAATTTTATTATCAGACTTGTAGCAAATTTTTGAATAATGATTAATCACACTTGACATTGAACACCCTTGGCAATTTTTTACCACATTCTTGCAGCAGCTTTTCTGAACACCAAAGTACAATGCATACAATTTGACCTTGCTACATATATTTTTCAACATGATACCGAATAATAATTGAACCATCACAATATTTCAAGCTAAATAAGTTTCTGATCTACACTTCTGTCTCACCACTTCAGCGAGTTTAAAAATAAAATAGAACACAATGAATTCATTATCTGGTAGCGTACATTTAAAAAAACATGCTAATTCTGGGAAGCCATACCAACACTCAATTAAATGGAACAAAAATTAACATTTTGTCACAAAATAAAATTTCCTTAAATCCCTTTTTTCAAAAATAACAGATGATGCACAAAGTTAATTTAACACCAACATAAACATTATCCAAGTTTACACAAAGGTATTGACCTTTGAATAAAATTTCCAAATGTGTCATAAATTTCCTTCATTGGTGTTTTTTATGTCCTCACTCTTAGTATGCTGTGAAGATTGAAATGTAACATTTGATTTGTGATGTACATAACTGTGCTTATAGTACATTTCTAAACTCTTCTGAATACTCAGGTATTCAGAACTTGTTTCTTGAAGTCTACTCACAGATCCCAACAGCAAATTAATTTCTCTTAATGTGTGTAGTTGAAACAAAAGATCTTTTGTCTGTCTTCGCAGCAAACGCTGATATTCACTAGATGCATTAATGGCAACAGACTGCATTGACTGTCGAAAAACAGATTTCCTGTACCGAGATAAAGTATCTGCTATTAATTCAACAGTTTCTCCACGGACTTGATCCACACAATCCTTTGCTGAAACATTATCTACACCCTCGTCCCATCCACTGCATAATGCCAAAATTCCTTCCATGTGCGATAAACCTCGCAAATTGGCCAAAACAAAATTAATAAGATTACTGACAGTAAGCGGAAGATTTGATGGGTATACTCTGCTATCTGATTTTCTGAAATAAAGAAACTTTATGTTAAAGATGGTCTTTGGTAACGAAATATCATTGCTTAAGAATATTTTCACATTCTTACCTGAATGCAGGAAAGAACAACAGTGTAGGATACCTGTCCATAGTAAATTCCCAAGGCAGGTCATTATTTTCCCCATCTATACGATAGAACTCAAGACTGTGATGGAGTCTGAAGTACCTTGCTACTGTCAAGTATATGTGAGAGACACTATGGCAAAATGCACAATAAGGGGAATGGTATAGAAGAACAACGTCCTGAAAAAACACTTCTGGAAATAAAAAAATAATTTCCTTAATATTCACACAAAATACACAAGATTAATGTTACCTTATCTTCAGCCATAACAAATGCTTCAAAATTTGAAGATGTTAATTCTTGAATGCACATTTCTGACTCACTATTTGTACAACTTTCTGATTTAATTTCTCGATACTTGTTCAGAGAAGTGCTCCACTGCTGAGAACTATTCCTTAAACTGCGACTAAGAAGCCCTTTGGTGTAGTTTGTCATGAAATCCAGCAAAGACGAGTGGCTTACAGGACCATTTAACACATATGTGCTTTCCAACTACAAGAAGCAATAAAATTAATATTTTATAAATGCAAGTTATTGAAGTAATGCATTCCCATTTTCAAAATACATGAGTCAAAGTGTGGAAGCTAATTCTTGAAGTTGAAGTACTTCAAGAATTATATAGAATGTCTACTTATACTAGTTACCATATCTGTGAGAACCCTGCACTTCTGGCTCACCAACAATCCAAATAAACAACATATTGATAAATTTTGTTGGTAAGAGTCTTCTATTAATTACTCTATCATGTTGTGACACTTTCTTGATTCTAATATTTTCCCCTCTAGAGCTTTCTGCAGCTAAGGCACACTCTTTACATCCTGATGGGAAGCATAATCAACCATACACTACATACTAACACACTTGCATGCTCCTCTGATCTGGGGTCAGCAGAATGCAAGGCCCTCCATAACAACACGTACACGAGAAATTAGGGACAAACAACCATGCCCCAGGCAGGACTAAAATCCTTGATCCTGCAGACTGAAGGGCTGAGTCTGCACATGCTCTTAGCCACCTCAGCCATCCAGATCAACCCTCTAATATTTGACAAACAGAAATTCAAAATAAACCTGGAGCCTTATTGCATTTCCACATTGCCAGCTTCATATTGAATTTCCACACTGAACATATCCCTTTAGTACCCTGTAAATTTCAGTGAAGGAAAGAATAATAATTGATAATTAGAATTGAAAGAAAAACAGGACTTTTCTGAGATGAAGAGAAACAGAACTCTGTCATGAGACTGGACTATACCATCACGGCAATGCACGTGTGTTGTAAATTGGTTTAACGTGTGTGAACGCAAAAAATGACTTCTCTGATCAAAGGGTATCAGATTACTTATAAATACACGTTAATTCCATATATACATGTTAATTTAGTTGCAAAAAAAAAAATTTGGCAATAGTAATAAATGGTCTTTACAATTACAATTTTATCATTTACAGTAGAGTTCCGAGTTCTCCGGCTCTGTGACGTCATGCGATTACGCTGTGGCAATCAGTGAGCGACGGAGAGGGGGGTAGAGTGGGGATATGGAAAGAATGTGAAGGCAGAGAGTGGGGAGGAGATGGAGAGTACTATTCAGTTAATAACATTGGTCTTACCTAATCACTATCCATCGATGAGCTATCGCTGTTTTCACTTTCTTCACACTCGTTATCCGAGTCCATATTTATAACAATACTGTCTATAATGTCCGGCACTATACCATCCCTTTCCCAGTATTCATTTTCTAGTTTCGTGATGAGAGCAATACCCCATCCAGTCTTCAGTAGTGACTTGTGTGATAGTCCAGTTTGTAACTTCTAACAATTTTGCTGTCGACATGTCCCCATTTACATTTCTTTCCTTTATAAGTCTTAATTTTTGCCCATGCCATTTCAATGGGATGCAGTTCACACATGTAAGGAGGGAGAGGAATGACTGAATGACCCCTACTGGTAAACAGCTCATCAATTTTGTAAATTTTGTTAGGTTTTAGTGGCAGAACTAATTGATATAATTCAGGCTTCCTCAGGTTTTCATGAACGTGCAATCCTTTTGCATTTAACCATTGAATCAAATCTCGCTTTACTGAATATGCAGTTGGAGTTTTATTAGCTACTACACTATGATATGGGGCAATATCGAGCACAATTACTGCATTAGAAGGCAGGTTTTCTAATAATTTTTCTCTCACCCACTTTTCAAAATTTTCTTGGTTCATTTGACCATGGTAATCGCCTAATGCACAACCAGCTTTCAAAATTAGTTCCGTACCATTAATGAAACCATTGTTTCCACCAGCGTAAACTACAATTAGTGTAACTGATGCACTTATGTTTGCCGTTACACCAATTATATCATCATGCTGCCAGCACTTTTTAACTACTAAGCTGTTGTCAATCCATGTTTCGTCAATATACACTATTTCACGGCCTTCTTCCCTTTAATTCCTCATTTGGACGAAATATTTTGATCTCCAATCAACAATGTCTGCTCTTTCGATCAACACTTTACGTTTTGAATTACATTTCTTCCATCTGAATCCCATCATCTTCATCAAACTCCATAGTGACTTTTCTCCCCAAGGAAAATTGATCTTTTCTTTTATTATGGGCAACATTGTTGATACCGTTAACACTTTCTTTTCACGGACATAGAAATCAAAGATAGCGTTTCTGATAACGCCCATGTCAAACTCATCTATTTTCACGGTGTTGCAACGAGACACTGTTCTTTTCTTTTCAGGTGAAATAAGTCGCCTGTCAGCACTTCCTCCATTTCGTGTATTATTTGCTTTCCGAATTGTTTTAATACTAGTTATACCAACACCAGTATATACCGCTGCTCTTTCTGTGGCTTTTGTCAGGAACTAGCAGATGATTTTGTTTCTTTTCTTTATCGCATGCTTCAATTAAACTTGCTATGATCTCCCAACCTTCACTGTGAATTGTCGAATTCGATTTCTGTTTCGCCATTTCGCGTGTAACATTCGCGCACTCTGAATCACAACTGAGCTGATGTTTGCAAAACCAATGCAGTGACCGAGTGCCCGCTTGCTCTTTCCTACAACCCATGTACGATTCACAGATGTCTGTCAAACAAATCCTACAGCCCATCACTTTATCGTGCTCCCTCCTCCCCGTGGAGAAACGTAGACCCCTCTTACAGGGTCGGAGAACTCAGAACCGATCAGTACTTAACTATTAATAAATAAATTATTACTTACCTCAGCATTAAAAATAACAACGGCTGTTTTATCAGGAAATGAAAGTACATCCAACCCAAGACCCTCCGCAAACTGATGGAATTGGAGTGTATCCATGGCTAGCAAGGATAGGGACTGATTAGATCGACAAGCTAGTCCTCTAAATCCCGGAGGGGTTTGTCCAATTGAAACATATCTTGGAAGAGCTGTGTGCACCCGTTGAGCCCTGTCCCATTGCTGACAACGCTCCTTTGCTGCTGCCAACAGTAAAGCAGTAGCGGCTCTTTCATCATTTAGCCCTTTGAGCATCGAAGTTTCCAAGCCAACACTAAAAAAATATATTTTGTTTTAGTTCCAAAAAGAACAATTAACTCTATATGCATTTTATTTGCCTTTACATCAACAATGGCCTTTTTATTGATTTGTAACTAAACATTTAACAATTATTTTAATTTAAAACATTAACAAGGCCTGAAAACGAATTGAATTATTATTGAAAAATATCACATTACCTTCCATAATCTGTCTGATTTTCAGATCTTGACAATTCCTCTTCATACATGCAGTGTCCTGACTGCCATTTTTTGCAAGAAAATTTGTCATTCGTTTCTGCACAGCCAGAGCCTTTTGAAAATGGCACATAATCCAAAGACTGGTCAATACCAGGAGCCAGAAACCAAGCAGATCCTGAATCAAGGTAGCACCTATCCGGGCAATAAGTGCTATTCTCATTGGAACACCAATGATCATTAGATGCATGTTTCTTGTCCGAACCATATCGTGAATAACGTTTCATTAAATCACAATATGAATCCAAATGCTTTTGTTCTTGCAGATACTCTGAAAAACAATTTCATAAAACATAAATGTTGAAAGAACTATTATTATTCAAACATTTCTTTCAATAGTAACATTATATTTGCATTTGCATGCAATGATGTAAGTCCACTGATTTTGTGTATGTACAAAAATATTACATCCATATTATGTACCATTCTGTTTTCTTGTAATTTGAGAAGAAAGATCTTGTACCCAAGGGTTATCATCACAGTTGTAATACTCCAAACCAATTTCACGCACCTGTGCATGAACAAAGAACATTAATAGAGAAGTTACCAGAAAACACAACATTTCATCAGATAAAGGATTTGATTCCTACAATGCTCTTACAGAAGAAAACTACTATAAACTTGTGAATGTGTGTATGCTTTTTGCATTGTACACAATAGAAAAAATAGACATAAGGCAAAACAAAGAAAATTTGAAGACGGTGAAAAGAATTGACCTACAAAGCACACTGAATGATTTATTATATTAATCTAATTTCAAAAACAATTGTAGTCTGAATAAGATAATTAATGTTATTGTCACCGATGTTTTGACTTGGAAACCACAGACTAAGTTTTGCTAAGGAAACCAGTAATCAATGGACTTGAGTTGAAAGTTGCAGCTGTTTTTTCTGTACAGGTATCACTTCCCATATTTCATCAGAGAATCTACAAAATAAATTATTAATTTTAAAAGAGTGTTTGTAATAAAATTTAACTATTTTGTTACCATTGTTTCACCATCACAATCTTCCATCTAAAAGATTGTTTAAAACGCATAGGTTCAACATTCAGATTCCGTCTTCAACATTCTCTCCTTTTGAGAGACTTAGTAACATTAAGATGACTTATTTTGTAACAATTGTTAAATGCAATCAAAATTATTTCTGAGCTTATTCATAAATATATGTTATCGAAAGGAAATTCCAAATCTTATTTTGAATGAAAGATTCTACTAGAATAGGTAACACCCACTTGAAATGATCACTGCAAAATATATTTCCCCCACATGCATATTACTTAATTCAGTTTCTTTACCTTTCTTTTATAAATGGTCAATTCAGTAATCTTCAGCAGCAGAGACTTGAGTTAGAGAAGGAAAAAGTTCCTGGCTACATTTGTTGCAAATATGTAAAATAGTACTCCTTGAGACAAAGTTATTTGCATTCAAAGGTTTGTTGTATCGTATGAAGAATAAAAGACACACATTACCAAACTGTAGAGAATTAAAAGCTGAATCATAGTTCATCAAGCACAGTGATCAAGTGATAATCATCACATCAGTACTTCTAATACTAATTCAAAGTTAATACTATTTACCAATGTAAACTAACTTAAGGGTTTAACATACGCACATTACACGCATTACTGGAATGAAATAAATAAAAGAAATCCATGCAGTATCCCAGAATAAAGAAATATTTAATAGTGGTGCATAACCTCCACATTATTTTCTACAGTTCCATTAGGATTCAAAGTAAAAACAAACATCTAATATATATAAAATATATATATATAAATATATATAAAAATCAATATTTATTTGTTTGTATATTATGCATAGCTGTACTTCCGATCTTTGTTCCGTCCATATGTATTGTTCTTCCAATCATGATAAAACTTTTCAAGTTATTGCTTGCACTAGCATGAAGTATAAGGGAATAGTTGAAAAGAAATGTGCATAAGTCTGTTGTACAGATGCAGGTTGATGACGATTTTGTGTGTTTATGCTGATTCAAGCACCCCTGAATAGATTTACACAACCTGCTGGACCCACAAGTATTAAAAGTGTCTGCTGTGTATTCCCCTGAGATTGTGAAATAATCAGCTGCAATTATTACTTGAACATTATTTCAGACAAGAAAATCAAATTTCTCTAAGGCAGTTAAAAAGACAAATGAAATAATTAATACATATAATGATCCCAGGAAAACAGCTTAGTTATCATCTCCATCTTATATCTACACATAGCTTATTGTTGAGAAGAATCAGCCGTAATTAGACCAAGCAGAAAAATTATTTTATGATTGAATTTTCTATGAATCATAATTAAAAAACTTAATTTGACAAAACTTAACAATAACACACACTTTTATCCATATACAAAGAAATGTATCATAAAGTACCTCATTACAAATAAAAATCTCACACATTGAATGCTTAATATTTATGTAGATTTTCTTTAATACATTCAATATTACATATCGGATGAAATAATAACACATTCCATTTAAATATCTTGTTAACCGTTGAAGATATCGATAATCACATTAACTATCAATTTTTCCAATTTAAGTTTCCCAAAACTAATATTTCCTATTTTCTTTTTTCCAAAAGTGACATTCCCAATATTCTCTTCCAGAATACTAAAAATAATTAATTTTCCGAATACTTTTAGTACATAGAAATGTTATTGACAGTTTTAATTTTACATATGAAGTAATAGGGTCTAATGGCATTAAGGAAATGCAGTTGTCGATTTTCTTCTCTATATTGATGACACATCAAAACAATATTTTTAATTCTATTTTGAACTGTTAACCACTTTTTTTAAGGAAGTGCTTTCTCTTCCACTCCATCAAAAATTCTCTCAGCACAGTTTCTGAGTCTCCTTCCTCCTTTTGAAGTTCACCAATCACTGTATAAAAGGGTTGTTGATTCCAATGACAAATTGTATGCATTTATGGAAACCTTTGCCTAAATTATTTGTTCAATGTTGTTTATCGTAGCATCTGGATATCTTGGTGGCACATTTCTTCTTCTGCACCAGATTCTCCGTCCTGAGATATAATTTACATCAAAGTATTGTAGCATTATTTCCATCTCTTCATACAAATTTTCTTGCAGTTCTTGAAAGCAGTCTGGAATATCTTCAATAGGTACAAAAGCAAATGCTAACATCATGTGTGTCTCTGTTTATATCTGGTAGTTTTCAAGGTTATTGTATTGCTTGTACTGCTCCTATATTCACAGTTTGCAGTATCCTTCTATTCATGGTTTGCAAGAAAGAAAAAAGAAGAAGAAAAAAAAAAAGACAACGCACAGCCAAGTAAAACTTCCGATACATTTGTTATATCATACATTTGATCAACATCACACATTACTTTGTTTGGAAATGCTATCTTTGTTTTAATATTTCAAGCAGCATTAAAAACACTTTGGAAAACTTCTGTTTAAGAATGTTCACCTTTGTTACTTAACAAACTAAATACCCATATTTGAACTTCATTCTTCGTTTGACGGTTGTTTCTTATATTGTCGTAAACAACTTCATGACGATGATTGGATTTATCTTGAAAGTCCCATCAACAAATCACATGTTAAAATTTTGAGAAAAATTGGAAAATGTCATTGGGGCATCATGAACAATTCCACCCACAATTAAAAGATCCATCTCAAATTCAAGGGCCAATGGCAAAAGTCACATCAATTGGGGAATATCCATTTTGGTGAAAATCCTTTGCACGTTTTGAAGCACCAGTGATCTTCAGACAGACTGACACCTCCAGGTAAACCAATATCTTGGAATCAAGGAACCACCAAATCTAGATTCCAACTACATTACATAATCAAGGAAGTAATTTATTACATTTACAATTAACAAATATCCACTTCTTATCTGACAAAGACCTACAAAACTTTTTAGTTTCTCGCCAGTGCTTACGCAGTATAGAGAAAGTATTGTAAAGATGCGGGGGGAAAATAATTGATTTTCAAGAGAAAAACTAGTAGCTGGGCCATGGTAAGTAGATAAATCTAGTTCCTACATGTAGTAAATAACTTTCTCTAATACATTTTGTAAGTTTTATTCGATATTACCCTTGAAAAACATAATGGACACTTAAGGGAATGGGGTAGGCCTCATTTTTGTTGTAATCCCAGATTTTTTGGAAATAGCAAAAATTAAAAAAATTTTCAGTGTTTTCCTACAACTACAATTATGAAGATAAAATTGTTTTCTTTAATGGAATGGGTTCATCAGAAACAGATCTTCAAATAAGATTCAATTTTTTGCAAAGATAAATATTTCCCCCCTGATTTTGCGCAAAACAGGCAATTTTAAAATTACAATTATTTTCTCAAAAATGGCTCCATTTTGTCTTTAAATTTTCTCCACGTATGTACCAAAGAATGGTAAAGAAAGTGGTGCTAGTCCTATTTTCGGCACACACACTGTATTTTTGTAAACTGGAGAAAAAATCGAAAAGGCAAATTCGAATATCTCACGCTTCATTAGACATGACAAAATGGCAACACAACAGTCGGAAATTCTTAGAATTTTGGTAATTGTTGCCAATTGTGTTGATTATTTGATGTACATAATATTCTTATAAAAGGGAATAGATTTTACTTGAAACTAACAAATACACTAATTTTACATTAAGAAGGCTTAGTGGCTGATTATAGAATTCAAAAATTGAAAGTTAACTTTGATATAATCAGGTCAAGCTTGTGTATTATTCTCACTTCATATAAGGCGCTCCATATTCTGTAACAGTTAGACACACTCATGTTTGTTTCATTTGTAAAAGTAAGAAATGACTTCTGTCCTTGGCTACCTAAATAAATGCAAATATGCACCACAGGTGTTTCGTTTGAATTCGTTGACTTGGATTTTTTCATGTTGCAGCTAAGGTGACAGTAGGGCAGAAATTGCAATATTGCATTATCATGTAACCATTTCCTATAAAGCAAGTATGTGCCATTGTAGCCTGTCCAATTTATTTGAAAAATTGGTGCCATTTCTAGCAATATTACACAATGTTCTCTTTGTATGAAGTAGATTAGAAAAGTAAATGAAATGATGAACTCCATGTATTGCTGAGTTGTAGTGCCTATTTGCTAAGGTACTGACATTTATTTGTTTCCTAAACAATAGAATATATCTTTTTGTTTATTCTATGACTGCAAGATGCACATGCTAGCACAATGCAGGTAATGTACATAGTGAGCTTCACTATTTTTCCATTTTGTTTTTTAGAAATCACCAAGCAGTTCATCTACAACAGGGGTTCCCAAACTTTCTTTCCCCTTGCCCCATCTGTCAAGGACCCCCCTTTCCCGCACCCTCTTGTACATTTTTATTTGGTAATAAGTAAAACAAGTGTTATTTGGAATATATGCATTTAAATTTTTTACTCTTTACAATATTACAAGTTAATCATGTTCTTTTGATCTCGGGTAAAAATGTTCCGGTCGTTGTTTTTTTTTGTTAGGTCAAGAAAATGCAATACTATCTATGCCTAATTAATATTACTAGTTGAAATTTAAATTAAAAAATAAGGGTCAAGAAAAACAATGAGACCTTGCATTTTTTTACTAGTTTCCCTATCTTTGGTTGAAAATCAGAAAGTGTACAATGAAAATCATTATCAAATTTGTCCCAATACTTTGTTTTAATTGCACCAAGTACTGAAAATGCATTCTCGCACAAGTAAGTGCTAGGAATAGGTAAATAAAATCATACCGCTTGCTATTATACACTTTGTTGTGCTCAATCCAAAACATTAATTTGTTTATTTTATCAAATTCATACTAGGCAGCAGAATATTTTTTTTTTTTTTTATTTCTAAAGTTTGTTCTTGCAGTGCTACAGTCAAGAAGTCTATGCTGACATTGAAAGGATCCGTTGTTAATTTGTAAATTATGTCATCACAAGTGTTAGGAAAGCATCTGTTCAATTCTTCAATGAGGTACTCCAAATGTTTTGATATTTGCTTTTTTTAAATTTGTGCCTCTCCAAAAACCTCCTTAAGGCATATTTCTTTAGAGACAAACTAGTTTGGTAAAACCTGTATATCTGCAGGAGTGTGCCAATATCTTACACTCCTAAGTTGCAACTCTTAAATATATACTGTGATGGCATCATGATGTGTAACTAGATTTGACTCTCCATCCTGCAATACTAGGTTAAGGTTGATCGTTTCAAAGAAATAACACACACAAGCAAGCATTACTTCAACACTATGTTTTTAAATTCCAGACTTTGTTAGTTTTGGTTTTGATTTTCCAAAAAGGTAATTACTTCATCTAGGAGCTAAACCTTGCAAACATATTTTCTGTCGAGATACGGCGAACTTCTGTATGAAATACTGTGTTTTGTGATCTGTTTCTATATCTTCGCAAAGCTTTTTTAAGAGTCAAGTATTTAAAGCACAGTTTTTTATGTAATTAACCACTTTAATACACAATTTCAACATATCATGGGGTTCATTTGGAAGCGTCTTAGGTGCCAAGGCTTGACAGTGTATGAACAATGAACTGCAACCACAGCAGCATTTTTCTGTTACCAATTCCACAAAGCCTGAACAAGCACTGAAGGAGCCCGATCCGTGCACACATCAATCAATTTTTACAATGAAAGTTTATATTATGTCACAACATCTGAGACTACTTTCATCACATCAAGAGCCTTTGTAGCTGTTGCCAAGTCTAGAAAACAGTACCTCATCTTCCACATATCAAACATAAAATATTAACAAAGAACATCGTGCAATATCTAAAGTCTTGTTCAACAGTATTGCAAAAAAAAGCATCCCCCCCTCCCGCAAAAAAAAAAAACTACTTGATTTTATTATGATTTTGGCCATGTTATCAATGCGGCATTTCAGTGTTGTCAGAAAGCAGTATTTGTGATAATTTGTTTCTACTGTTCCAAGAACAATATTAGCTGACGAAGCGAAAGAAGTGCGATGGTTTTGAGTGGACGTGTATCAAGAAAGGGGCCACTGCTCTTGTGCGTAAGTGTTCCGTGCAGAAGGGTCATGGTTTGCGGGAAGCAGGTTGAGTATGATTCAGGTATTAGTAATAGCCTATCTTTGGGTTATAACACTGTCAGTCAAACCGCCATAAAAGTTGCCTATCGGCAAGTTTCATTAATTTCTTTCAGAGCGCTTAGCATAATTTAAGGGAGGGTTGAGGGGGCCCCTCCATGCCGCCCCGCTTCTCGAAGGGTGTACCATGTACCCTACTTTAAGCAAAATTTGAAAACGTTTCTGTCGCAAATTACGTATTTTTAATGACAAATCCAAATTTGCAATAAAATATGGCATTGTTTAAAATTTCTAAGTTGACCTCTCATCCCAGGTGGAGTGAGGCAATGTAAAGGTTTTCCCTCACGAAAAAACTGACACTTATTTAAGACTTTTATGTACAATGCACTTTTTTGAGATAATTTGAGGACTCAATTTAAATGAATCATTCTATATACTAAGCAAGGCACAGCAGCACAACTGCACACCTTGTCAGCTTCCACTTTTACAACCCTCATGTGTACAAACATTCAATTCTCACATTTAAACACGATAATATACCTAGAAAACAAAAATAAGACTATTTTCTTACCATATCGTAAAACTGATTATAGATTAAAAATGGATTCCTCGGTGTGAACAGCATTAGAACAGATCCTTTTTCTACATATGGAGATAACGTTAGACTCTTCACCCCAGGAGGACTCACCCATACAGATACTTGATGAACATTGTGAGACATCCATTTTGTAAGAGCATCTACAGAATAGTCAGCAGATTGGCTGTACTCCTGAAACATATACAAATCAAAATAAAACAATTATTAAAATTTCTAAGTGAATAAGATTACTTTAAAAAAGTAATTATAACAAAAGTGATTAAATCAAATACTCAAATTAATATTTTTTTGTTCAATTTCATACACGCATTACGGAATCTCAATTTCAAATTAAACTGAATTATTCACCAAACCTTTATCCAAATATTATTTACTTACCAATGTTTCATTCCACATATAAAGTCTCACTGCAGGAAGTTCAAATATACCAAAGTGAGCTGCAGCTACTTCATTTGTGACAACACCAAAGCCCACTTCTCGAAGTGGATCCCTTTCGAGAAATTTAAGAGATGTAGAATAAAAAGTATGAAAACCAGGGCTACCAATGTTACCAGAAAAGTGGAAAAGTCCAACAACCACAGCCTGCAACCATTCATGACAGTATGTAATACATTCAAATGTAACAATGAAATATACCATATACCATAGCTCTGGAATTGTGAATACATCATACAACACTAATACAACCACATTTTACCTTCCTAAATACCAAGAAAAATCAAATCTGAGACTAACATCATGAGAAGCCATCAAGTCGACAAGATCATGAGGATGTTCAATTCTTGATAATGGCCGCACAACAGATTGTATAAACTTTATCATATGGCCAGCCTCCTTAACCCCTTTGTATTGAATTCCTTTGGTATGCTGAGTATATGCAATCAGCACTGGAAAGTGTTGAATTTTTGAGAACTGTTGACGACATTCTCCAAGAGGTTGCCAACAATTTATAGCTGCAAAATATACCTGAAGAAAAAATTGTTCTCAAGTGATTGTTCACAAAAAAAGCAAAATAACATCAAGTTATATACAAACCTGTTTATAATAGTACTGAGCAACTATAGCAAATTCTTCCTTTAAACTCTGACTTTCTGCGTCCCATGGTGCATAATACATAACAAATGACACATCTGATTCTGCCACTCTTTCAAAAGCAGAACTTAACTGACCATAATAAAAATCTGCTACTAACGAAGTCCTTGAAAAGAACCGAACAGGTAACGGACTTTTCGATACCTTTGGTGGCCTGGCAAAGCAATTAGATGATACAATTATGGCAAAATAATTTCCACACGAAGAAATTATATTTACGAAGAAATTATACGAAACAACTCACGCATTTTGTAGGGCTGCGTAGGATGTAAACAAAAGCGCTAGTACAAAACAAAATTCCCTCCCATAAAAGTACATTTTACAAGCAACAGTGGTTTCTTGGGTAGAATGGTTTTCTCCGTCAACATCTCGTTCTTCTCCCGTCACTTTCATGCCCATAGACATCACTCCACGTCATACGTCGGCTCTCTACTGAATATTTCAAGAGATACGAAATAGTAATAACATTAGAGATTTTTTCTTTTCATACATTTCGATCTTACAAATCTATTACAATTTATATATCATAAAGCAAACAAAATAGCATTAAATGTCAAAGGGTATACTGTCTAAAATCATTAACATCACGTCTCTCATCCCTACATGTGCCATTGTACTAACCAGGGCCCTATATCTCCCATATAACGTGGTGGAGACCATTACGGTGGCGCGATCTGCTGCATCACCTTCTTTACATGAACTAAAACACAAACTGTTGCCAACGATACTATAAACGTGCGTGGCTACTGCGTGAGTTCTCGGGTCGCCAGCAGGCCAATAATGTTGCAAAAGATAACGTCTATGTTCGCGCATTTTTCAGAGGTTTCTTATAAGTATAGATTATGAATAATAGTACATTTATAACACACTTTTCGTATTTCTCACAAATTAGCCAATTTGTATGTGGGAAAGTTGGCGAGCCTAACCTGCAGCTGCACCCGGCGACACTAGCGCTTCCTATAGTAGCAACCTCGAGCTTTGTCCCCAGTTTTGGTGGAGAGTTGCCGGGCCCTGGTACTAACTGGTACCAACCTAGCTAGTAGCTACTTAAATTATACTTCGGATTTTATAATGTGACGCGTCAAGGTCTCTCTTCTTAGCGGTAGGTTACCTCACGTTATTTCACGACTTTTTCGGTTGTGCCGCTAGATGTCGTGGCCATATCAACACAATGTGTGTGTGTGTATGTATATATATATATATATATATATATATATCATATATACTATACTATATATATACTACCCTACTAGATAGATAGATAGATATATATACTATACTATACTATAATACTATATACTATATATCATCCATATATATATATATTAACTATATATAAAATTAAAATTCATATGATACTATCATTATAGACTCAGATAGCATAGTAGATAGATAGATATAGATATATAGATGGATAGGTAGCACACGTGATGATGAACTAATATAATAATAATAATAATAATAATAATAATAATAATAATAATAATAATAATAATAATGATATACCGTGTGGTGCCGGGCAGTTTAGTAGAATAACACCATGGGACCTCCCCCTGTCGTAGAAGGCAACTAATCGAAGCAGTTGTCCGCTGTCACCCCCGTAAAGATCCCGTCATTCCCACTAACTTGGTGTGTTATTACTTTCACTTGCTTATGGCACACTTCTGCTTTCTGGCCGTATCAGCCAACTCGTGTTTCGGACCCCGCCGCCATTAGGTTGCGGTTAGGTATTAGGTTAGGTTAGGTTAGGTTACGTATTAGGTCTAGGGAGTCGTTTCCATTCCAACCTTTTTTATCTAACTCTATTCTTTTCAGCCCCCTCTTTTTCCTTCCGTTTCCTTACACTGGCGGTAGCTCACAAACACTAGGGGACGGCGACCACCAAGAAAAAAACAAGATGGAGGATCTTTCAGGAAATAGTAAAAAATTCCACCAAAATAACTATAAACTTGTAGAGAAGCAAGCGTTTTTAAGATAACGATAGAAATGTGAACTATCCGGCAACAGTGGCTAGTCTCTTTAACCAATACTTTTCGAGAATTGATGCCTATTTCAGTAAGGGTCTTCAGCCACAAAATTCAGCATCAGACGTTTCCCCAAAAATTTTAGGCACGATGTTTGTTTCCGAAGCTTCTTCCCATGAAATTCTGAAAATGTTCGGTAGACCAAAAATTAAATATTCGGCCGGTTTAGATAAATTTCCGGATTGTTTGTTAAAGGCTTGCGCGACCGCCATTATACAACCGTTAACTCACGTATTTAATGTATCCTTATGCGCAGGAAGTTTTCCAGATATTTTAAAACAGCTATGATTACGCCACTTTTGGAAAAATGCAACAAAAATTAAATTCATAATTATCAGCCAAGTTCCCTTTTGTCGGTTTTTTCAAAAATATTAGAGATACTTTTTTACTTACGAATGGAAACATTTCTTAGTAAACACGGCGCGTTTTCAGATTGCCAACATTGGTTTCGAAAATCAAAATCTACGGAAACAGCCATATTTTCTTTTCTTAAAGATGTCTCTTCAGCCATGGATCAAAACGAAGCATCTATTGGAATATTTTTAGATCTTTCAAAAGACTTTGACGTCATTGATCATAACATTCTACTCTCAAAATTACCTTCGTATGGAATTCGTGATGTTGCTCTAAATTGGTTATGTTCGTCACTTAAACAACGATCTCAGAGAGTAGAAATACCTTACTAGAATAATCGAACATAATTTATATACCTTTCTGATTCTTTGCCAATTGCATATTATATGGAGCCCCGCAGGAATCGATTTTAGGTCATATTCTCTTCCTCCTGTACGTAAACGATATGCGAAACGATCTTTGTCAAAAATGACAAGGTCAGGAATATATTTTCAGCAAACGTAGTTGTCTCTAAACAACACTCGACGCAGTAATCATATTCATCAGGTGGCAATATCAACAGCTCACTACAAAAATCCTCTTATAATACATGTACATTATTTTACAACACCTTGCCAGATGACATTCAACGATTCAATTCGATACAAAAGTGCCAAGTAAAATATTTTCTGCTACACAATTGTTTCTATACAATTAGAGACTATACGGAGCATCCAAAAGGAAAGTAATGTTAGTTTTAACAATGACATTTAATGTATTTTATACCATTTGGATTGTATAATTGTAAAAAAACCAGTAACAGTATTGTACTTCAGCTTCTGGGTCAATAACCCCCATCTCGATCAGGTTTTCGCTCCGTTTCCCTGATCCTCGAGCAAATGCTGAGATGGCTCCTTGTTTTGCTTCTGGACATAAATGTAACTTCAAATTAACTTCTCCCCATAGCACGTCACACACAGTTTTAACTGTTTTTGACGTAAATAAATAAAAATAGATATACCGTTACGATGCAGGGAATCGGAACTCCAGAACCGGCAGATTGTGGTGCGTATGCAGGCCACCGGACGTCGTCACCCAGCGACTGCAATTCCAGAGATGTGGATCACTCGAACCTCTGACAGATAATGCGACAAATGCATTAGACTCCTTGTTCGGAAGGCGTCCATGCACCCCCTCCTCACCTGAAGTACCTACAGGAGTATCGGATCAAGAAGAGCCATGCCCGAAGCGAAAAGGAACGCGGTGGACTGGGTGTTAGAAATATGGGAAATTACGAAGAAGTTGGCGAAACAATATTAGGAGATTATAGACCTCAGCTAGCTCAATTAGCCGTAATTGACAGAAGTCTGTTTAAAAATACCTCAATGACAGGAAGAAGACTTTGACCACAGAACAAGAAGTGGATGTGTTGAAAAACAGATGGCTACACATTGAAGAGGAGCAAAAGTTGATGTACGATAAATTGATTTCCCTAGGGAAATGTGACGAACAAACCGAGAATATGCGTGGTAAAGAGAGACTGGAGAAGACCCAAAGGGCTTTGAAAATAGTACAGAGAGAGCTCCAAGATCAGCAAAACAAGAAAAGACAAACTCCGATTCCTCCAGAAGACAATAGATACGTCAAGGTCAAGCAGGTACAAGTCGTCGAATTGGATGCCCGTGTGGAGAAACAAAACTCTAACGAGGTTTGGTTGAAATCTCCTGAACACAGGAAGACAAAAAGAAAGAAGGAAAGTTCGTCCAAAGAAAATAACCATACATCCAAAGCAAGAAATAGACATATCAATCAAGCCATCAAATTGACAGCTAATGATGAGCAGTCTTATGCAGAAATATTAAAGAAATTAAGGTTTATTCAGGTATTAGTAATGACCTATTTTTGGGTTATAACACCGTCAGTCACACCGCCATAACAATCGCCTATCGGTAAGTTTCATTCATTTCTGTCAGAGCACTTAATGTACTTCAAAGGAAGGCTAAAGGAGACCCCTCCTCGCCTTCTCCTCCCCTCGTCACCCTTCCCCCTCCCCTCCTCGCCGCTCCGCTTCTTTTTCGGTTGATCCGAAAGAACACAAGTCTAATATCCAAACAATCTGGAGGACACGCAAAAGTGAAATCCTGAGAGTCCCGGAGAAAAAATTGTGATCCAAGCTCTCTAAACGAAGCCATTACGCGTACTGTAGGGGACAAGGCGAAAGTTAACACGTTCAACCCAAGAACACTAGTCGAAATACGGAACATAGAGAGACCGTTTCGCTGGATGAAGTGAAAGAATCATTTACAAGCATTACGGGAGATTACCCCTCGGAGACATGTAGAATATTCAAGGTTTACGGAGGTAGACAGGTAGCAACCGCAATACTCCCTATGCGCTAAGCAGACGTTCTGCTTGAAGAAGAGAAAATCAAGATTTGTTGCCTCGTTTGCCACATCAGAGTGAAACACGAAGTCAGTAGGTGTTATAAATATTTAGACTTCGGTCATATCTCTACTTACTGCTAGAGAACAGACAGAAGTAGTAGCAAACAGGGCCACACGGCCAAGAAATGCAGAGGGTCAGCACAATGTATTGTCTGCAAAGACATAAACCTAGGAGAAGATGCAATATGCTGGGTAGCAATAAATGTCCTTCATTTTCAGCGGCACTGAATAAACACAGGAAAACAAATAATGACTGTGTTCCTACAAATTAATTTAGGCAAAGGAAAGACAGCTCAAGAACTGCTGACTCAAACGACTAGGGAAAGACACGTGGATTCGTTACTGGTTAGTGAGCAGCAAGATATAGACGAAATAACTCATTACCAGGACCCGACTAGACGTGCAGGTATTATATCACTTAATCCAAAAGTGAGAATCAATAATTCAAATACACAAACCAAGGGTTTGTCTGGACGGATATGGACAATATAAGAATATATAGCTGCTATTTTTCACCTCACAATCTAATTGAAAAATTTAGGAAACAATAGACGAACTGGAGGCAAGCATGAACTTGGCACCAGGAGAAATAATCGTGACTTTAATAACAACGTGGAAACTTTAATAGCAAGTCCCCGGAATTGAGTGAAAGCAGATCTGATCGTAGAGGTGACATTGTCTGCGAATTCATTGCCAGAAAAGATCTGGTGGTTTTAAATACAGCGAAGTCGTGTACCTTTTTTGAGAGGGGTAGTATCTTCCATAATATATCTGACAATAGAAACCTCAAAGATAGTCAGATGTGTTCGGGACCGGCAAGTCCTTGAGGAAGAGACACTTAGCGATCATCGCTATATGCAATTTTCCACTTCACCTGCTGGAAACAGAACTGGAAGAAAGATGCAGCCAAACGTCGGACCATTATGGAACATCAAAAAATTAAGTGAAGAAAAGGCCAGGACATTCTTTGGCGAAGTTAAAATGTTGCAGAGTATTGGACGGGGGGGAAAAGTAGATTCCCTCGAAGAAGCAATAAAGGCAACGCAAAAAATCGTTAAAGATACATATGAAATCTCAATGCCTAGACGCATGTGCCCATGGGTACTGGTGGACTGCAGATATTGCAGAACTCCATAAAGTATGTATTAAAGCTCTCAGACCTGCAACAAAAGCCAAAACGGACATCCAAGGGAAAACTATAAGAGGTCCGGAATCAAAAGAAGTAAAACCAAATGCTGGAAGGCCTACCAAGGCCTTACCAAAATGATATGGAGAATGACTCCTGGGGAAAAGCGTATAAAATTGTTATGGAGAAATTTAAACCATGCAACACAGCGGGTCTAGACGACCCCGAGTGAATGGAGGTAATTACCAGAGACCTTTTCCCTAGCAGAAAACACTTGGTAAGGAATAGACCTGACTATCACTTAGACGAAGTTAATTACTTCACGAAGGAGGAATTAGTACAAAACGATGATGAAGACAAAGTTGAAAACGGCGCCAGGACCATATGGAACGTGATCCTTGTTATAGTGGTTAAAGAATTCCCCGAATGCCTCCTGGATGCCTTTAATTACTGCCTTAAACCGGGGAAATTCTTTAAGGAATGGAAATAGCTAATCCTCAACCGTAAAGGAATCAAACCAGCTGAGCTGGCGTCTTCGTTCAGACCTTTGTGGATACGATGAGTAAATTACTTGAGAGGCTGCTCCTTCTACGACTTGAGAAACACGTGACTTCGGGCATAAACGTCTCAACGAGACAGTTTGGATTTAGAAAGAATCTCTCCACGTTAGACGCTATCACAGAAGCAGCTCAAAATGCTGAAACAGCCAAAAGCAAGAAAGGTTTTTGTGCCCTGGTGGCGATAGATATAAAAAACGCATTTATTCATGCGACATCTAACGGCACGACCGAGAAAGAAGTGACGATAAAAAAGTGACACAATGCCACCGTGAAATAGGGCCTTGAGGAGCAGAGTTATAAAAACCGCACTATAGTACATTGCTTATTAAATGTTATTCAGTCTCTGTTTTTAATTTAAGACCACAATAAATAATTTCAAAATGGTTATATCATAATGGTATTTTATTGTATGAAATCCGACGACGTTTCGAAGATTATGAGTCCCTCATCAGGTAAATCTGAAAATTTATTTATAAAAATATTTCAGGGTGACGAAACCAAAATAATTTTCACAGTATCTATTAAAGGGAGAACGTAAACATGACAAAAATGAAATAAATAACTAAATACAATGTATATACCCAATTTAATGAAACCTCGCCTGTTATTATACCTTATATTATAAACTTGATAACCAATTAGTACATTAGTTGATAAAGGCATATTAAGTCATTTTTAAAATTATTCAATATAAATGTAAACTAATGCATTATATATCATGTTAAAATAAATGCTATTTTTCTTTTTGATGGGACGTATAGTCTCTTATTGTGTAGAAACAGTTATGCAGCAGAAAAGATTATACTTTTAACTTAAATTTCTGTATCAATTGTAATTGTTGATCATTCATCTGGCAATGTTTTGTCAAGCAACGTACATATTTTATATGTTAAATCAGATATGAAGAAGCAGATAATGAGCTGTTGATATTGACATCCGACGAATGCGATTTCTACGGTGTATGTTGTAATTATAAATATTTGAATCGAATGAAAGTGTGCTCCCGCCTCTAAGTCAGTTCTGACAAAAAAAATAGTGAGTAAATAAATAGACAAGGCAATGGTAAGATTCCAAGCTCAATGAAGAGATGTTTACAGGAATCACATGGATGGCATTTCCTTATTATTCGTACAATTTTTCCTGCAATCTAAAAGCGTGGGCACTATAGAATAAGCTTCCCCAGACTAGTATGCCATATCTCAGGCGAGTATGTATGTAAGTACTATGGCATATCAGCTCTTTATGAGTAAAGGCTGACCAGTAGCGTCCCGGCCTTGCTTCCATGAGTGAAGGGGTACGGGTGGTTAGCACATAACCATCCCTATGCTGTTTTCTGGACTTCTCAACCTGAGAAGTGAGCTTTCTCATCGTAACACATTAACAGATACCGGGGCATTGCAAAGAAAACAAACAATTAATTTTTACCGCAATCGGGAATCGCGCCTAGAGTTGCTCCGTGGAAAGCGAGCACGCTAACCAACGAGGGCTATCAGTCGGGAATGTACATTTGCAAAATACAAGCACCAAGTTGCATGAAGGCTGACATTGAAATAATTCTGAATGCGTAACATAATGAACTTAATTTATTGTTTAATTCAGTTATATGGATATTATATTTGAAGTTTGACTGAATTGAGAGACCCAAAAACTTTGTTACGTTAACATCAGCTAAACGCATATTGCTCATTTTTAATGGAGCTTGCGATTGCCGATATGGAATGCAAAAATGCATCGAAATCATTTTTCCTTCGTTAAATGATAACTTGTAATTATGAAACCATTTTGAAAGTTCTGTAATAATCCATGCAAAGAACATTTGTTTCTGAATGGGGTTTAACATGCGAGAGTTCTCGCACGGGTACGCTAGTAAATTGTAAATCAGCCACGTTAAAAGGCCGCAACATTCAAATATACCGCACAGCATATGGCAAGCATTAAATTGGTTGAATGTTCTTAGACATTGTTCCCACCTTCAAGTGGAGTGGTCTTGTTGCGCCAACCGTTGAAGGGCAGCACTGAGGGGGGGTAGGGTATAACTGTGGCAGCGAAATTTCACAGTGTGTGGCACCTGCCTCGCATAGAGGTAGTAAGAAGAACTAGAGTGTTCATGAGCGCTAGTGTTCCCACTGTAGATAGAAAGAGGTGTCTCCTACGCATTTTGTTGGATAATGTGAACCTACTGTGAAGTGTAAGGAGTGAATTGGTTTGGTCGAAGAGCGTTTTCGCAGTGTTTTGTCTATTACAACTGAAGCTTCTAGTATTAAACATGGTGATTTCCTATGCGCATAAAATTGCAGCAACAGACATAAGAAGGAACAGCATTTCCTTCTACCGTAAGCGTTTGAACAAGTGGAATATATTCAGACGTAATACTTTTCTTTTCGTCATTTGACTATATTTCTGTTGCAGTTCCTCTGCGAAGAAAGACCTTTGCGAGGAGTGGATAAGAAATGTCAGAGATTGAAGTTTTTAAATCTACTCTCACCAATCCCATATTTTTGAACCAATTTCTAAGACAGCTGCTTTCTAGCAGTTATGTGAATATGAAAAAATTGGAAACCTGATGATGTACCTACAAAGTTCTGAGCGTAACCAACACAATTTGGTTAAGGTATGAACTGTCTTTTTTGTTTAATGATTGTGAAATGATGTATGTACACTATGGCCCAGCTCCAAATCTCAGTTTTTGTTTTATACACAAATGTGAGAGGTTATGTATGTGCCTTCTTTTTTCTAAACCATCTGTGCCATAGGCAATAACTTAAGGGAGACAATATACCAATGTCTTGGGATACATAATGGTTACAACAATGTTAGTACAAGAATCTCTCACTTGCCTTTAAATGTTATTCATTGAAATATATTAATGATTCCAATTTACCTTATGGTTACCTCTTGAAAAGTATATTTATTTAAAAAACCAATAACAGTGTTATTTTTAATGTTTTGTATTGCAGTGCTGCAAGAATTACCCTGTATTGTAATTTTTAGATAATAATTGTAAGAGGAGAAGGATGTATAGTTAACAAAAAAGAAAAATTAAATTTTTGGAAAACAAATCGGAGCCAAAATTGCAATTATAATCTCCCCCATTTCACTTGATGCCTAGGTGTTGAAGTTAACATGTAGTAGACCTTGAAATTTCTGAGCACATTGTAATTATTTGAAATTAACTTTAATATGCTGATATTAATTTATCAGTTCATTGCTAAACCTGAAATGGGATAGCGGTATAGGATTTTCCGTAAAAAACCTCAAGGATAAAGAATTATATTGTGTGACTATAGACAAATTGTACTCTTGATCTTGGTGTTTAGGTGCAAGAAGGGCCAGATCACTGTTTTTAGTGATTGGCTGTTTGTATGTTTAAGTATGTGCTTTAATAGTGCTCTTCTCTCGGTGTGAGAAAAGCCTAGTTAAAAGTCGATCTTATGTCCTGATTTTTAACTACATCAACCTGTTACATGGGTTATGATGGTTTTGTCCTTTTTGACGAATGCAAGAAGAGCCATATGTGGACTTCTCTTTCAATACAGAAATGCCAGAAATTGATAAATATAAGTATTGAATATTCCAACAATAGAATATACTATGAAACGCAATTTCCAAAAACAACATTAATGAAAGGAGATAAGATAGCTAATTAAAAAGTGGACATAAGTCAGATGTCAACAATCATTCTAGTACATTACTTTCTTTGCAATGTATGTAGTTTTGGCTCTGTGTAATATTTCTTGATTATTAAGAAATATTAGATATTCTAAAATTCATGTTTGTTTTTTATAATCTGATAAATATTGACAAGTGTTCAAAGGATGACTGTTGTACTGTACTCTAACAGTAGTTTTCTACTGTTCTTTGCACAAACATTCCTATTCTTTTTCTTTCTCCAAAATCATTGCATGGCAAACTGTTTTATTTATTGAACGAAATCAAGAATGGATATAAACTCAGACATTTTGAATTTTTAACCCAATAAACTCACAATTAAATAAAAAGGGCTATATAAGATACTTTAGTCCACCCTTCACACAACCAAGTGGGGCTTAGTGCCAGGGCCAACGCCTACATTTGGTATTGTAGAAAACGCTAAGTCATTAAAAAAGGCTTCATATAATTAACTTGATACATTGTATTGGCTAAGTTAAGAAGTTAATAATATAGCATTGTAAGAAGCATTGCTTACAAGAAATAGGTGGAATACACAGAAGTTGTACATATTTAATGGTTCTGCCAGACGAAGAAAACCACACCATTCTGACAACCAAGAAGAATATTTACTCGGCCTTTCTTGGCACCCGGCCACAATGTGGTTCTATGTTAAATATTGAAGAAATGAAACGGGAAGAAAATGTAGACGCAAAGAATTCAATTCGAAATTCACCTGCCTTTATGTGCCAACAAAAAATGGCGATGAAGGTGGCCTTCTATTTGCCACAGCTTCGGATTGCTACAGCCATGCGCGTAGGAGGGGCTTGCTGCCTCGTATATATATCTTCAGTTAAATGTCATAGGTTATAAAGAAATGGAGTGGGCGAGTGTATGGCGGAATTTTCAGTTGTTGTCTGATGTGTCTTCCAGATAGATCAAAGGGAAGATTAGATCAGTATGAAATTAGTGACTTGCGTTACATGAATATTTCTAATCATGATTACTGTAATGATATTTATTCCTCGCGATCTCTATGATAAAGACAGCTGTCTTTTATATGGAAATTTTGTTCTATCCTCCAGGGGCAACATAGCAATATTTTATGTTTTGCAACTGTTGCAAAATGTGAAGGAAAGGTCAAGTGTCAACTTGACACATGTTGGACAGTATATCAAAAGTGAAACATCGTATGCAAATGTTGCCAATAGAAGTATAAATTGGCTTACTGTTGGAAATAAATATAATGATCTTTTTGTAAAGACGTTAGTTGTTCAAGGAGAGACAGTAAACATGACTTCTCCAAAAATTATTTTCATCACTTATGACTTACCAATTTTCATTAATACAGAACTTCTGTTCTTTACTGCCTGTGAAAGAGAAATGGAAAACGATGAAAATTACTTTAGGACATTAATGTACAACATTAAGTATTGTTACACAAATATCTCAAATACCAACCAGAAAACTAGCAAAAGAATTATTCTTTTTGTTTTAGAGTATTTAATATTGTTCTTGAATGGGGTGCTTGCAGGTTTTGTGGTGTTGTTACCTGTGTTAAAATTAAGTTCTCTTTGTATTCGTCTTCACAATTCCCTTGAAAGCTTTAGATGGGCTCTAGATGGCCAGATATACCACAAATCTTCCAAATTAAAAATTGGCAATTACGTTGTTGCCACCCTTGTTGACATTATTAGTGGTTATCTAATTTTGTATTGGTTCATGTCCTTAGTGTCTTCAACATTACCCTCACAATTACTATTGCATTCAGCTGAGGTGAGAAAAAGATTCAGAATTATATAACAATTGATATAAAAAGTAAAATTAAGTTTGTACGTTAAGGAATATTATTTTCTTTCAGGAGGTTGTTCATACTCTCCAGGAATTATTGAAATGGTTGATGGGTATTCCAGCAGGCCTGAAATTAAATTTTGCTTTTAACAAAATGCTTGGCAAATTCTTTGTGTATCATATAAATCTGTGGTGGACATTTCTAGGTATGGAATTGACCCAGCTTGTGCTTGTTGTTAAGCAATGAAATGCTCTAGCAATATAATTATTAACATATGTTTTTCCAGTTCTTGCAGAGCCTGTTTTAGACTTTATTTTCTTCATTTTCCTCTGTTTTGGTCGCCTGGGATTAACTTTTCAAGCTGCTATTTTGGCGGACCTTTTAGCATTGGCAAGCTTCCACGTTTACTGTATCTACGTATATGCTGCAAGGTTTGTCAAAATTACTTTCGAAAATAAAATTGATTTTATTATTTTTCAGATAGAATTAAACAAATAATTAATTCTTACTTATTAATGAATCAACAAAAGATTTTATGAGAGAATGGAAACCAAATAATACAAAAAATCCATAGATACAAATAACTTTGGTATTTAGTGTATATACAGTATTAATTAAAATTAAATAATTTTTTAACTGAAAACGACCAATAATCATTTTTGTTTGTTTTTGTTTTTTTTTCTATCTCTCTCTCTCTCTTATTTGTCATTCATTCTACAATATTTTATGTCATCTTCTTACTTTTATTTTATGATTTTTTTTCTCTGCCAATAAACATTGTTGACTGTAATATGGGGGAATGATTTGAGAACTCAAATAATAAATAATAATTGATGAATCTTAGATTTTGAAATAATTTTAAAACTTTATAAAACAAAAATGGGCATCGAGTATTTATAATGCAACATAGAGAAATGCCAAGTAGACAGTATATGCACTGATTTTAGCGAAGCATTTGATTCTGTCAACCACCTTCTACTTTTACAGATATTGAATTGTTTTGGCATTACTGGCTCCCTTTTACAACGGTTTGCTTGCTTTTTAACGAATAGGGCACAATGAAATACAGAAAAATATAATCAGAAGAAATTATAGTTTTTTCTATAGTTCCTCAAGGGTCTCAACAAGGTCCCTTACTTTATATCATCTATATTGATGATATTAAATTTGTTCTGAAAGATGTTGAATACCTTTTATTTGCTGATGCTTGCAAAATTTTCAAGACAATTGAAAATCAGATGATTATATATGTCTTCAAGCTGAATTGCATGATTTTTCAAAATGGTGTACTAACAATAAACTTGAATTACATCCTTCCGAATGCAAATATATAATTTTTTCTTGCTCGTTAACGCCTATTGAATATGCATACAAAATTAAATGAGTTTCAATTTCCGAAGTATCTCTAATAAGAGACTGGGGTTATATTTGACTTCAAACTGAAGTTCAAGAGACATGTTGATCTTATTATTCAGAAAGCCAATCAAATCTTAGGATTTGTGAGAACAAGCTTGGGCATAAGCTCAATGAACGTTTTGAAATCATTGTGTATGTCACTGGTTAGACCTATCTTAATGTTAGTCTCAACCATGTGGTCTCCACACATCTCATTGATAGTACAAGAATCAAAACCATACAGTATAAGGTTTTTAGAATTATGAAAATGCATCTGCCTGTTGCGATTTATAGATTATGATTACAGTTTTATTGCAAATTAACTGAAAATTCCATCTCTCAGATCCCTGAGAAACTTCAGAGATTCTATTTTCCTTATCAAACTGATTACAAACAATCTGGATTGTCCATTACTTTATGAAAAGGGTTAAATTTTAAGTTCCTCCTGTCAACACAAGGAGATAAGTTATGTTTGAGATTATATATTATAATTTTTCTTATTTGGCAAACAGTCCATGAATAAGCAACTTATGTAATCAGTTGAAAATGCATACATTTGGTGAATCCTATTCTCAGATAGAAAATTCTTTGAAGAATTTATTTTTGGAATATGAATAATATTGTTATTTGTTTTTTAATTATTATTTTTGTGTTTTGTGTAATTGAAATCTCTACTATAACAATGTGTAGCCTCATTTTGAATTTATGTGTTTGTAAAGTATAGATATATATTACCTCACTAGTCAATGTGTCAATATAATTGTATACAAGAACTGTACATCGGTTTATTCAATAAATAAAAAAATGCGTTGCATCATTTTTATGAGTATACATTGCTCTAATCTCATGAAAATTGCGAAACAAACATTTTGAAATAAAACAAACATTTGGAGTATTTTGAGGAAATGCTGAAAATGTTGTTGGGGCATCATTTAAAGTACCCCTAAAACTTGAAATATACATTCAAATTCAACAGTCATCAACACCAGCCAGATTGATCTGAGAATATTCATTTTGGTGAAAATCCACTAGTATATTTAGATTAGATTAGTGTTATTCACTAATGGACAGATGTTTCACTAAAAAACATTTTTCAGTACCAAGGCTCACATGAAACATGGAGTCGGACTATACTACATATCCAAAAAAATAATTTATTTTTTATAAGAACATGAAAAATTCATATTTTTGGTATTAGGGACCCACAAAACGAATTTTTGTGTTATTTCTGATGATTTCCAACAGAATTACAACACTTTGTAAGTTGTTTTTCCTTTTTTAGGTTTTAATATTTAGCTATAATATTGCTAATATTATTGCTTTTGAGTGCTTATGATGGAAAAAGAAATGTGCTCTTCTCTCTTTTTCCTTGAGAGGAAAGGTCAACATTTTTGTGTAATTTTTAAAAATTGAAAAGTTTTACTGAAAGTAGCTCTCATGCATTTTGAGCTATTATATTGTCTCTATCTGTTCAAAAAGTTAAAGAAAAAGTTTTGAGCTGTTTTTGAGAAATTTGTTATTATATAATTGGTAAATTGACACAATTTAATTCAAAATTACATTAAAAGTACTCATGCTTTGAAACAATGTTTAAGAATTCACTTAAAGTAATATACTTGCATACATTTGCACTAAGAATAACATTGTGGATAAGAACAGTTCAATCTATGTGAGTGAAAAATTTAGAGTAGAAATCAAACTGTTTTTAGGAAAAGTTGGGAAATGAAGCAAAAGCTACAAATGAAATTCACCTAAAAAATTAAAAAATGCATTTCAAATTTTCAAGGCGTACAGGTAAGTCAGATCACGAGTAAATATCAATTTTGTGAAGAATTCTGGATACAGTTGAGGCTCTCTCGTTGCACAGTTAAAATGTGGCACCACTGTGATATAAATATCTCTGTATACCACTATCTGAAAATAATTGAATTACCCTGGATTTACCTGGAGATGTCCTGTAAGGCAAAGGTAAAAGAATTTAAAATGAGGAACAAATTATATAACCTTATGAAGTCAGTTAAAAATTACATAAAATATTGACACCGATGTTGGGATTTCTCTTTTTCTCAGATATATGAGAAATATATTTGCCCTTGCCAAGTTGCATTCTTGTAATTGATTTTCTTCCATAAAAAGGTACTTGTGTGCAACTAAATGAAATAATTACCTCATTATTATTTATACTTTCAGATTGTATAATCTTCAGATATCTGGCCTTTTGGCTCTTTGGAGGTTGTTTCTAGGACGAAAGAAGAACCCGTTGCGTGGTCGTGTTGATTCTTGTGAATATACGGCCAATCAGCTTTTCATAGGTACATTGGCCTTCACCATCTTGTTATTTCTGCTGCCTACTACATTTATGTACTACATAGTATTTTCAACGGTATGTCAGTAAATTTAATTCTGAGCATGTTTTGGAAACTTACTAATTTGTGGCTCCTATTGTTTAATTAAGAAATATTTCTTTACAATTAAGTAATCAGTGTCTGTTACTCATAGAGAGTGTTATTTTAATGAAAAGAAACAAACCAACAACTACGTTTTTAAAATCAAATGCTCTAAGGTCTTGTTTAAAAAATTCAGAATAAAAAGAGTAAAGAGATCACAAAGGAGAGGGGGGAGGATGTAAGTTTAAATGTCATGCAGGTCATTGTTGGAACTTATGAATAAAAGGTAGTTTCTTAGAAAAAGCTTTATGAAAATCATGAGTTCATACAGGTTGACCGAAACACAGTCGACTCCGGTTATAGTGAACCCTCTGTTATACTGAACTTAACTCATTGATTTCATTTCACTTAACACTTCACATTATAAATAAGCATAAGCAGATCTGGAATGAACCTGAACATCGGTTTAAAAAAAAATACAACAATCTGGAAATTAATTCCCTCCTGGAAAAGAATATACTGCCTCCATGCAACAAATTTCAAAACTTCTGATACTTAGCGACAGTGGACAATGCACGCACGGAAAGAGCACGAACTCCGGAGAAGGATCCAGGGTAATTACTAATGAAGAATTGACAATAATTGATCTTGAAGTCGTAGGCTTCCGCGGCCAGAGTCATGTGGGTGATCTGGGCTGTCCGGGTGACGCCGCGTCGCCACTCGGCCTAGACTTGAATATACACACGAGCGCTGACCATAACGGCGCATACCAGCCCTGAGGAAGACCACGACAGAATGGTCGAAACGTCGGCAACTCAGCCTTCGATGCGGCGTCACCCGGACTGCCCAGATCACCCACAATAATTGATCTTTTGAAAGAAAAACAAAAATATTGAAATTATCAGTTGGTGTAGTTAATGCATTTTGCTGTATCTCTGTATTAATAAAATCAATCTTTATGGAGATTTTCTATTTAAATTTGTTATCATTGGATATAGTGAACTCAAAAGATGAGTCCCGAGAAGTTCACAATTACTGGAGTCGACTTAAAAGCTCCTGACAATGCAACTAGAAAGATCTTCAATGAAGTGAAGGCGATTGGGCGAAAGATGAGAATTTGAAGAACCCAGACGAAGTTCAAGGAGAGGCTCCAAGTCCAACTTCCATATCTAAAACAGCGATTCACAGTCCTTGGGTGTCGTATAAGAAGATACCATAAAGCAATTAAACAAAGACATCTGAATACTTTATATTCATGCAACCAGAAAAAATGTTTCAGGCAACTCAGCGATCAAAGAAAGTTGCCAGAAACAGTTCTTAAAAGCTGTGAGATGGAAGAATAGTAGAGTAATATATGGAACATTCCCAAGACCCATGATGATGGAGCGTACTGGTTAGCAGAAAAGAAAGGGAAGTGTTGTGATATACCTCAATGTGCTCACCCAATATTACACAGATTATTTGTCAGAAATACGCAGAATTGGAAAGCTCCTGGTACTGATGGAATTCAAAACTTTTGGTGGAAGTATTTCCCATGTACTCATGCGGTTCTGGCCAGGTGGTTTCAAGCTACATTCAACGATCCTACTATCATTGCGGCATCCTTTACTGTAGGAGTTACATTTACGATAAGCAATGATAATCTAGCGATCCTAAGACTCCGAGTAACTATCGACCTATCACATGTCTCCCCACAGCATATAACATTTTTACATCTGTGCTAGCCAGTATGCTGAATACTCTTCTAAAGGCCAACAATCTTCTGGCACCAGTGAAAAATGGTTGCAGGGAGGGTGCTGAAGGTTGCAAAGAATTATTGATAGACAGTGTTGCAGTCAATCAAGTCAAAAAAAAAAGACACCACAACATTTCTGTAGGATGAATTGTCTATACCAAGGCTTTCGATTCGATATCTCATTCTTGGCTTTTGCATGTCCTTCGCCTCTACTAAGTAAATGCGGAGTATGTGAACTTAATCCAACACTGCATGGCAACTTGGTGTACAAAGATAAAAGTCTCATTTGCTGGAGGCAGCTATACCACCAAGGAACTGAGGATCAAACAAGGAATTTTTCAAGGATAGTCTTAGTTCTTTATGGTTCTCGCTAGTTCTAAACCCTCTCAGGAGAATGTTAACAGATTCAGGAATGGGATATGAAATCACCAAAAATACCTGTATCCTCATTAATCATCAGTTCTACATGAAGTTGTTCTCAAGTTGTACACCAGAGATAAGAACCAGCTTTCCTCATTGCTTGAACTTGTTAAATTCTTTAGCGTCTCTATTTGTATGGAGTTTGACATTGATAAATGCGCTGCAGTGCATGTGAAAAGGGGGGAAATCCTTGATCCTGACAAACTCATCCTGATGTGTGGCACAAATATCTAAGAACTTGGGAAGGAGGGATACCTATAAATATTTAGGTCTGCACCAACTTTTGAGCACAAGTGAAGCAAAGATGAGGTGTGATATTAAATATAAAGTTGTGCAAAGATTCTCAAAAATCTGTAAAACTCTTTTAAATGGAAAAAACCTCATATCAGCCATCAACACTTGGGCAGTACCTGTTGCTGTCTCTACATTTGGTGTTCTTCACTGGACAACAACTGCACTGCAGGAGCTTAATCGAAAAGTTAGGACCACTCTTACCAAGTATCGTATGCACCATCCCAACAGACTATACTTACCTCGGAACAAATAAGGTGGAGGTAGAGGTCTCGTGGATTTTGAGTCTTTGTGTGCAAAGCAAATCCACAATCTTCGCAAATACTTCCTCCAGAAAACAACGGTCATGCATGAAGCAATTCGTACCACGGACAAGAATTTTACCCCACTGAACCTGGATCAAACGGACTCTGAAAGACCATGTATCACCAAAGAAGATAGGGTGAGCGAGTTAACCCAGTTAGTCTCCTGGCTAACAAAATCTGGCCTATTTGCTGAGACATGAGTTCATCATTTCTATTCAGAACAAAGTAACCTCCACTCACAATTACCAAAGGTATGTGATTGGGGATATATGAGTGCAGAGGACCGCTGCCGCCTTTGCAATCAACCCGGCGAAACCTTCCAACAACTAATGGGCAGATGATCTGCTTTGGCTCGAACAGAATACCTGAGTCGGCAATACGACATTGCTGCGGTTGTCCATCATGCCCTGGCTGCAAGGTCAGAGATGATTCAGAAAGGGGTCCCATACTAAGAGTTCAAGCCAGATTCAGTTCGGTACACTGTACAGGACGTTACCACTGGATTTATGTTCAGGTACAATTTGTAGAACCTTATAATTAATTTCATGAAATAAATATAACATTTATTAGCAAATCGTTAAAAAAACAACTTCAGTTGCAGAATTCTGAAAGTTCTCTATCAGTTTTTAAATATCATTTATTTATTACTGTATAAAAAACATTTGCACTCTAAAAAGAAATGCTACAAAAGGAGATTGTTAGGTATGAATTTTTAGTCTTTATCAAGAATGGGGCTGGTTAGGTAATTCCCTTGGAGGGGTGTATCAAACATATTTAAAACAAAAAATGTGGGATTTTGTAGATTATGGGGAAAAAATCAACAGGCACACTTGCAATTTGCAACACATCTTGATTGTGACTTGAAACGGTGCCAGTTAAACGTAGTTTTTGGGTTCCCTGGAAAGCAGGAATCTTTCTTAGCCTGTAGTCACAATTAATATTCCCTTTAATGTTTAAGTTATGAAATAAATTCAATATTAATATATCCTTTAAAAAACAAACAAAATAAGCTATAAATGAAACCTTTTGAATCCTCTATTTAATTTTTGGAGGTTTAATTCTTGTATGTACCTGTGGTCTGCTGTGTATACGGATAGATTCTCACTGAAATCGGAAGCCTAAATAAAAATAAAATTATTATTTGATATTCAATGCAATGTAATAACAAAGGTCCCAGCCTACGAACAGTAAAATCTGTTCAAACTAAAATCTCAAGAAACTGGAAACCTGCCTTAACCAGAAAATTTCTCCGGCCCGTGAAGTTAAATGGCATTTTATGCAACATTAAACAGAATCTGTCCAATGTGGAATTTGAAAAAATTTTCAAGTCCTGCAAGTGGAAAAATCCTTCATAATCCATAATTGGCATTGGCAGAGATGCGAGATACTTTCATGGAATGAAAGCACCTGCAAGTCTTTTAATTTCTCTGTCCCAGTGATGTGAGTTTCAGTTGCAGCTGTGCAGTGAAGGCGAAAAGCTTCTGTTGTCAGCATAGTATTTGATCTCTCTCCCAACTCCAGTGCATGGACATTGCTTGCTGGCCCCACGTTGTCAGTTGTAACTTCTCAGCAGGAGCCGCATTGGTCAAGGCGATGTGAGGGGTGTGCTCTGGGTTGTGATGCATTGTGCATTGAAAGAGTCAGCTAGCAGTCTGAGTGCAGCAACTAGAGAGTGAGGTGGTGTGTTTTGAGTTTCACAACCAGGTGAACAATGGTTGGAATCCATCATAAAACTAAATATTAAATTTTTTCTGCTTCAGAAAACGACTGAAAAGGTCAGCAAGTGGAATAGCAAAAAGCAAAAAACTGTAGATGTTGGAAAAATTAATATTATTTTAGTGCACAAGTTGTAAAGTTTTACTTATTTGGCAGAAATGTAAATTCATTTATTGGTGATTTATTCCATAATTATGTTAATATATTTTTATATTTATCATAGTCATGTTTACTAGTTTCAGAATGGAAATATCAATATAATGAGAGTCATAAATTGGACAACTCTGCATAAAACAGAAACCACCTTAAACTGATTTTTTTTTTTTTTTTTTTTTTTTTTTTTTTTTTTTTTTTCCCAATCATTCAGGTTTAGACACATTTCATTGTATTTATTTGGAGTCAAAACAATAAAAGTTCTTTGGAGTAAATTGGAAAAAAATTGAAGATGATGTTTAGGAGGGAGAAAAGATGCATTTAATGATCATAAGCTAATTTTGGAAATAGAGCATTTAATTAGCCTTTAATTTTGGATACGGTTTGGTTGAAATTTATTTTTGAGTGCTGTTTTAGATGGATGCATTAATCTATGGTTTCAAGGAGTACATTTTAAACTTATTTGCTACGCATTAATACTTCTCGACTTCTTGCTTTGACTTCTGGTAGACGGGTAGTGTGAAGCTAACCCACTGCCCTTCAATCTCGGTTTGGACTTTACCTTGGAATGAACTGGGGAGGGGGGTGTCATGGTGTCCCCCTGTAAATGTGCAGCAGGGTAGAAACCATGCTACTCTGTGCTACAACACCATGGCAACCCTCGCACTCCAAAGGAGTGCCCCTTGTGCTCCATTGTGGGTGGGGACCACGGGACCAGGTGAACAGCTTCTCCTATCTTTGGATAGCAAACCTTCACCTCTGCCTTTTTCCTCTGGAAGAGAAGATTTAATGAAAAGTGTTGACATAGGAAGTACCTTCGGTAAAGACTTATTCATAACGAGAAGACCTCATGCTTTCTCGTGATGTCATGCATCACGAGGCATCACGAGAGGCAAAACAGTAAAAACGAGGCAAAACAGTAAAATCTGAAAATGATCTAAAATTGGCCCTGCATATTGAAAAACTAGGGAAGTTCCCGGCTTCATGGTCACAGTGGTGTTGCAGTATTTATCCATCATTTCTTCTTCTTCGAGGATACCATCATTCAAACCCACCTCCTTACCATGTACAGCTGAACCAATCATTATATTCGCTGTGTTGTGCAACGTTGCGCTAATGCAATATATATTATATAAATTGTTCGAAACAAATTTGTTCTGTATCACTATAACACTAAGAAGAAATGCATTTTTGATATTTTTATTCCTGTCTGAGTGTAAACTTTGCTTTGTTGGATTTTGAAACTTGGAGATAATGAGTTATTGTTATTCAATTTTTATTTAGGGGCTGTCCATAAATTAACTAACGCAGATTTGGGACATTCTGAATACCCCCCCCCCTGTAACACGCACTTGAATCAACGCATAAATAATGACATAATGGTTGCTACCCAACTACAATTTAACTTTTGTTTGTATTGTGATTGTGTTGCCTAAGACTTTGTTATTGTAAATTGAACATTAATATGATAAAAATGTTATTGTTTACGAACAATAATAATTTTGTGATGATAAAGTTGCTTACACTCATAAATGAATTTCTTGCAATAAATAACTTACTATAAAGTAATTTTATTATTTTGTAATTGACCTTTAAATGTTTTAGGTTATTAACTATTTGCTATCAAAGATGACACACTGGTTTATTTTCATTTTATTTCTAGCTGCGATTATTAGTCTCTGCTCTGGCTGGCCTTCTAATACGGATTCAATTCTTGCTGCAAGCAGTGCCCCTGTATACCCTGTGCATGTGGCTTTTAAAATCAACTTCTGTTAGTTGTGAGTATAATTTGTTTGAGGAATAAACCCTATGAACTCATTGGAATATACATTCTTAAAGGGGAAAGTAATCCGATGCAAGGAGGTGAAAATGTTAAACAAAATCCTTTTTTAAATGTGTTATGCAAACTTCCATAAGCTTTTCTATTTATAATTTTTCTTAAGGTATCTTACTTCAGAATTATTTCTTAGATTTTCCTTCTTGTTTCCTTGGGTTCTCATTAAATTTCATATTCAGTTTCTGCTCATAAACTTTTATAATATGGAGGAATTGGGAAATAGTAAAGATGATTTTGTATAGAACACATTGTCTGGCGCTTGTGAATGTTATCCTCCAGATCAGCTATATATCTGTCCCATCTCTTGCTGCACCTTGCATGTAGGACATCTTATATTGTTTCATACAGTAGGATTCATTTGTTTTTACAAGTCTTCATAATTGAATATTTAATTAATGTCATGTGCATTTTTTTTAAATTACAAGTGTTTTGAGTTAAGTAGGGGTAATTAAAAAAGTAAAAGATAAACAAAGGGTTCTTAAAAATGGCCCCAAATGTTTTCATTATATGTTTTGTATGGATAGAGCATAATGCACTAAATCACCAATTGCACATGTGTCGTTTCTACTTCCTCCCTTACTGCTTTTGCACTATTGTAATACTGCAGAAAAAAGCAGAGATTTTTTGATAGAAAAACTCATATTACCAGGCCCTGGTAAAGAGAAAGTGGACAAATCTTGTTTCTGTATGTAGTAAATTATTCCTCTATTACTTTGTGAAGTCAAAATCTTGGTACTAAAAAATAATTTGATTGCAAAAGTCTGTATGTCTGTATCCATCTGTGACTAATGCTAGCAGCTACACATTGTGAAGAATTTTCACTGAAGTTGGCATTCTGTGATCAACCTGACTGATGTCACGGCCCCTTGAATTTGAAATGAATATTTTTATTTTTGGGGACTCTTCACATGAAGCTTCAACATTTTTCAAAATATTTAAAGACAATCAAATCACTTAAAACTGACTTATTTTTTTATTAGCATCAAAACACTAAAACAACACAATGTAGCTGCATCATCAGATGGTTTGAAATCAAGCAGTTACGTCAATTAAGACTGTTCCATTTCTGATTGTCTTCAAATAACCTGAGGATACCACTGGAAAAAATAAAGTAAAAGATTTATTTGTTAAATGATAACTGCCAGTTTTTTAAAAAAAAAGTTAATGTACAATTTTTCACAAAATGTATGTATTTTTGTGCAAATGTGGTCTCTACATTTTCTCAAAATCCTAATCGCAAAATTTGAAACTTGAATTTTCCGCACATTTGCTAGCCTTTTACGTGAAATCAAACCATTTCCCCGCCTCCCCCCCTATTCAAACACGAAAACTTGGTCTTTGTATCATAACACAGTTGTCACTCATTTCCTGGAACAAATTTCCCAGCCTTTTTCTGTTTTTTTGAGTGCACACTACTTAAAGAAAATATTAAAGCTATCTTAATACTAATCAGTCAGCTCTCTCATTTCGCTATAGTAGATGCTGAAGTAGGTAATGTAAAGGTTTAATATCTAGTTTTATAATCTCAAAATTTTCTCTGACTGGTTTCGTGGTATTCTAGAAAGTGCCAGCCTCCCTGATATATAAAAAAGAAGAAGAAAATATATAAGGAAATGAAAAGAACCATTAATTTTACTTCTACTGTAAAATAACAATTACTTCCATTTTACACAAGTTAGATTTCATTCCTTTTGTGTAATAAAGCGTTACATAAATCCAATTATAAGCCCCACCAATTTTGTGTGCATAGCACCCATTGGAGCTCTCTGGTAGCATGGTTTTGCAACTTTTAGAAGTAAACCACTATTCTCCATTATGATATTGCTAATATACACTACTAGAGCACTCCAAAGCACCAAACGCTGGTTATTTAAGCAGAATTTTCTTGAAAAAGTAGCAAAACTGTTAGACCATAGCTGTATCAGCCCCATCGATTTAGGTATGGACCCACTACCATTTGCTTTACACCGGCCTCACCCTTCAACTTCACCACAGACATACAGCAGCTAAGCATTGTTGTAGGATTAAGATTGAAACCGAAAGTCATAAATACACCTTCGCCAGGAGTGTACAATGTTTTAACAATTGCTAAATCAATATGTTGCAATCAGGAATTCAAAAACTTGCTTAAATGTTTCATTTAGGATGTCTCCCTGTATTGAAGACACAAAAATCACAAAATATTATTTGAGATAAGAAAACAAACCTTTGAATTTGACTGTTCCCCTTTTCTAACAATAGGCTCTAACAGGTTAAAATAAAGTGTTTAGGGTCAGCTCAACACATTTACAAGAGTTTTCATATTACAGTTACTAAACAGAAATTTGTTTTTGTTACAGCTTCCCTACATATGCAAGTACAAACAAGAAAATCTGGCGTTCCATTAGTATTATCAATGACACCTGTCAGAGGTTCTCTATGGAAAACTATCAAGAAAAGTATCCCAGATCCTGTGAAGAAGCCGTCTGCTATTATGTGGGGATCTCTTTTAAAAAGTATTGTTACTGGACAGTTGATATATCCTATGTAACTAATATTGAATATCAAGTATATAATAAATTATTTAATGTATTATTGAAGTCAACTATTTAATAAATACTTTACTTTCCTGATGGCCAATTTTAGTATTTGAGGTTATTTTAAATGCCTGGAAAATGGTTCTCATTTTGAAGAATTAACAATTTCCTCAAAATATTTGTAAACTTTAGGGGAAATTAACCAATTTTATCACATAATTGCCTAGAATTTACTATCTAAACTTGAACCACTACGATAATTTTTGTCGGTCTGAAAAAATAGCCCCTATGAATTTTTATCACATTAGTAAAAACAATGTGGATGCTACTTTACCCGTGTTACATTCTGGATAATTGATGTGGTAATAATGAGACAATACAAAACCCCTCATTTCATGTACACATAGTAAGATAGACATTTCACTGACCTGCCCTTTTAAAAAGTTTGCCCTCTTGAGTGTCAAAGGTAGAGAAATCTTTGAAATTCTCAGATGTTCTAAAAGACCGTAACATAGAAGGAAATGGTAAGGGATTGTACAAAGAATTCTTAATTTTAAGGAATTCTATTGAAGCTCATACAAAAATTAATTTACCCAAATTCAAAATATTTAGTATACTACTACCACCCCTATCGCTACAGTAAATCCTCTGAGTCAGAAACTATTGGGACAAAAATATCCGGTTTAGAGAAGTTTCCATTTTAAACAGGTTGCCCATTTTAAGACATGTGATACTGATACTTCTGTCTTGAATCTGAAACATTTTATGATATTATTATTATTGGCATATAGACTTACTGACCACGCTACACGATTAACTTGTGTAATTTTTCCAGGATCTGATTTTCAGCTGTATCCGTAAGTACGACACTGTTGTTACGCCTTGAAGTGTGCATTATGAGATGATAGGATGATGATGATGATGAGGGGTGAAGGGATAATCACAAATACGACCATATCTTCGCAGTACTCGAACCTGCAGCCTCCTCAGCGCAGACAATGGCTTCCACAACTGTCTGTGCAACAGGGCCGACTTGTTTGATGATTTTATTGCAAGTATTAAAATAGATTGACATATCAAGTACGTATGGTAGAAATCACCCGTAAATTAATATTAAACAAATTTCTGAAAATTAAAAGAAAAATCTTCAAAATTCATACTCCGATTCCCCCCCCCCCCAATATTCATTTAGAGTACTTTGTTTTTTAATTTCCTTCTACCAACAGCTTTCAGCTTTTACTTTCTTGCTCAGACGTAAGAGGAGAAAATATTGTAATCGTGCACTGGAAAACATAAAATTTTCTAATGGAAAAATTCTTAACGGCGAGCCCTAAAAACAAAAAAGATGGAAAAATCTTAGGATTCCAACACGGGACAGCTAGGAAGATGCATTAACAGAAACCATGCCCGTATACCTTCCCACGCTGTTTGGAAGCCTTGAAAGACAAGTGACCCCTAAGGTCAAATTTTACGCTCACAGCTGAAGTCCTTCTTTCACTTGCGGATACAACTAAATCTTATGTCATAGGGACAGAGGAAACAATAGACTTGCAGTTTTTTTCACCTACAGGACAGGAAAAATCGTTTTGTTATTGGGTCGAACATGTTCCATTTCATTTTGTACTAGCGGATCCCGGCAGACTTCCTACCCTGCATCACACTTTCTTCTTCCCTTTCCCTTTCTCTCCATCCCTGTTCCTCTCTCTGTGCATCTACCTCTCCCGGGTGAAATTTCACAATCGCAGGGGCAGAATATGCAATGAAAACCCTTTTAATACTCATACTTCAGGATACAGTGGGTTGCGTAGAGCACCTGTTCAGGGGTGCTTGAGTCAGCATAAAATCAATGCGCATCTATGTGCACAGGCCTACGCACAGTCCCATCGTAGTATGCCTATATTTTTTCCACAAGTGCAAGCAATAAGTTGACAAAGTTTTATCACAATCGATGAACGGTACAGCAGTGCATTAGGTACAAACCAACTAACATTGTTTTTTATAGATTAAATAAAATGCCATTTAACTTCACAGGTGTGAGAAAGAAAGATACCATCACTGCCACAATGCGTTATATTGCAGATTTTGTTAAATGTCGCAGGCTATACTCAGCTAATGCTGCGATACAATTCTATTAGTTTCAATGATTATCCAAGAATATTTTTGCTTGATAGTTTCATGACAAGTTAAAATTAATAGTTACTGAAAAATTTTAGGGGGGAAATTTCCATCATTTTCCTCCCTGTGGATCTGCGCCTGAGTTAAGAGTAGCCAACATGAGGTGGACAGGGTAGGTGAAGAAAGTTCAGGATGACAAGGAAGAACGAGATTATACAGTTAGGATACGAGATTATCAGAGATCAGATTGCTTATGAGAAGTTTCTAAGGTTAGTGAGTGAAGTTAGAAGCGATTCATATTTATTTTTAAAATGTTGGCTAACTTGTACTGGAGTTGTGTCACTGCCTATTTTTGTCATTCTGTCAACCGGAGAACTGCACGATGCATGTAGCTAGAATGCACAAAATGTACAATTTTAAGAAATATTGACGTATTTATTTATCACAATATACTGATAATTTGTTCATTAATGTACAAAAAGTATACACAAGAAACTCTGAATCAAAGTACTATATAAATATAAAAAGAAAACAACTAATTAGTAAACAAATATTCACAATTGCAAACATCTACTCAATAGATACAAAAATTCAAATATTCTACTCCTCGCGTCCAACAAAAAAGACACAGTATTATAATGTAACATGTTGATGGAGAAAATATTTGTCAGCTTATAGTTTATACACAGTTTACACAGTTTACAGGGTTGTTCGCTGAATATGACCTCTAAAATTTTTAAGTCAAATATCTCATTATTTCTAGAGTTGAAAGAAAGTGACTTATAGAGATGCAGGTCAGAAAGAAATGTACAATTCAAATTACCTCTAATCAACTTGCACAAAAAGATCAGATCATTCAGAGAGCACTGGGGTTTAAGAGAAGGAATGTCAAGCCTTGATGCAATGTGTGTGTAACTTTGGTCTATGAAAGGATCCTGTACCCTCATGCATCGAATAGCAATCGCGAAACATTTATGTTGCACTGCCCATTCTCTATATATGGTTGACAAAAAAGGGAGACCGTACAACAGAATAGAACATCAAACTGGGTTTAACTAACATAAGAAAGATGATTTTAATGTCGTAATTCAATGAAATTCTTAAAAGGTGCGCTTTATAAAATCCAAGATCTGATTAGTTATTTACAGTGCGCTGGATATATTCATTAAATGTTATACCAGAATCAAATATCACACCCAGGTCTCCAACGGATGTGACTCTCTCTCTCTCTCAATGGAGTTAAGTTTGTAATAAACCGATTTAGCTCTGATAAAAGTTATCGACTAACATTTCTTAACATTGAGATCATTTGTAACGTACTAATCAGACATAGCACTCAATGATTGTTTGCAAAGAGGAGATACTCAACTTCATTGATCACCTTACAAATGTCATTAATAAAATTATTAAACAATAGGGGATCCAAATGAGAGCCTTGTGGAATGCCTAATGAAGCTGTAATAGGGCCAGAGATAAGACCACCATATTAGACCAACAGTATGCGATTAAACAGTTGGCTTAATAACAGAAATATTGACATGAATTTTTCAGAAATATCAATGAATATTTTTAAGAAATATTGAAACTCTGCAATTAAAATTTTGTCTTCCAGTATAACAAAAACCACGATGAAATTAAACAAATCAGGTTCTATATTTATGGCCAATTCGATTTTAATCTTTTTGAAGACTTACAGCACCCATGTACATGTTCTCAAATACTTTCCGAATGATGTTTCAATTTTTACAATTTTCTTTCTAGTGACATTGTAAGAACAATGTAAATCACTTGCAAAAACTATCCCTAACTTCCAACTAAATGCACTGAACTGACACTGAGGCATTAACAGCTGGTGTTTTAGCTCATATGGCTGGCAGAAGAATAAATTTTGCTGAGCGATAGTCTTCGACAATGCTTATCTGTCTTAGAATCTGTCAAAAACTGGCGTGAACCAACTAGAACACATTCACTGCTACCTCGGCTCAGTGAAAGGCAACATTTCAACAATGTATTTCCAAAGCTGCTCTGCTCATACCCAACACTTGCTGTGCTGGACACTGAAATTGACTTCAATTTTGCCACTACCATTCAAAATTCTTTTAAGCAAATCTTAAAGTGCTATGAAACATCAACCATGTAAGGGGGAGGTGGTTGCCTCTCCTCCCCTGAATACTTGGTTGAATTGATCGAACTCCTTTCATCAACAGAAAATTTTCTAGACAGCAAGACAATTTGCGATTTTTATTTTGTCTGAGAATAGAAACAATAATTCAAAATGGATAAAAATCTTGGACCTCTTCATAATTAGGGCAATCTTTATTTTGGGCCAATTGGGTATGTTGACTGGGACAATGTAAGATGCAGTAAATGAGACAATTTTAAATTTCAAGACCAATATTTATTTGCAATGCCAGGAGTCTTAATACAACTGATAAAAGAAAAAGAGAAGAAAAAAAGGGGGGAGACCTATGTAAAAGAAACTACAAAACATGTTTTGGAACATCACACAGAATTAAAAAGAAATTCCATTTTAGACTATGTTACAAAATAAATCCAGTGTTAACAGTGTCAGCAAGACTGTGACTCCCAATATAATGAAATTCTGTACACGAGAAATATTTACACAAGCCAACTACTAATTTAATTTCTATACATGAATATGCTGCCTCATATATGAAATATATTTTCATTTGACCAGTGAAACATAACTTAAAAATGATTATCACTATACAAGCTTTGTTGTTGAGTTACAAACCCAATGCTGAATTATTAAAATGCAGTCATCCTTTCTTTCATTAATTCACAATTTCTTCTGAAATACAACTGAATGGTAAAAAAATAAATATCATTGACACAATCAACACACTAGGTTAGAACATGCGAATTCAAAGTGATATATGATACAATTTGATTTTCCATCCACTCTAGCTGCAAAAATTAGCAAAATAGGAAAGTTACGAACATTCTCAATTTAGCACAAGTTTCATCAAGCCATTCAGTCCAATAATAATGAACACTGAGCATCACGATACTGCCACACTATGTAAATAACAAAATACGAGAAAGTAAAAGTAACTTTTTCTTTTATGTGAAATACTGGATTTTTTCCTTCGGTTTCTCAGTGCCTCACTATTCCATTACCACTCAATTGAATCTCCAGTTACCTGTTTCACTGAACAATAACTTAATAATACATTGTTGCTATAATACAATTAAAAAGTACGTCTGAGAATTAACAAGCTTTTGAAACCAAGATCAGGTAGTTCAAAAATCTGTAAGTTGAAGAAACTTAACAGCTGCATCCTCTATTTTTGAATCCAACACCACAAGCTCAACAGTCCAGCAACACTTAAAGATTACTATGACATATATAAATTTTTTACAATGTGTTTATTTTTAAGGAGGATAAATGTATACATTCACTTAAAACTGATATTCTTAAGCATCCTTACAAGCATCTAGCAATGCAATGGAAATGTGTAACAACTGTAACCTTGTATGAATTTAAATTCCCATGAAATTACCTTTCCATATTGTTCAAACACATTGAAATATTGATGCATGATTTATAGAACAAAAACTTCAATAATGAAGCAATTATATTAGATTTAGTAAATTCAATCTGCATAGTAAGTTAAAAAATAAACTAAATGTATTTGTACAGTTCCTATTAAAATATGTACATTTAACAAGCACAAATTTTGAAATAACTTCAAAAATAAAATAAAAAATTAAGTTTATAAGTGGTATAACAAAACTTACACTTATTTACAAGGTTAAATCAGTGCCACTAAAGATATATAAACAAGATCAAGATGCTATGGTGTGGCAAGATTGAATGAACCACAGAACAGGACCAAAGAATCTCTCGAATCTGAAAGGCACTGACCCACTCCAGCATTGTTATCACTGCTGGGGACTTTTTCTTATTTTTCCCCCCAATTACTGCTCCCTCTAGGCTCTTATGAACCCATGGATTGTTGGAGATGTATTGGTTCCACGTACCACTCTTCTCCCTCTGCAAAGAAAAACATTAAAGATCAAAAAACGAAGTTCCTGAATTGGAAATATTCCAGTCATTATGCACTTTCAATTGCAACTAAAACGAAGATAGCAGGACCTACCTGTATGGTTCTCGATTTTGATGATCACCCGAATGCGATGCCTCTCTAGCAGCATTACGACCACATGCTAACTTTGACTCAACTGACTGAAAATAAATATAATTTATCATGAAACAACAATTTATACTATTCATTTTGCCTCTCCATTAGATGAAAAATATTTAACCATCATTAATTCCTGCACAAAACAAAGCCACAGAAGCTCATATGCAATTTGTAAATTCTAAAGAATAACGTTAAATGTGTATATTGAGTTCTGCATGAGCCCTTCCCAATTTTATGTCAAAATTAGGAAATCAACACGTCTGAATGAATATTCTGAAATGGCTTTTCAATGACCAAAATATCAAGAAGCAATTAGAGAAATAATAAATACAAAATACAAAAATTTCCTCTTTACCAAATTCCAAGAGTTTGGGACAATGATGACTCACAAGCCGGTTGCAATGTCTCTAGTCACAAATAATATAAAGTCTACAATTGGTTTCAGAGTTTATTTTCACTATGAAATGTATTGGAATCGCCTCAACACTATGATCTCAGATTTCACAATCCTAAAATTTGCGTTTATGGTTATTTCCAGCAGTAACTTTCTACCCACATCAGGATCAAGGAAAATTTGTGCTATTCCAACAAGGGTTAACATTGGTGCAGATACCTAGAAGAAGCAAGCACCCTTACAATGGGGCAAAAGTCAAATTTATTTTAAGTATTTTCCCTCTTTTACATTTTACAAAAGTTAACATTGATCACCTACATGTCCTAGATGTTTATAACTTTTATTCTCAGACAACTGTACTTGTTCATAAGAAAGAAACTAAGAAGTAGTGCTACAACAGCACATACTTCCGCAAAATATTGGTATTGGTTACGCAATAACAATTTTCTGCAGCCTTGTGATTTATTGTTAGGTTCTTTGGCATGTGAATCCTTATTTAACGGATACGCTGCTGAAAATGATTTTCCTGAGCACATCCTTTTAATATGAAAAAATTGAAAACTAACAGTCCTTATGAAATCATTAATTATTATTTGATGCTACTACAACATATTTAGTGGTACAATTTGGTAGATTTTGTGGCATTGAATTTGCAAAATAGAGTAACTCTATGGAGGGCTTTCTACACTGATTTCCATTGACAGCTCTATCGATTTTGAACGATAGCTAAAAAAACTAATTAATGCTCCTTTTATCATCATCCTAACAGCCACAGTCGTCCTTACAGTCACAGTCATCATAGTCAATCGCAATCACCGCCATAGTCATAGTCATAATCACCATTATAGTCAAATTCACCATTAGTCATAATCATCGTCAATCATAAATCATAATCATTATAATCATCTTTTTTTTAAACTCTAACACTATGGCCAATATTCTCATAAGATAAACTTGGGAATATAAAAAAACAAACTTTTTTTACAAGAATATTATAATAAAAGAAGGCTGTTACCATGTTTACTTGATTGAAATTCCAGGACAAACTTTTTTGAAATCGCATATAGTTGGGTTCTAACATGAAAGTGCATTTGATTTGCCTATAAAGTTGAAAACTAAACACATCTATTAATATACAAACAAAATATTTTCAAATAATTATGTTTGGATTTGTCTTTTAACATTTTTAAAACAAATTTTGATATCACTCTGAAAATTTAAAAACACATCAAAATTTTTAGTTTGTTTGCAAATATACATAAAGAATACAAGTTAACCAACGCAAAAACAACTGAACCAAAAATATACTGAAACATTTCTGCAACTCCCTTTCTTCTATGGAGGCCCAAGGAGGAAATATACTAATTGAACTTAAAAACTAATTACACCAAATACTGCACATCAACAACAATTTAAAATAGCTAGAAAACAAATTTCCATAATACACTACAAACAAACACACCTCTACAAACATGCAGGTGGACAGTGAGAGGACTGCACACCAGAGTTGCGGCCACAACTACACCTGACCCTGCCACAAGCTGTGCACAACCACCTCTCTAGCTGTGGGACAAACATAATATCATTGTGCTACAAATAAAAAGCCAAGCAAATGTGATTCCTTTATTCCTTAGATTTTGTCATAAATGCACTGATTTATCATTGACAATAGGCTTTAGACCTTAAAAAATTTAGTCCAAAACACGGTAAATTGAGCTATCACACGATCCTTACAAAAAGACTTTAAACGACATGCTAATGATAAACTCTATACCTGCACTGAGATGTTACAGGTGCATGTACTTTATACGTACTGTCAAGAGTGAAACAAAGCAATAAAAACACTTTCAGTCATTGCAACACATCACTAGGTGGCTTTACCGAATACAGAGATTAATTTCACATACAGTAATGGTTTATTCTGGCCTATTTTGGGACAATCACAAAAAATTAATAGAATTATGGGGGGAATGAGACATTTGGGATAACATTATGAGTGAAATTAACAATTGAAGTTTGATATGGATGCGATCCACAAGAAAGAAATAAAGAAGGTCAAAATAGGAAGTGACCAATGTAGGAAAGAGATGAAGAAACTGTTTAAGTTTTTAATGAGACATGCGAGTAATTTTTGTTATTAGGAATATAACTAATAAATAGGAAGGCAGATTATAAAAGAAAATACAATATGAGTGAGTAACAGCTAATGGGAAGAAGCGGTATGACAAATGAACAATAATAACAATAACAATGATAACTCATTAAGAGTTGTTGAATTAGTAAGAAATAGCAGCATAAGAGTGGATAGAACCACACAAACATTGGGTTACATAGGGAATGAATTTCTAAGAAGGCTATCACGAACACAATCACACTAAGGTTAAAAAATTAAGACTCAGCTGAGGCCAAACAAAATGTGTTGAGGATCTTATGGAATTGGAACAGAGCCTGATAGCAGTTTCACCAGTGAAGAGTGCAGTGGTCAGAGCAAGGAAAGTGCAAAAACATTAAATACAGTTAATGTAGGAAGACAAGTTGTGTCCAATGTAAATGTAATAAGTATTAGTATAAGAGATAAGTAGGCATAACATGGCCATGGGTAAAGTAATCAATATGAGAATTGTAAATATGGAATGGAATGTTATTGTTGTTGTTGTTGTTATTATTATTATTATTATTATTATTATTATTATTATTATTATTATTATTATTATTATTAGTTTTTGTTATAGTGTAAAGTCATAGCTGTGCTCGTATTGTCAGCGGTGGAGCTACAAGAAATGGGTGGAATTTGTAATTATAATATACTAGAATGACTAAGGTGTTTTCTTTTGTTCAAGTAGTTCAAATTCAATGAAAAAAATTTATGTAAATTTCATAACTTGAAATCCCATATAGGCAAGTCAGTCCTCCTATAAATTATTAATATTTCATAGTCTAACAAGCTTTTCCACTTCAAAATTTGGCAAGCAATGATACATTTTCACTTTCTTACTACTGCTTACAGTATACAAAAAGTTTTTTTAATGCTACGTGAAAAAAAAGGAGAATTTTCACCACAAAAACTTATGCTGGGCCCTGGTAACAAAAAAGAGAATAAATCTTGTACCTCAATATAGTAAATTACTTTCTCTAACTCATTATGTAGTCAGAATTCATGTTTTATGGGTTCTCGATACCAAAAAAACTGATGGCAAAACGTCTACCCACTCATGTCTGTGAACAATGCTAGTGGTTAAACTGTAAGTAGGATTTTCACAAAAATTGATATTCCCCATTTGATTGAGTTGATGTCGTGCCCCTTAAATTTGAAATAAATATCTTAATTTTCAAAAAAAAATGGCACTACATTTTATAATTAAATTACATCCTCTGATAGTATAAAGAACAACTTAAGAGAATGGTGTTGCTATCAATTCCGTTAAAATCCCCGATTTTTTCAAAAATTGCAAAAGTTTACATTTTTTTCTGCATGTTCTTACAACTACTATTATGAAGGTGAAATTTTTTTCTTAACGAACTGTGTTTATCAGAAACAGATTTTCAAATAAGGTCAAGTTCAATTTTTCAAATATATGATATTTTTGCACAATTTTGCATCCAACAGAAAATTTTTACATTTTAAACAATTATTTTCTCAGAAAGAGTTCCAAATACTTCCTTAAATTTTTTTTTACGCTGCAGTAAAGAATGATAAAGACTATGGGACTGGTCTCGTGTTGGACCCTCTCTTTTTGAAAATTGGAAAAAATTTAATACTTGTCTTTTTGCAAAATGGCAGCATGGCCACTGGAAATTTTTGGGACTTTTGAAATTGTACGATGCAGGTATAGAACATACAACACAAGACACGGTATAGAACATTCTTAAGAATAAAAGTAGATTGAAGTAAGATAATACATAACGTAGAACTAACAAAAATACTTTAAGAAGTTTTGACCACTGATTACAGAATTCAGAAATTGTAATGTCACTTCGGTGTAATCAAGGCAAGCGTGAAATATTATTCTTTCTTTCCTGTAGGAGTTGCAAATACTGTAATAGTTAAATTTATTCATGTTTGTTTAGTTTGTAAAGTTAGAAAGGACTGCCGATTCTAGCACAGGCTTCGTTTAATCGAGACAAGTTATAACCAAGTTTCTGGTACAGCAGAAATGGCAATATTTCAGTAATACATAACTATTTCCAATAATGTTAAAAGTATGTGTGGGTGTAGCAGCTCTAGTTTTTAAATAATAAAACAATGAGCTAGGCAGTGGCCGGCAATAATAGCATCATTAGAGCAAATATAATTCGGAATGAGGAACGGATCACGCTCTCAATATTAAAAGAATTAGTCCAGTATAAAAATAAATAATATGAAAAACTTTTTTCGGTGTGTAACTTCTTTGTTTATAATTGTTGAATCAATTAAATGATCGTCATTATAATCGTGAACAATATATTGGAAGGGTTTAAGTAGGTCATGTCCCCTGTACAGTAATACCTGGTGGATAGATTAGAAGATATCTTGTTATCTCTTCATGAGTTTTTGCTCTATTTTGCACATAGGTTGGTATTTCAAAGCTAGCTTTGGTATTACCCTCGCATGCTATCTTGTGCACTGGAATACCTACCCAAACTCCTTTACTAACACTAGTTGGAAAATTAATAAGTGAATGCAACGTATGTAGTTGAAAAATCTGATTTACAGAAATGTTTGATCCCAGCTTTGCTATTATTCTGTTCTCTGCTTTGACTGATCTTTTGTATAGCTTGTGTTTGTTTGGACACATGAGTTTGTATGTATGTGTGTGTTTTTTGTTGTTTTACATTTCACAGACTCGTGCCAATTACAATTATCATTCATCATTTTTCTTGAGAACAAACGTGTTTACCAAGCAGCTACGCTTTCCACACCCATTTTGTTCACCGTTGAAATTTTTCATTATCTCCAATACTGAAATTAGAATATTGAAAATATGTTCAAAACCCATGTTAGTACAAATTAGAGTTAGTAATTATGTTAATAGTGGTTTCTTCAGACAATAATGGAAGGCTACAGCAAATTGGTTGACAAATTAAAAAATATTGTTAATACCAAATGAAGGTAATTCGTACAAATCAAAACATGGCTGTAGAGTAAATATCCTCTAGTTTTACTAATTAGGTTTCCGAAAAAGTATATAACATAATTATTTTATATCATCAACCAACTGATCCAGATGTCATTGTAAAAATCAGTGATTTGCGACAAAATTCAAAGGACACTACAAAGTAAAACCAACATACCAATAATAAATATGAGATTTTACATGCAAAAATAAAAGGTTTAATTCACTAGTTTTCTATCAATAAGCACAAAATTATCGATTGATACAACCCAAAATGATGATTCTCAATATCCAAGAAATGATTTAATAGATAACTTTCTTTCTATAGTGCCAGTGTAGAACCAACTGGCACAGGTATTTTTATTCCCATTAATACTTCAACATTAAACAATCCTTAATGAATACCACTTCTTTGATGTGATCTTAGAAAATACCTTTAATTTCCAATCAATGTCCAAATTATTCTATTTAAAAAATATATTTCCTATTTGCTATGGAAAAGCAAATGTATTACTCTTCAGGAAACTACTATCACACATTCTTGCAAACAATCCAAGCTGAGACACAGAAGAGGAAGTCTGTTCTCTCAATAATATTGATGACTGAATTTTCGTAATTCATTTCCAATAAACTATTGTATTGGCACAGTAAGTACCATCACAATTGCGTATTTTGTGTGTAACAAATTCCCCTTATTCTGATTTGGTTAAGTTTTTATCACTTTAAAATGTCTGAACACAAAATTTGTCATGTTTACAGAATATACTCAAAAGTACCAACACTACTCATGAATGGTAAGAGTGTACATAATAAAAGGAATAAATCAAAGCAAAAAATTAAGTTCTATTTACTACATCACTGACATGTCTCAAGAGAATCTGAGACATGGTAAGCCAGATGACCCCCTCTAACGCAACAATTTTGTCTCTATTCATTTATGAGTTATACAGGTTTGATTCTTCTATTTACAACTAGAAGGAAATAAAAACAATCTAGTCTATACTTTCAAGCACACACTATCAATTCCAGTAACATTACACCAAACCAAACATGCTACACGCCCAACAAAACATGCAAAGCAATCCCTAAATGTCTGAAGGTCGTATGTTCGTGCCAGTCGCTAGTCAAACACTCAACAATTTATTACATCTACATATTAACAATAGCTGCTTGTAAAGGTGAAAGGAGTACTAAAATAATTATTTGTAAATAGTTCAAAAAGAAGTATTGTATAATTACATTAGATACACAATGTTTACTAATAAATTTAGTCTCCTGTATGACTTGTTATTTTCATAAGTTGGTAATACTTAATATAGATTAGGTTGATTTTGGCACCCGTTCTTTTCTTTCTTTCTGTGTTGAATATTAGTCCACATTGTTTACATTGAAAGTGGATTATCATCAAACAGTTTGCATTTGTGTGTGGTATAAAATTTTAAGTTAGCGTGGTTTTATCTCTTTGCCAAAGACAAACAATGGTGGCAATGGCTCGATTTGTAAAGTATATCTCTAATGCCAAGAGCCAATACTTTCGGTTGCGTTGAATTTTCCAGCAGTTTTTTTATCAATTACTCTTAAAAATGCCCGGTGAGTTGCAGTACATTTAATACCGTCTGATTCTTAAAACAATTTACTAAGTATTGAAAAAGAAAAGTACTTTCACCTTATAGATTCATCTATAATTTAAAAAACCTTTGCCGCAAAAGTTTTTCCATAAGAGCCTGTATGAATAAAATATTTAATAAGCAATTTATAATACAAATTTTGGCTTTTAATAAAAAATTTGGCCAGTACGAGCCAATTTTTTTCCTTACAATTTTCAAGAACACAGATTTTGCTTTCGTTTAAAGTACTTTTTCGGGGTACTTCCCCATGGTCGATTTAACGAACATATTACCTTAAATAGTAGGATTCATGTACTAGATGGAGGTAATAGGCTAATTTCTACAGTTAAAAAAGTCTCTTACACAGTGTACTGTTAAAAACTCAAAAAAGATTTTAAAAAGATTTCAAGTTGTCAGTAAATTCACTCAAAATACCTTGGTATATTCTATATTGTCACTAATGTCAACACAAATTGGCAATACCTTACACAAAGTCAAACTCGTTCTGTTAAGTACAACACATGACAAAGTCACTAGAAGCATTTACTTTAGAAAAGTGAAGTATTTACTTACTCCTATATTCCTTAGAAGATCACTGACTATATTCATACCAGATATTCGATTAGAAGGAGTAAGTGGAATGTTCTGACTTTCTGCACATTGGCTATCTACAAATTCAAAGAGACATTCAAGAATATTAAAAGAATATTGTAACAAATTATTTTGCTATATATGAAAAAATTACACTGACATTTCATTGGTGAGCCACTAACAGTAGTCTGAGTCTCCATTTCCACCATCAACTTATTGGAATCTACAGAGCCATGAACTGAACTCAAACATTTATCATTGTCTGGAAATTCTGGGTCATCCTTATCCCGTATTTTCAATTCTTGAGCAAGATCTGTAAGGAAAAAAAAAAAAAAAAGAAAAAGAATTCAATAAAATAATTGATACAATACAGTGAAAATCCATTTATACATTTCTCAGTTATACATGTTTCACATTTATACATTGTTTTTTGGTTAAGTCCCGAATAAATTCCTATAACTCCAATGCAAATTATTTCAGTCATGTGTTTGACGTTTATACATTCATAATAAAAGTCCCTTTAAAACTTTTAAATGATGCCAGAGGCACAGGACGACCTGCACCAAGTTGCAACCTGTTGCTCAGCCTCTGAGGCGACTTCCCGCAAATTAAGGCCAAGATCATGCGAGCCCGCAGAAGAGCAAAGTCGGCTCCCAGGCCACCTCCGGCAGCAGAACTAAAAATTTCTGAGTCGGGTGCGTAAGGGAGATCTTTTAAGATCTTAAGTGACAAAGGCTAGCTCCAAGGGGTCAAAGGCATCCCCAGGAGAGTAACAACCAACGTAGATGACCAATAAGTGAGAAAGTTATATTGTGACGTTTTCAACTCTGCCCCTGGCATTCATGCACGTCCTGTCGCCCACATACGACACTGTTGATTGATCTGGGAATCTCAAGTACTATCAAGTTTGAAACCGAAGTAATCAGCTGGAGGTTGCCTCTGCCAGTTGTAGCCCACACAGGACGGGGCCTATATTACTGCAGTACTGAGTTTTACAAAGTAATCAGTAAGGTCTCCATTCCATGTCCGCCACCTCCATCTGAGGGGAGACATCTTTGAATTACAACCTTCAGCTGAGGATATTATTTCCAAGCTGACCAGTGTTGTAATTTGTGGCTGTGTTTGAATCGAAGCCTAGCATGTCTTCTATCTGGTTTTGCATCCGTGATATTAAACAAAAAAGAATGGGAGGAAAAGGCAACACCTATCAATACCAGATAAAATAAAAATTTTAAAACTTCTTAGGGAGAATGGCAATAAAAAGATAGATATTGCTAAGGAACTGGTATGACTGGTAGCAGGGAAAATCTGGTGAAACAATTGAGTAAAAATATAGTTTTTTATTTTGCTCATAATATTCAATTTCAGTTAAGTGTTTTTCTCACCAATAATTTCACCCCCTCAATCCCGTGAAAAAGGTGTAAGTGAAGTTTTACTGTAATTAATAAATAAAAATTGTAAAGAAATAAATTTTTAAATCTGTCAGCAATACTGTACCTCGCTTTTCATCTTTGAGTCGCTGAACCATGGCAAGTAGTTCTTCATGTTCACACTCCAGAAGAGCATCTCGTTCGATCGCAGCGTTAAGTTTAGATTCAGTTTCTCCTTTTGACACACTTACAGCCCTAAGCACATATTTTCAAAAACAAAACAAAGATTAGACCCACACATTTATTCCACATTCTCCATAATTATTCACTTGTATTTAGGAGCCCTTCAACTACCATTCAAGGTCATTAGGACATGTCATCAGCGTATGCAGGGGAATGGGATAATCTTGAGAAAACCTGTCAATTTGAAATGGCTGAATGATTACCTTCATTGTTGAAATCAAAATAAATTTAAAGCTTTCATATTTGCAGGCATTATGACTACTACAAATGTTTTGTAGGGTTCTCAGGGCTACTATTGTTCGTATTTTTATTAAAGACTTAAGTTATTTCTATGTAATTGTAACTACCAATTATTTGCTAAAATGAAAAGATACAGAGTGGTATCAGGGCTGAATGACTGTATTGAGTAACAATTAAATTTAAACAGTCAAGTTTCCTGGTGCGAACAGATTTATCTACCTTCAAGTATAAGACAAAGATTTTAATTAATTAAATTACAAAATCGAAAAGCAGATATTAAGAGGGTGGATCATTTTAAAGAGCTTGCATCATACTCCACTTGTTTCTCAAATAATGTGGAAAATTCTACTGAGTAATTCATTATCTGATGATGCCCAATTTTTTGTACCTTTTGTTAAATAAGTTTAGGTCTAACTGCACCATTGAAACTTATGTATACCACTGCAAGTAGGCCTTGAGGAAGCACCTTGAGATGTATATTATGTCAATCACACAAATTATGAAAGAAGTCAAGTTATTTATGTATTAATGTCAAGAAGTAAACTTTTTTCAGAAGAGTTGTTTATTACCCTAGGCAGAGTATAGAGTCAGAAATGCATACTTTTTTTATACACTCACTTCTAATTGACAATTTTTAATTGTTTCGAAAAATTGCTGATTTTAGTGATTTTACTTCTTGATTTCTATTTGAAATGTTTTCAAAGTTGGCATTATGGCTGCCCAGAATAGCACTGTTAACAACATTCCCAAATGTACACAAATCCAGTGTGCCAGGAAAGTGTCTCCATAGTGTAATTTGCACAATCCTGGGGAGAATGCTAGCAATAGAAATTACGTTCGTAACATGAGCTGTGCAACTTGTACCAAAGAAAATGTAAATAGAAAACCTGAGTATGCATATAATCATAAAAGATGCTGGAAGTGTTGCCCCCTTCACATGTTTCCTAGTGATAACATAGATGCAATATATAATTGAAAGCTCTGACTCAGCTCAGTGCAGACTTTCCTGGCACATGTTAGAACGGTCGAGCAAATGAAAATTCCAGAGGATATTTCGAAAACAGCTCATTAAGCAAGAAAATTTCATGCCTCAAAAATCTAAATTATATGAGAAAAAGAGTACCGAGACATTAAATATTCAAGGTCTGTCAACGCTGAATACAGATTGGATAACAACTCTCTCATCCCACAAAGGAAGTACTTTGGAAAATATAATTTATGCCAGGAACTTCAATTACCAATCCAAGAATAGGTGTGTTGAATTTTACTATATAAATACTATTACTGTGATTCTTGGTTGTTTGGAATGAAACGTGTCTCAGCCAATCGAGCTGGTTTTTATCCCCTCCCCTTTCCATCCTACATCCCTCCCCAACATTATCTGGTCTCTGGGATCGCTCTTATCCCTCTCCACCAATCAGGGACCATCTGCCCTCCTCCTATTGGTCGCCGATGCAGCCATCAGCCCACACACCCCATCTTAATAATGCAACATGCTAGTCTCTAATACAGTTTCAGCATCCTAGTTTCTAAGCAGCAGTATAGCTCTGAAAAAGCCCACAACATGTTTGTCAAAATGTCAGGTCGATCAACTCAGACGTTTATTTAAAGAGCTCAATCATCTGATCCAGCTTACCCAGGGCAGCCAAGAAACAAATGACTTGCGAGAAAATGTAAAAAGTGGAAGTTAATAAATAGTTTGTTTCTCAAGTAGTGTTAATTTTGATTAAAGTCATTACTTCTTAAGCCAATATACAACAGGCCTTGATTGGAAAAGTACTACTTTGCTGACAATAAAATGCCACTGAACTGTTGACTGCAGAAAAAAGTTTATATAAGAGATTATAAATGACAGTACAGTCAAGTTTATAAGCAGACACATCGACTGTAACTTTGATATTTTTCGTTATCTTTCAATCTTTCTTCCTTTCAATCTTCAATCTTTCTCCAATCTTCCTTCCTTCTTTCTTTCCTCCTGGCACAGGGTTTGACATTTGGAAATGTTAATTACTTGCTCTATATTACTCATTCATTTACATGGATTGGTTTAATGTTTTTGTCTCCATTGTTACTTAACACTGGTGTGTTCATACCCAATCAGCTTATTTATATTTTCCTTATCTACATGTACAGTTGCGTGGTTTTTGAACATCTATTCAATTCAATTTACTAACAGGTTGCAATAATAAATACAAATAATTAACACATTCCACAGAGGTTTACAGCATGTGTACAAACCAGCATTGGGTGTCAAAAACAGTATTGATTTATATTTTATGTACATAAAATTAATTATTAATAACCTTGCAAAATTGTTAATGGTTTTGTAATATAATAAAAAATTTGTCTTACATTTCAGCTTTGAAAAATTCTAAAACAAAGCACAGAAAATACATATATTTGTTGAAAATTACGTAACATTACTTAATAAACCTTCAACAAATAGTTATCACTTTAAGAGTGTCACTGGTAATACAGTGTGACAATGAAATTTGCCGCAGAAAAAAAATATCTGATTGTTATGTAGATCAGTGTCCTGATGACAGTGGTTGAAACCATTGTTCACTATCACCTAAATTTTCTTCTGGAAAAGCAATTTTATCTGCACTTAGTGTTCTATTTATGTTGTTGTGGCACTTATCACATTCTGCTAGTTTAGAAATGTTATTGCCTGGTGATGGGTGTAGAGAGTAAAGATGGGGATACAGTCACTTGGGATTGGTTTAGGAAAGTTTTAGTTGCATCAGTCAATCAATAATGAGACCACACAGGATTTCTTCTTGTATCTAAATTCGCTTACATGAATATTGTTTGTGCGTACGATTTCATGCACATGTTTCTTATACTCAGCAATGTCTAGGAAGTGTGTTAATTCACCAAATCTATTTTGTTGTGTGTGCAGCAAATTTGTAATAGTCTATGAAGCCTCAAAGACATTCCATTTCTCAGATCATCAAAAAGGCATATGAGTTTATTTTGAATCTACGGCAGATGATGGTAAGTGTTGGACTCCACAGAACTGTTTTCATAGGCCAGTTACATGGAACCATCCATCTATGCCATTTTCCATACCTCAATTTTGAAAGGAACCTAGAGACCACATCAGATTGCTACTTTTGTTAAATGAAAACAAGAGGACTCTCAAGTAAATCAAAACAGTTTCTTATCCAAATTTGAAATCTGCAATGCACATAGCTCTGCATTACGATTCTCTGCGAATTCCAAAACCACCAACGGAATAAACACTGGAAAGACGAAACAGAAGAGGGTGGTGACAAACGAACAGATCACGAAAATCATGATCTTGATTACACGCCATCTGCGGTACACCTTCAATCACAGCCATTGTCGCAGGCAGAATTGAAATGTCTTGTAAGAGATCTAAATCTTCAAAGAGACAAGCAGAATTACTTGGGTCTTGTGTACAAGAAAAGAACCTGTTACAACCAAACACTAGACATTGTAATGGTATAAGGTAATGACAAAAATGGCCTTCTTACAAAATTTGGGACAATTCACAATCCGGAAGAATTGCACCTATTTTCTTCCAGGAATGCACACTGGTTACACACAATATTGCTGTTTCTTGTGTTACTGGGACAGTAGAGTAAGAAAGACCATTGTTGAATCAGAGAATTAGTTCTGAGAGAAATTTTCAATCCTAGTGAAAAAATGTGTCGCGTGAACCCCTTGTTGACAAAGATTGTGTGCTGTTACTACCACTCCATCTGAAGAATTTTGTGAAAGCAATGAACAATATTGGACAGGGTTTTCAAGTTTTACTATCTACATTTCCTGCGATCCCTAACTACATGGCCTCAGGCCCGTTACCTGATGAAAGATATTAGCTTTGAACAGCTGTTGACAGATAATGAGAAGGTACCTTTGCTTGCAATGAAAGATCTACAAGATAATTTCCTTGAAAACTTAATGTCTGAGAGTAGCAAGGAATTGACAGAAAATATGCTGGACTGTTGCTATGGGGTGCAACATGACTCTGAAATTATATTTCTTTCATTACCATTTGGATTTCTTTTCACCTAAAATTGGTGATGTGAGTGACGAACTTGGTGTGCGATTTCAGCAAGATATTAATGCCATAGAAAGGCGAATTACTGATGGACACTTCTACAAGAAGTTTCACCATCCGCCCATGAAAAGAACATTCCAGTTTCCAACATTTCAAGCTTGTTATGTTTTCATATCACGTTTTGCAACACAAACAATTTTTGTAACATGATATGTATATTAACTACAGATTACCCCTTATTAACACTGAGATGTTTCCAAGTTACTTGAAAGTGATATGTGGCATATCTTTCCTAGAAAAATTGGTACGAGATGGAACATTTCCGATTTCATTTTCTCAATCATCGTATATGATTTAGTAAAGAACACATACTTTCATCTTGAGGCAAATTTGGTCAAATTTGTTGCGCTGTGTAATGGGACAACTGTGTTCAAAACTGCCATTTTGCAGAAATCAATCACCTTGTCATGGTAAAAAGTAAACAAAACACATTTGCCACATAAATAGTCATAGTACATAAAGTTTTGCAGTCCAAACAACATTAAAGAATGAACTTTTCTCTGTTATTTAGTGAAAAAGCAGAGCCATTTAATGAATGATCCAAAAATGTCAATGAGAGATTTGTAACCAAAGTGGTTGCATTTGGACATACGAAGTGAAGGATAAAAATATCAAAATATGCTGAAACAGTGCATTTCACAATGTGTAAATCATCTTATTTAGAAAATGTTAAAATTCAAAAAGAGTCCAAAATTCAGATTTTTGTTATCTATTCCATTAACAGACCTAGCACTGTATATATTCTATGCACAAAATTAATTATTTCCCAAAAAACCACCTAAATGTATTTTCTCACATTTCAAACATTAAGTAAAATAAAATACTGAAATTAAGAAATAAAAATTATTTTTACCTCAAAGCTCTTTCAAGATCATCATTCCTCTGTTCCAATTCTCGAGTTCTGAGCTGTAAATCCCTATTGCCATCCCGTAACTTTGTTATTTCAGAATCTTTCATATCACACAATCTCTGGTTTTGTTCTGACCTGTCCTGAAAAACAATTTAATTTTTAAATATGTATGAAATAATTACTGCTTCCCAACCTTATATTATGGAAAAATCAATATTAACACTAAACAAAAATTACTCGAAATTAATTACCATATTTATTAATATCTAAATATGATGAAACAAGCTCACTTCACTTATTATTACGATAAAATAATTTGTAATGTACGTTTCACAATATAAAGTTAATTTCATTTCCATAACCAGTTAGCATAAATTATTTTGTAATGTTTCCATTAGTGTCCTTGAGGAAAAGCAACACAGAACTTTAGTAACCTGTACAGAATATTACTTTTAATTATTAAATTACATATGGTAGAGCACACACTAATTAGATTAGAGTAAGATTTACTACTTTTTTAGAGTAAGATTTACTAATTTACTACTAGAAAGATGATGGTTTTGAACTATTTAAAAGTAATAGTTTACACAAAATCCCACAATGTGCTCCTACTGGGTGGTGAATTCTACACCGAAGTAATTTATGCACCAAAACACACACACACACACACACACACACACACACACACGATTCTTTAGGCTAGAATCATTCTTTAGGCTGAATCAAGAGCATTGCAAAACATGTCTCTGACATCCAATTTGACAGGAGTTGATAGGCTGTGCAACGATGAATGCACTTTAATGACCATCATTTGATGTTCTTTTGACACTATCCTTATGGAGGGCAATTACAGTGCACATGCAAACTGCAACACTATACCATCATGCATAACTGACACTATGAGCCATAAGCCAGTATGTGCCTACAGGAAGGCATAAAAATGTTATTTTTCTATGCAGTTAGCTACAAAATGAGACCTTTCAGAGTAAGGAGCCAATTTTGATGGGCTCCCTTGCCCCATATACTGCAAGAAAAGCTCAAATTTAGGTTCCAGAATAGCCCTTTTCCCTTTTTAAACAATGATTTGCCAAGCACGGAATGACTGCAGCTAATGAAATTAAACACAAAATTGTTAATGAAAAACAACAGATTCACACTTGTGAATCTTAACTTGAGTAAAGTTCAAGAAGGGTAGGGAAGGCCATGATAAAAATTTTAAAATTTCTCTTCCTTAAATTTTAGTATGACTATTGCGACAGTTATTTTTAAAATAATTTACTCTGAGTCATTTATAATATAAAAGGATACGGAAATATTTGGATTCTCAAAATTGTAAAATACTTAAAGAAATTTTAGCACCAAAGTACTTGTGTATCCCAGTTTACTTGCTTTCCATATGCATTTCTATGTTAATGGCAAGTGTCCAAGTTTTGTTCAAGATATGCATTAACAATGATTCTGGACACTGCTAAAATATGACAGCATTTTAATGGGTAGATAAACACAAACACACACACACACACACTCTAACAAACAACACCAGTTTGTTGCCATCCTCTCACTTCACACACTGCCAACAAACAAAGTGGTCAAGGTAGTCACATCCCAAATTCTTCTCTGTATAGTTTTGCTTGTTTATTACAAAGTACACTGTATTACTCTCAATTAGACCACACAAAATGAGAAAACTTAATGTAATTAATGCACAATTTAATGTTCAAAACTTTCACAAATATCTACAGAAAATCTGAAATCTTAAAAACTGTGAAAGTTCATGTTAATTACTTACTCTCAATTTTTCATATTCCATTTGAAGTCTATTATATTGAACTCTAATTTCTCTATTTGATTTTTCCGTTTGCTCCAAACTAGTTTCTAATTCCTTCTCCAAAAGTTGAGAATTTTCTTGGAACTCTTGAAAATCATGTTCAACACGTCTAAGATCTTGCTTTGTATCATCCAACCTGCCAATCAACATATATCAAATAAATAAAATTATAGTTATGTAGTTACGAAGCAAAAGCATATTTAAACGCTCACTCCTGTTGAACTTGGTTTCTCTCCTGGATTAAGAGGCATTTTTCTTCTAACAGCTGACCAATGTAATTGCGCAAGAAATTGTTCTCTTGAGTCTTGTCATCGAATTTAGGTATATCCAAATCCATTGTTTACATCAAATACTGAAATCACAAATTCAATAAATACATAGCAATTTAAAGATAAATTAATTACCATCAATAACTGTTGGCAAACATTTATCATTTAAATCACCATTACTATTCAGTATCAAAACATGTAATAGTACAACCACAAATTGCTCCTCACGTCCATGAAAAAGACGCTTTGGGTTCTCTAATTCTCGGATAATTTTAAATCACAATTACAAGGAGCAATGTTTAACATAATCTATATTTCATATACGTGGAATTACGGGCAATATTGCGCATACCCGCGAACTCACCGTGTCACACCTTGTACTATATATCCGTGTTCGTAGTAACCGTCATTTACATTACAGTTCCTTTCCCTTCTTTTCCGATCCAACGAAATTCCCAACCGTTCAGTCAATGCAGTTGTGTCAAACGGTTCCCGAAGTCAAGTTTCTTTCAAAATGGCGTCCACGTTTCCAAAGAATAAATATTTCTATTTGATGTTTACTATCGAAGGGGCGAAAAGCGGTTGTTTCAAATTACAAACTATTACAAAACTCAATTACATAATTAGTCCGGTCAAATAGTGCTCAAAAAGGGTAAATAGTAGAAAAGTTTAGTGTAGTTTTAATATTAGGTTTCTATATATTTTGAGGTCGCTGAACATCAGGTATCCCAACAATCCCTATTCTTTTTATAGCGGATTCGAATTCTCCGAAAAAAATAAGTAATTTTGTTTTGTAGCATTGATAAGAGTGAGAACCCCCCCCCCAACCATTGATAGAAAGCGGGGGGATAACTTTTAAATTTCAAATGGAACAAATTTCAAATTGCTATAACATCGTTAATAACATTTAAAAGTGAATGAAATAGTGCTAAAATGGGATAACTCTTCCAAGATCTTGCTAAAACGTTCAAAAATAAAAAAAAATTAAAATAAGTTTTTGCAAACACGTAAAGTTTTTAACATAAAAAATTGAACAAACATTGCGAGACGACGATATCTGAAATCGACTGCGTCTTGTGTACGCCATCCAACAATCATTGCGTATCTTCACTCCTTGGTCTGCTTCCATTTCACGCACTTCGGCTCTCATTTTATGGTCTGCTTCCGTTGGATACTCATCATTCTTCAGTTCCTGGTCTGCAACGATTGGGAGCACATCATATTTTTTTAAGGTTTTAGTTTTTAGTCCGCTTCCATTCGCCACGTACCGTCCTTGACTTCTTGAAGTGGGTTACCTCAGTTTTTGGTCTTCTTTCAATCGGTGCGCATTGTCCCTTTGAGTCAGTTTCCTTCATTTCCTAGTAATTTTCATTGAAAGCTGTACTGGTTACGATGGCAGCTATAATGTTGCAAAATAATATTGAAATGGTGTTAATTTATGGAGAAAGTGACAGGAATCTAGATGATACTGTTACTCTTTATGCTCAACGTTTTCCAGACGGGGTAATATCACGCGCTTCATTTCGCCATCTTCGCCATTGTTCAACAGTTCTCTACCGAGGAAGTGTTCAGCCAAAAAAAAGGAGCAGCCAAAGAACAGTTGCTGGGGAAAGAATGAAATTGCGGTACTAGCTGCAGTTGCCCATAATCCCCACATCAGTACTCGACAAATAAGTCATGGTGCGGTAATTAGATATCTGTTTGGGAAATATTGAATACCAATAAATATCATCCGTTTCATGTTTCCTTGCATCAAGAACTTCGTGACGATGATTTTCAGAATCCAATAACGTTCTGGCAATGGGCGCTTCTGCAAATACAAAGGGATCTTCAATACTTTGCGAGAATATTGTTCTCTGATGAGCCAACTTTCGCTAATCACTGTGCAATCAGTCGACGCAACATGCATTAGAGTACCGAAAACAAACATTGTAGTACCAATGTTTGGTGTGACATAATTGGCGACAAACTCATCGGCCCGTATTTCATCGACGGCAATTTGAATGGTGAAAAACACCGAAACTTTTTGGAGAACGTACTTTCGTTATTTCTTGCAGACCTTCCCCTTAACGTGCGACAAAGAATGTGGTTTCAACATGATGGTTGTCCAGCTCATTATTATTGAGAAGCACGAGAAGTATTAGATCGCGTGTACCCTCGCTGATGGATCCGAAGAGGTGGTACAGAAGCTTGGCCTGCCAGATCGCCAGATCTTACCTCCCCTGATTTTTATTTGTGGAGTCACTTGAAGAGTGAAGTTGATGATCAACTGCCAACAATACGCAAGAACGTGATTGAGCGAATCACCGCTGCATGTCATAAGATTCCGCCCCAAAAACTTCTTAGTTGTGTTCAATCTTTCCAAGTGAGGATAAATAAATGCATCGAAGTGGGTGGCCAAGTCTTTAATAATAATAATAATAATAATAATAATAATAATAATAATAATAATAATTTTGAAGTTGTACAAGCCTGTCGTGTTTCTCAAGCTGGCTTTACTCTTGCAAGAAAATGGCGAGCAATATTATTTTGCAAGAAAAGTTGCCAATGTAAACATCACGGCAATAAATATTTCTGATGTTGGTAATATTTCTTGCTAGATATTCCGGTCGTAATGTAAACCCGTGTGTTTCCACCCTCGGAAAGATATTGCCGGCTGTAACTGGGACTAGAATTGGAATGAAGTAGGAGCAAGATATTGCTGGAAGAAGCCAATGTTGACGACTGTCTCATGCGCAGGAAGTATGTACGGTAGTACATAGACGTAATATTTCCATTTTAATATGCATTTTCTCGTGAAATGGGTGTATGAAAAAGGTTTACGACTATAAAAGGAGTGATAAATATTACCTCTATGGTTGATTATCAAAGGTTCAAATTTTGGTTCAGTTATAGATAGACTTTTATTAAAAGGCAATTACTTTGCTCCTACGGGAATCGAATTCCACGAAATCATTTTGTTTTAAGAAAAATATTCCGACACTTCTACCTAATTCGCACAAGCCCCCTTTTCCTTTCTTCTTAAAACTCAGTCACATGTCCTCACAAATCGTCGGCGTTACTTCACCTCCCCATTCCGCACAGTAAGTTCGACCGCAACTCGCATCTTTTACCTTCCACTAGTTATGTCGGGAAGTGAGTGATGTAACCTCACTTAATTTCATGCGCAATTTCCTCGCGCCGTCGCCAAACGGCAACAAATGGTCCTAATGTAAAGCAACCGGCAATATCTTGCTCTTGCTAATGTAAAGATGACCGCAAGAGGCGCAAATAAATTGCTGAAAGATATTGCGGAAACGTATTGCTAATGTAAGGCCAGCTACAGATGTATTGGCAATTTGTTGAAGAATTGTGTACCTGAAGAGAATGTACTCTCTTGGTATAATGTGCTTGTACACATTGGTTGATGAAGGTTACATGCTTGCCTTGTGTTACCGACAGTCCTTGTTCTGCGCAATTGACGTTTCGGCGCCATGAATCACCAGATTAAAAAAGTCCTATTTATAATTACTTTCCTTCTTATCCCTCCAAACGTGCATCGTAACTTGTCCAAACCGTAAACCTGCAGCAATCTTTCCTTGGTCGTTCCTAAAAGAGTAAGTCACTCCACGGTATGATTATTACTGACCAGAGGAATTCTTTCTCCCATTCTTTCCAGTACAAAGGTTGTTCATTTGAAATGATGAACACTTAACGGACAAAGTCATTCCGGGTGCCACAACAAATTTCACCACAATATCAACCATTCTTAAGCTCCTGTGGTGTTTTTCGATCGTCAGCAAATGCTAAGACACACTCCCTTCCGATAGCGCGTATCCTCACTTGTTTTCCAATTTATCAAGCAGGCACTCCATAATGGGATTAAAAGGCGCGGAACCTGGGACCAATCTTGTTTGGGGGGGAATTTGCATGCGCGCGCGTGTATATATATGGTAAATAATTTAATTATATTATATAATAAAAATTATATTATATAATAAAAATTATATTATATAATTAAAATTATATTATATAATTAAAATTATATTATATAATTAAAATTATATTATATAATTAAAATTATATTATATAATTAAAATTAATTATAATCTAGAAATATTGTTATTAAAATTGTTGAATTTAGAGCTGCAAAACGACGAAGGAATGGGGTATATTTTTCATTCTATGATACAGAAGGGAACAGATACGATTTAAATAAAAACTCATAACGATTTATTAATTAAACATTCGCTTACATACAAACATTACTGTCCAGGTCTGAGGAAAGCCGACGGGATTTCGCAAAATGTCTCGAGCCTCTTCTACTTTTTATTTTTAAAAATATCTTTCCCTTTTCTTAGTTTCCCGCTGCGTGTCCAGGGATATGAAAGCGATCCATTCCCTAATGTTACGGACACAATGAAATTGTGCGAAAATACACAGAAGCGAACGCCATGTCGGAACTCTCTTCTTAAACTGCAATTCATTTAGCATTTATACTTACCGGCTATTATGTTCTCATCAATTCTCGGCAAAAACGCGTATTTCAATCCGTATGTAGGTTTACACTCATTTATGGGTTAGTCAGTCTACCATAATAGATAAATAACCAAGTGTATACTAATTAAATTAGTGTTCAACGGCTGTAATATTAAACCTTTATTACAAAGGCTTACTCTGGTAGACTACTTTGGGTAAAAACAAAGAATAGCTAATTTTTACGAGGAAAAAGTAAATGTAATGGATCATGTATGCAATGGAGTTACAAAATATAAATATCAAAGCTTTTTATACACACATGAATAACATGATTTCCTTAAGTGACATGTTTGGGGCCAATGATGTAGGCTTCCGCGGCCAGTCATGTGCGTGATCTTGGATGTGGGTGACGCCGCGTCGAAGGCTGTTGCCGACGCTAGTGTGCACACCAGCCTGTTTGGGGGGGCCGTCAACACGTGTCTTGAGTAGCGTCCGCATGACCTAGTTATGCGATGATTGATTGCTTTGTCCCATTATTGCTAGATGTACAGAACCTTATATGCAACAAGTCAAGGAGTTCTAATTCATTATTCACGTTAGTCATTAACGAAGTCAGTCGACCAAACTAGCGCTGATAAGTTACAAGAACCTTATATTACACACAACAGTTGACATCACAATTTCTGGGCGAAGAAACAGACTATTCAGGAATTTGAGAAATTTTGTAGTATTTCTTGAATATTTGAATTTCTTTTGTCAAAACAAAATTTATACTAAAAGGAATTGTTCTTAAATTAAAAAGGTTAATACATTTTGACCCACCCCTTAATGATTAATTATTTGGCACAACCATTGAAATGGTTAAATGGAAGAAAAAAAGAGGGAGACATTGTACAGTGAAGTGCAATCCATAAACTAACAAAAGCCCTAGTTAATCAAAATGGGAATTGGAACACACTACTTTAACAGGAAATTCTTTATACCGATATAGCGAATTAGTTCAGCCCACATTACCCACTGTACAAGGTATGATTAAAGTTTCCTAGCTATTAGCACAGTAATGACCTGGGTTTTGGCAGGAAAGGACATAACCAAGAGCACGTGTGCAGTTACGCATAATGGACGTTATTTGTAATTTAATAATTTAGACATCAACTGTCTATTTACATTTGCGACTCAATGACTCGGGGCCCTTTCACACTTTAGCAGCATAATTTGAAATTTCTATTTTACACAGGCTTTCATCACCGCAACTGGCAAATTTCTTGGCATTCTGTACATACTCTGTACTGCACACTTAGTTGTCCGCCCACAACCAGGAGCTATATCACGTCACAGCAGCTTTTGCTGTCCCTCAGTCATTGTAAACCTCAGGAACTGTACATAAACACCCCCCACCCCCACTTCTGCAACCAAAATGTCACTTCCATCAATAGGAGTTACACAGAAAATAATGTTCAGCCTAAATTTTCTTTTACACTCAAATGGATTTTAATACTCGTGTTTAGCAACAATTCTTATTTTAAACTAATTTGATGAGATTAATGGAGCTTGATGTTGAGGTTTCATAATGTGCAGCTAGTTGTCTTAGTAACAAACACTACACCAGTGAACTTCACTTGAAATGATGCCTACGCTCATGACTAAGCACAGGAACTGCGCTCCTCAGTGTAATTGAAGATACCAGAAATGCAATGGGCAACGGTTAAAATCACAATTCTTGTCCTCAATTTTAGCAAGGCATTAGATTCTGTTGACCACGATATTTTGTTAGCAAAGTTAAAACACATTGGATGAACCACACCCACACTCAAATTGCTCAGTTATCTATCTGGCCGACAACAAAAGGTTGTGTGCGGTACTGTCTTTTAGGAATACATTGCAATTAGCACGCAGCGTTGCACAGGGCTTAAGTGTAAGGACCCTGTTAGAAAATATAATTTATCTCAATTTTGAATAAATTCTCATGGCTTTCTGACATTTTTCATTAACTTTAACACATCCCAAACTGAAAATAAATTTCATATTACTCTAATTTCATTTGATCAATGCTGCTAGAGTATTCCCTTTTTTATCTGCTCCTTCCTCAGTCACATTCCTGTCCAGTTCTGCGACTCCAGTCAGATTCTTTGAATCACGCTTTCATTAACTACTGTATTAAATTTTATTAAAAAAAACGGCCAGGCAGAAGAGCCAGGTAAATGGTGTGAGCTTCACCATCAAAAAACACATTTAATCACTGCACAGCACTCAAGACAGGGATAGAATGTAATTGTATGATGGAATAACAAAGATGTGTATTCGTGTAAGTTATAAATCAATTCTCATGGTTGCTTATGTTGATTTTGAAAAGAAACCTTAAATAAAAAGGGATAGAATACTAGGGGGCAATAAAGTTGTTTTCTGAAGCTTATGTTTGTGCGTAGACAGCTCAAATTTTTTGAATTGGGTAGCGAACACTTTGGTCACACAACAGCCTGCCTGGTTTCAAAGTCCCTCCCAGCCCCAGATTAACATGCAACGCGAGCAATATTTTTCAGAGGTAACAGATTGAGAGTTAGCCCCTTCTAACATGTAGAACTGGCATGTATCCCTCTTAGGTATCAAGTGTTCAAACCCCCCCAGAGCTACTAACGTGCCCTAAAGCTTCCTGAAGTGGTAATAATTGATTAGCAATTAGAAAATTGAGAAACTTCATGACAAGAAAATTAAAACCTTCAACTGATCCTAAGTGTTAAATGGATGCTAGTTGTGCAAAACTAAATAGAAAACTGGACTTCTAATGACTTTTCTTCATAATGGCACATTAACTAGTCTAATGCCCAAAGTGTTAAAGTAAATGTTAGTATAAATCTGACCCACATGTAAGACAAAATGTTTTCAGAAATTGCATTAAAATCTGTCAACTAAGTTGGAAATCATTATCTTGGAGCTAAAAAAATTAACAATGAATATATATTTCCTTCATGGAAATTGTTTGTCACAGCAAATTAAATAAGTATTAGCAACTTAATGGTGTAATATATATAAGCTTCACTATTATCCTCTAACATGAAAAACTGGAATATAAGCTAATCACAACTTGTTTCTTTACAAGATGAAGGTAACTGAATTGCATATTCAAATGAAATGTCAACTTATTTTATGTAATTTATTCAACAACTGTTACAGCAACAGAATTCCATTTCAGCCTGGAACAAAAAAATAAAAATTAGAACAAGTTTTGGAAACTTTACCCTATTCATATCCACTAATTATTTTCAGGCCTATCATTGTTCAACACTCAATGGTCAGTTTTAAATGCTCTAAAGATGTCATCAAAAATTGTTTCACGAATACAATATACTTATTACAATTTATGGAATGTGTGCCAAGCAAATCAACAAACTCAACATCTTACTTACAACTTATGCATTTGCAGCAGCCTCTTCCTTCAACCTATCCTTCTTTAAAGGCCCCATAAAAGCTGCCTTATCAGCAGCAGTTTGGAATCTTCCATGGCCAAACTTTGAAGAAGTATCGATAAATTTTAAATTTATCTTCTCTAATGCCTTCCTCTTCGTATGGACAAGCAGGGACTGAAACAAAATTTACAGTTTTAGCAAATTTACAGTTTTCTTGAATGTGATGTATATACTTAAAATGTATTGAAACTTACCTTGCGTAATGTGATAACTCTCTTCTTAGGACCCATACAACATCCTTTGATCATAATGAAGTCATTATTAACTTGTCCATAGTGAGGGAAACCACCCATTGGAGTAATGGTCTTCTCTGTCAGATCGTAGTCCGTAGAAGCGTTATTCTTAACAAGCTAAAAGATAAGTTGTCTTAATGTACTATACTTCAATAATAATAATAATAATAATAATAAAAAAAACATTCCCATGGATTTCTCAGACCGCCCTAGTTTCTTCAGAGATAGTCAGTTAATTCTAACCATAAACATAATAGGACATTCATCATTGGAGTAAATGAATACAATGTACAATAATCTTGCATTAACATTTAAAATAAGTTCTAGTTTCCTTATGGTGTTTAGGATTGTTTGGGAAACTCAAATAAAAGGAGCACATGTTTTTTTGCAAGCTCTGGAGCTTATGAATAACTATAATAATCTAACTTTAGAATATACTTTTTCTAGGGCCAGAACTTAGACAAGTATGAATAAAAAGATAATTAACTCTTTAGTATAAGTTTTTGAGATGCTTCATGAGGTTATAAATTTGTAGGAATCTTAAGATACACCATTCTTCATCAATCTAAAAAACCAATATATATGGTTACTTTCAATACAATGGGATAGAATTTCAAGACTTATGGTTACTTCAATAAAGAGCGACCAACCAGATACAGCACTTTCCTTACGCAATGAAAACCTGAAGATATGAAATCTATTATAGGCTACATCAAATGAATTAAATTTACACAATCTGAAGAGGATATTAAAAACCAAGTTTAGTGTGAACAAAACCCCTACATATTCTACATGCAGATGTATTCAGGCTAAAAATTTAATGCAGGTATATGTGCACAAGACTGCTAATGCTTATGTTAGCCATCTGTATATGCAACACTCAATATGTTGACTAATCAAAGAAAACTAAGATCTAATGCTTTGCTACTTCAGAATGAAGGTAATGATTGATCATCCAGCATTGTCTAGATATCTGAAATAGTGTTTCAGCATTCCAGCTACTTCACTACAAGAGTAGTTAAAAATACTTGTCAGACACTAACAATGGCTGACCTTTTAAAGAAACACCAGCAGCCTACAAATGAGTTAAAACAAGTTTCATAACAGCATGAATCAGAACAAAATCTTATCAGCTTCATAGAAAAGGAGATTATTAAATTGTCCTCAAAAGAAGATCTACTCATCTCCCTGAAAATTTTTATTCACAAGTTGAACAAATGAGACTTGAGAATAAACAAATGCTTCTTTATTATTTGAATTTCCCTATTTATTGTTTCATTTCAATATAAAATTCAGTAATACAAACCTTTCCATCTTTAGCATGGATGCCTTGCCCAATACGATATATTTTCTTGTTCATTTCCGTGCGATGATGGTAACCTTTCTGACCTGCTCTTGCAACTGTGAAGGAAACCCTACTAGGATGCCATGCTCCAATACAAGCAACCTTACGTAACCCCTTGTGCGTCTTGCGAGGCAACTTCTTTGTATGCCAACGAGAGGTGACACCTAAAATACATAAAATTCTTTAGATCTTGATAAAGAAAACACAAAAAAAAAAAAACAGGAATATTAAAATTGTATCAGTAGGAAGGCAGCATTATCTTCAGTTGCTACATTCAGCATGCGCAAATAATATTATCATCACACTTCAGTATATAAAATAAATATTGTATCTATGCTGGGGAGTAAGTATATGTAAGTGAAAAAATATTAGGCTTGATTCAGAACACAATCCAAGTATGCATGTTAAGTGTTAAGTACTACAGACATTGGACTATTCTAAGTCTTTAATAAAACAAACCAGTCCCAAAATACATTCTCAAAAGCAGTCCTTTTCAATGAATCCTTAATCCCAAGCACAATAGTCTTATTATTTAAATAGGAACAAACCATTAGTAAATTGAAACTAGTAAAACAAATACCTTTATATCCTTTGCCCTTAGTTACTCCAATAACATCAATCATTTCATCTGGAGCAAAAACCTGGGCTACTGGTATAGGCTTCTCAAGATGTTCTCTTGCCCATTTCACCTTGTCAGCTATAGTTCCACCATTCAGTTGAATTTCAATGATATGAGCCTTCTTCTGACGATGAGGAAGAAGTTTCATCTACAGGAATAAGTTTTATTTTAGAAAATCACTTACCAAGGGTGGTGTATTGCCACTGGCAGACTATTCCAAAAGTATATAAAAGTAAATGTTAGAGTATCTAGGTATAGAATATGAAAACCTAAGTGCAGGGAAACCAATAGAAAGTATAAGAACATTTGGCTTTTAACATACCTGGGTATGAGCTATCACTCTGATAACTTTGCAGTAACGTTCAAGAGTTGAGAAAGCACTTTCAATAGATTTACGGCCAAGGTCATCTTGCCACTTCTTAGCAGCCTTGGTAAATGCCTTCTTTTTGGATTTGTACCTGTGAATATTTAGCAATCCAGGATCTAGACAAAAGGGGAAGCCAGTTTGTCTCTTCTACGAGAGGAGACTAAACTGGTAACTTGGTCAAAATCTATGATTCGTTCCAAGCACTAAGCTCTCATCTGGCGAGCGGAGAGCTGACCACAGTCATTAGAACTATGTTACTTCACCCATACATCACATAGACAAATAATATATTACCAGTTCTTATAGAAACGTCTTCTGCAGTCTTCTGAAAGATGTTCTGCCCATATGGTGCGCAGCGAGCGTAAACCATGAGGCGTTTCAATGTAGCCAACTACACCCACTATCATTATTGGTGGTGCTTCTAAAATTGTAACAGCTTCCACTATTTCTTTCTTGTTAACCTCTGGAATTTAATATAAGAAAAATGTTTGTCAAGTTTGGTACTTTGCACAAGGAAACCTTTAACATTTTAATAGAAACCATTTTTAAAATTTTTTAATGTTTTTGTTTTTAATTTTGTAATTAAATACAATTAAGGGCCAATTAGAAATATTAACTTTGTAGAAAATCACTGGGATGATTTCAGCTCTAGTTGTATTGACATACAACCATTACCAAAAAACAATTTTACAGTATTGTGGACCCACAAAACTGATTCCAACCACACTCAATCTTTATTCAAATGGAGACTGAAAATGTTCAAATGGAACTAATTAGGTGGATGCAGTTTTTAACCAGGAGCTTCATTAAACAATTGTGTTAGTTCCCAATCCTGTAACCATCACAGCAGATCTGCCAGAATTTAAATGCAAATATAATTTAGTATACAGAAGGAACTAAGAAAAGGGCAAGAACCCACAGAATGACCAATCTAAACTAGGCTTTACCTTGCAGCATTACTCGATTCTCTAAAACACATTACGCAAAAAATCTAATGCTTTGATCAATATGACCATACAGAGTACAGCAGAGTTAAATTATTCTAGTTTGTAATTTAGTCCTTCATATTTCACAAGGAAGAGCATCTCTTGTGCTGTTAAAGTTCACAGAGCACATTGAAAGGAGAAATTACCAAACCCAAAGGCTTTGTCATTGAAAACTCTTCATTTACAGCTGATGGAGGGCAAGGACAATTCATGCACTTTTGGAAGGCAAGAAACTAGCATGATAAATTTGGTTATATAGATAAATTCCTAAACCCAAACTTACCGTTTGGTAACGGGAATCTACCTTTGCAATTAATGAGTTAGTCTATATTTACATCAAACTTGTAATCCTTCTCTTGATTTAAAAACTTTTTGAATGAAAGTATTTTGAAGAAAACCGTATTTCGTATTTTTAAACCAAAAATTTTTTATGTTGACTTTACTGACATAGCTATTCCACAATTTATTAATATTCTAATTAAATTGTTCTCGGGAAAGTTGTTACACTAGATCAGGTCGAACTTCACGTTAGCTCCCCACGTGCAGGCTACGAACTTTTTACTAGAATAAAATGGCGGTCTTTTACATCAGCTTTAAGTTGAAACATCGAATTTCGCGATTTCCATAATTGTTTAGCATTTTGTAGACGATGCGAGGGTGCCGACCCAGCCAAAGATGTTAATCATGAATATTGCCCGATATGCAAAGCTACAACGCGCCAGCAAAAGGTTATTAAATAACTTACTGGAACCAGGTCTATCTGCCTCTCGGACCACGTGCGTCATTCCAGCTTTGTAAGCAACGAATGCCGTGAGATGAACAGGTTTTTGCGGATCATCCTTGGGGAAGGCCTTCACCTTACCACGATGCCGCTTTGCTCGCTTCTTTGGATAGAAGCCCATGGAGCCATGGCGTGGTGCACTGAACTTCCTATGAGACTGAAACAATTACAAATGTGTTACTTCCTTATATTCAACACACTATGGTCTAACGTGGTTTATAATAATCAGTCCGCTCGTCGCTAATACCTTCACATTTATCAGGTAATTAATTGTACACCATTGAGGAATATCATCATAGTGTCGAATCAAAGAACGCCACGTTGCGATTGCCCATAGCAAAAGAAAAATAGTCCTATACGTCCTAAAACTGCGAATAATTTTACCAGAGAATGTTAAAATTTGTTGACCCGAACTTCCGCTACTGCCCGTTACAAAAGTTACATAAAACTTTTGTATAATCCAACAATTCCGAAACTATCAGTATTAAGAAGAAATAAAACTAAATACCATTTACATACTAGACTTGCAACTAATAAAATAGAAAGATTGGCTACTGTGGGGTGGATAACACTTACCATGTTCCACGAGGTCACAACCCACCAATCTACGAATGTCGCTGTTTCACGTTCCTGCAGATCACCATGAAAGACACGGACATTAGCCGAATCCTTCTTATATACCACGAAATATTCGTCCGTTAGAGTGCGTTGAATGTATTTCCGGTAACTCTCAGAGTTTACTGACCATCTCCTTCAAAGAGTATCTCTTCAAAGAATATACCAGAGAGTATAATCAAGAATATACTACAAGTGTTTTCTTTTTTATTCATGGCCTGCTTGATTTGGGCCGGTTTCTGCAAATTCGTTCACGTTTTTTTTCTTCTTTTTTTCGGTTTCCCCTCCCAGTTGCCCTGTAGAGGCGGGAGTTCATTTTCGCAATAGGGATGCATTATCACTGCAGCCTTTTAGGCTTTTGCAGCTCCCTCCACTGCCCCCCCCCCCCAAACAAAAAGGTCTAGAGTTTTTGTTTCATTTTGGGGGTACTTCACATGATGCCCCTGGAACATTTTCAAAATGTTCTCAAAATTAGCTCCACATTTTTTCTTCAAATATTTTGTAAGAACAGATTGAAATGCACTTTTGAAGGTGGCATAGGTTGCGTTTCACTGTTAACTCTGAATTTTTGAAAACTGCAAATATTGAAATTTATTCGTCGTCTTCCTATAACTACAAAATTGAAGATAGAAGCTATTCTTGTGTCACTCCCCCCCCCACACACACACATACACACGCTCACGCAAACTCACATATATTAATTTATATTTATTTAAATACCTGAATGTATTTTCTGCAAATGATTTCCACTTTTTTGGCACATTTTCTACAGATGGCTTTGTGGCATTTCTCGCAAAAATCGCTGGTTTTGATGTCTTTGCACAAGCGAATCTGGTCCTTCTTTCGCTTTTCGGATGATTCAGGTCTCTTATCTCGCCCCTCTTGCCTCTTCTCCTTTGTGTACTTCTGATAAATCCCCACCTTTCACTTCACTACTCGTAGATAGTTGAAGAATGGACATTTTACTTTCCCGAATACGTACGTATATACCGTACGTATATACGAATTATAGAGAAAGTTATGTAATGCTGCGGAAAATTGATTTCGAGATTTCAACGAAAATACACGTTTCGGGGCCCCCTGTTACCGAAAAAGTTTCTTCAAATCGTCCATCTATCTGTCCGTCCGCGCTGCCTGTATGTCCGTACGTTTGGTGTCTGTGGACAGTACTGGCTTCTAAATAGAGCGTAGGATTTTTTTCCAAATTGAAGGAACCCCTGTCCATTTGGCTCGAGTCGAAACTTCGAAATTTTGAAATTATTCTACAAACTTTAGGGGTACTTTACCTGAAACCTTGCGGACATTTTCAAAATTTTCTCTAAAACTGCTCCAATTTTTTTCTTTAAATTTCTTGTAATAAGAGAGTTACATACACTTATAAATGTAACTTATAACGCGTTCACATTTTCACGGTAAACTCTGAATTTTCGAAAATTTCAAAAGTATGATTTTTTTCGGTGTCTTCGTACATCTACAAAATTAAAGATCGAGAATTTCCCTTCAATTAAAATTTGTTCTTCACAGAGAATTCTATCAGAAAGGTAATGTACATTTTTTTTGAAATTTTTACTTCGCGCAATATTGCGTGCAATTTGTGCAATTAAAAAAAGAATATAAAAAAGATTTTCTCAAAAACGATTCCAATTTTTTCCTTTACACTTATGGTAGGGATAGTGCTAAATGTACTTTATAAGATAACATATATGTCATTTCGCTCTATCCTTTTCTTTTTTATTTAAAATTACAAGATAGTAATTTTTTGACTTGTGTCTTATGTCGTTAATATTTATACTAGTGGCAATTTGTTCACTTTATATTTATGAGTATATGTGCTTTAAATAATGGCATATAAAGTTTCTCGAAAACTGAACTTGTGAAAACTAGCTCAAACTTACGCATTTTTAGAAACGCCCCTCCGACAAAATTGCTCCAAATTTTTTCTTCAATCTTTTTGAACGGATAGTTTTAATTGCACTCTTTAATAAGACGCAATTTTCATTTTAGCCGATCCAGTGGTCGAGATCGCTAAGGCAGTAGTGCGGTAGCGAACTCGGACCGAAGGATCGCGGGTTCGAGTCCCGCCTCGGGCATGGTTGTATTGTGTTTCGTCCTTTCACCCCCTATCATCATCATTATCATGTCAACCCACAGTTACAAGCAATAGTGGTCGCTAATGACCTAGTAGTTGATGCGACCTTAAATAACAAAAAAAATTCATTTTAGGGAATTTTTTTAAAAAATTACACAAATGTAAATTTTTTAAAGATCTCTCACACCGTTAATATATACATTTCCAGCAATTCGTAAACACTATTGTATTTGTGAGTTAATATCCTTCAAATGACTTTTAACGAAGTTTTTCAAAAACTCAAAACTTTTCTGAGAAAAAGAGATTCAAATTTCAAATTTACAGTAGCGCTTAAACGCCAATTTTTTTTAAAGCGGCTCCAAATTTTTGAAAGAAAATTGCCATTTAGGTCGAGGTTTTACTGTTCTTTAATAATCTTAAAATAATATTTGTGCTCTACAATTAAAAAATCAAAAAAATTAAGAAAATTTAAAAAATACATACTTTAGGCGGCGATAGATGGTAGATGGAAAGAGTTTGTGTCAAGTCCAAATAGTTAACCGAGACCAAAGAAAATAGAAAACTAATACGGGAATGTCTGTGCAATTCTGTAGCACCACTAGTTCTTGTTTGATATTCTGTCAATGTGAAGTTTGGATTGCCTGGAGTGTGTCGTAAAATAACAGATGAATGAATTTCAGCATTCGTTTCAAGTCATCATGGATTTTAGAAATGACGTCATAAGACGTAGAAGAACAAATTCACCCCATGGTTGTTTGTTTGGCCGATCATCCAAGATAACGAAAGGCATTGCATATGTACTTTGTTGTTACATCAGTAGCGAACCATAACTTCAGACATTATTTGTCGAGTTTGTTTGGCATACCTGGGTATAGCAGCACCCAGTTTTGCTTGGAAGTAATTGCTCATCGATTGTTACATTTTCATCTGGGAGATAGTATCGAACGCAGTTTTCTACAAATCTCTCCCACATTTCTGACACTATAGCAAACTTATCGGCACAAAGCCTTTCAGGTTGGGATCATTTGTCGTCACAAGGGAGAAATCTGGGAAGCTCCCAAAATCTGTTTCTTCCAATTGCGACTTTTATGGATTTTAGTTCCCATAAACGAGACTAAAGATCATCCACTAAAATCCTTTTTCCCAAAATGCCCCTCGTGCGCCCATGATGCTGATCATTCCCTCCAGATCTTCGAGAGATTCGGTTCAGCAGATAGAGGAGAGAGATCTCAACTCAGCAGCTGCTTTTCAGTTCGTTGAGTGCTTCTGATTCGGTGTGCCTTTTCATGAAGCGAAGAATTGGTGTATCAGAGTAAGCAAAAGGAAATCATCACAGGTGCATTCGTTTGGTGACACATCCAAATGGTGGGACGTCATCGTGCTAAGAAGCTCTTCTTCCAGCTGACGAGGAGTTGTTACTGATGCCCTCCCAATCGGTTCCATCTCGCGCAACTATTTTCACTGTTAAAACATTTGGCTTCTGTTGAGAGGATCGAAGCGAAGATTGGGCTACGTCAACACACACACACACACACACACACACACACACACACTCACATCTTTTTCTGTCACTTCATCACTCAAACTACTAGTTTCATCTTTACTGTTACTTCGCACAAAATCTTCATCTGAATTGGTTATGTCACTTTCGAACTCGAAATCCGAATTTTCTATTACGGGTTTTCTATTACGGGACAACAGATCAGCTGAGATACAAATTGAATCTATTATTATGACCTAACTAACTACAACAAACTGACAAGAAAACTAAAATAAGAGATACTAATACTTGAAACTTGCTGGCGTTTCATTCTTTGCTTTCCGGGAAGGATGAAATCATCAAGCGCAATGTGTTCTTAATTTATTTATTTTACATCAGAAACAGTTAAAAATTACATGTGACGTGCTACGGGGAGAAGTGAATTCTGTGATCATTTTCATAATTCTGTGATCCCTACCCTAATCCCTATTGCCGCTCTCACGTTATTTTCATACTCCGAGAGGCTGGACAGCTCAGGGCAATAGAGATACCTGTCGCCGTGCTGTGATAGAACTGCGTTGCCAACAAAGAATGGCAGAAAGGGAAGAAAAAACACAAATTTAGTAGTCTTAATAAAGGAAATTTGTAAGAATTTAAACAGAGTTTTCTCGAGAAAATTGTACCTGAATTACAGTTAACAAATATCCTTACGCTGTTGCAAAGTGACACAAGCGCGGCCAGGCCACGTAAATTATACAATTGGCAATCATAAAATCGTCTTTTAGTGGATAGTCAAAAGTCTTTCTTTGATTCTATGTTCTATTTGTCCAAAACAAAATAACCATTGCTCAGTTTAAAGAGCCAACGTCACCCAGCTGTTTGAAAATGGGGCGACCTTCGCAAGTCAACTTGCGGTCTCGGGCGAGAGGGGCGTGCCATACGGCGGGGGCCCCTCGATGACAGGCCTAAAGGTCAGATCTCCAAAGACGTCCTTCCCAGGGTAGCAGCAGCAGACGTGTTTGATCCCCCCATATTTTGCCTAAATTAGGCACTCGCCATGAGCCAGTCTTTCATGAAAGGAACAGGCTATGACAGTTCTTGGAACCTTACAATAAAACAACTAATGCGGCAAAAATTGTGAAAAATCGCACGAAAATTACTCACGCGCGATTCGGCGACCTACGCCGAAGCGTGCTGCAAAAGAAGTTTTAACAATAAGTGAACGATCGGAACTGTGCCCGGCGAACTACGCATACCAACCAAGTCTCCAGCAAGTGTCCTTTCCTCTCCTAATCTCATCCCGTCGAAACTTCGACCCCTCTCTCCTTTAATTTTGGGTTCTGATTAGATCTCAAATAATTCTCCGCCAATGACATTTCACTCCTGGAAGGTTCTAGAAATGGATTTTTCCATACAGCGATCTTTTTCTTACATTGTTGACGATAAATGAGAAATTGCGTAGTTTCTTCATGCAATTGCAAGCACACGTGTGTCTGGGTGACTATCTTGTTAAATTGTTTTGATGGTGTCAACATGTAGGAATGCTGATACAACAAAGAGCTTTCT